AAAGCGAAATCCTTCCCGAAGGCAATCAACACATTTTCTTTTTCAGAGCTGTATTGTCGAAAAATAGTGCTTCAGAAAATGGCCGAAGTTCCAGTCGATATATATTTGTACAGTTCTAAGCACGATTTGATTGACGTAGTACATGAGAGTCAACTAGATGGCTCTCACAAACTGTCGTGGTGCCAGAACAATAATTCTAATGCTGCCACCAGTGGTACGATGGCATTTTTTTTTACAATGACGCCCAGGAAAAATTATCAAAACAAATTATTTCATTTATTACATAAACAGTTATCAGACAATCTACAGTGTTTGAACACATTCTATGTACGTGTGTCGGGGGCCAAATACAAATAGTACACGAGTCAAAAAAAAAAGACTGAAACAAACAAACGCAAAGTAGTGGTTTAACATTTTGTTGTGCTGTGCACAACTAGTACCGAAAACTCATTGGAAAAGGCATGAACCAAACAGCCAGGTATGAAATTAACGTTTAGTATTTAACTATAACTGATGCTGGAAATAGTCACATATGCAAGATGTAAACTAAGCTAATTTGTTTCCTGGGTAGTGATTTCACCTTTCTCCGATTCAAGCCAGCAGAGGCCGCACTTTACATATTCCGAAGGATGAAATTTACATTCGGCATGACATTTTATATCCTGCAGTGCACGTGATACAAATGCAGATGCCTTTCCAATTCTAAATTTACCTTTATAAACTACTTTTTGGGGAACAAAAGAAAACGGGAAAAAATGTATCGACATTAAGTCCTGTTGACATTATACAGAGGCGGCAATTATTTTTAAAGAAAATTGTAACAAATTTTTTTTCTCACCATTTTGAGTATATAATTTTTTTTATTTGATTTTTTTTTTTCAAGTTAATCTTTGACACTTTACAATCCACAGAGTTTCTGTCGGACATTCATATTTAAACTCAATACTCAAAATACTCGCACACTCAACATCCATTACTCAAAAAACACACTCTCGCACTCACCCACACATAATAACCACTCGATAAATAACTCAGCATAAAAGTACTCGCCACATCTCACTGCTGTGCTCAAAGCAACAGCATCATAGTAAATATAAATCGGTGAAACACCAAAGTTTGCATATTTTCATTCTTTCAACTTCTTATTTAAAACACAATGTACATCAGAATCTCTCCGTCACGGAATTCGTCAAGGCATTCCTCACTGTTCACCCCACTGTCTCACACACTGTTGTCCTCCCCACACCGAGAGAGATTTTATAAGGCAGTTGGAAATGGAAGCATGTATTTACGAAACTGACTGCGACTTCTTCAAAAAACAATTACGCAGTCTTGGCGATTTTTTTTTTTTTTACAGTCATTCAAAAGTATCGACTCTACCGCAAGACCAGCATTAAAAGGGGCACTAGGTCCTGAAATCCCAGAAAATGTCACGTTTTGGATTGATTACTTATCCTATTTCAAACATCTGGTTGAAAGGAAACCAACTTAATGTCTTACCGTTCCCGAAAAAAGATGAAGAAAAAAAACCTGGTTGTTTACATCGGACACGACGGAGTACGAATACGTTTTTGAGGCTTTGCATGGTGGGGTATCGGTATCGTTTCGGTTTGCGGTAACACCATGTGGTAATAACTACTGCTTAGAAGATATTAGTTCTGAGAAGAACTTGTCCTGCTTATTATCAACTTTGCTAAGTAGTTTTTTGTTCTGATAAGAACAGTCCTGCTGTAAGTTCTAAACGAACTTGTCTTTGGTCTCTACTTATCAGAACAAAAAACTACTTAGCAAAGTTGATAATAAGCAGGACAAGTTCTTTTCAGAACTAATATCTTCTAAGCAGTAGTTATTACCACATGGTGTTACCGCAAACCGAAACGATACCGAATACGTTTTTCCTGTCGTTTTCACTTTCAGTAAATGTACGTATGATATGGGATATGTACACAGCACCGTACTCGCTAACAGCGGTGACCAATCACCAATGCACAAACTGAGGTATCTTACACGTCCGCAAAAGGCGATCAGTTTACAGATGAAATCACAACTAGCACCCAAACAGCTCGACCTTTTGGGGTCGCAAAAGTGGAACCCGAAAGTCGTTCTCGCAAGCATAGTACAGGAATAACACAAAAACGCCCAGTTTTTAAAGGATAGTTGTGTGGATGTTTATATACTACTTTAAATGTTCTTTCTCATTAACATTCATTTCGTTCAAAGCGCGTTTTGTAGCCCAATTGGGCTGTTCCAGGACGCAGTGTCCCTTTAATGCTCAAGCCATTGGAATTAAAGTGCCTTTGTTCAGTTTGTTGAGCCAAAAGTTTGGCTGAAAATGTGAAAAATTTCCATCTACGACATGTACAAGACACGTAAATTACAATGTACTGCTGTGCATGACTTTTTGTCTATCTGAAGAAATATTTGAATCATCTCTCTATGATGACAGACCGATCAACTTTTGTTGCAACACATTAGACTCCTTATCTCGTATTCATCAAGTCTACCCAGAAACATCCATTTCTGTCGTGGTGCGGATCCTTAAAAGTAATATACAACATTTGCAAACATAAAAAAAAAAAACATATTTGGATGGAATTTTCTCCCAAAAGTCACTGGATTAGATCCTGAAAATGGAAACATGAAAGATGATGAAATGAGTTTGAATTTGATCAAACACCTTGGAGAGTTGTGAGTATTCTTAATAATTTTTGGAAGTGCGCGTAATTATCACTGAGGTCTAAGTCAGTGGTATCAGCCATATGGTTGCGAAGGCGAAGCGTGGCCCGTTGTCAAGCAAAGCTAATCCGATGACGTACTTTAGATGCTGTAACAGAGCAGTGAAATTTGTAAACCCCCCAAAAACATGGCCTTTTGAACGTTGTCTTTCTCAGAAAATATGCTCAGCATGATTGAAAAGTTAAATTATAGAAGAAATTTTCCAAAAAATAACTTTCAAAAATGCACTTTTAAAATTAATTTTCAAAGATTTCGTCCGCCTGTATGAACATGTCTGTGTACATGTAGTTTCATTCAAAATAAAGTGTTACGTAACCTATAGAAATCGCCCTTTGCAACCACATGTCTGGTATGTCCCATCAACGGTAACCTTGGTGAGTCGGTATCTATTAACCACGTGTCAATTAGCACAGTGATCGTTAATTACCAGACCTGTGCAATAATGGAACGTGTGTATCTGTTAGAAGATTCACTCCTTTCTTGTATTAATGCAAGTACCTTCAAACATGTCAAGCAAAATTTAAAAAAGTCCACATGAACACTTATCTCTCTCAAAACAAAACATCTGTTCACCCTGAATAAACATACAAAAACAACATGATCTATTAACCCTAACCAGACCATCTCCATCAAAATCCATCCCCCCGTTTTGGTGGATTTTGGGGGACTTGGTCCAGAAGGCCTGGTGTGACTAAATATTGATGGAGTGTGATGGACTTGGGCCTAATGGCCTGAAGCAGTGCTAGGGGTATCCGATTGATTTTGCCTAGCTTTCTGTACTGCCATTGTGATAAAAGCCATGTTTAGCAAGTCCATGAATGTCAACCAGTGCGTCAGTGGTGGATTCCATTATGTCATGTACAGTTTTGTATTGGACGCACAGTGATTAATGGATTTTGATGGAATTGGTCCGGTTCCTAGTAAAAGACGCTAGGGAGTTAGGATTAAAGGATACAGATTCAATCATTTTTTGTGTGTGACAAGTTGTGTGACGGCAGATGATAAAAAAAAAAGTTACGTCGCCAAATGAACCCAAATGAACTAAAGTACAAGTAGCTCCTGGTTTGTAATTATTTGTAAAGAGCTGAAAACTTTCATCAGTCGATCTCTCAAACTTTCAATACAAAACATGCCGCAAATTTGAACGTTAAGAAACCCCACCTTTTCACATGATTTTCCCGTTTTGATCATCTCCGTGCGTGACATAAATTACTTTCAACTACAAGCAACACACAGACATGTAGGATTGAATTCATTTTTGTAAAAACGCCGAAAGTATCGGGAAGTTGTCTGGATTTTTCGAATGGAACACGCATCGTTCCAACGGTTCTAAATACGAATACTTTGGCAAATACTTCCCTTGCCGATTTTGCCATTCAATTTGAAGAATTTTTCTTTGTTGTCGTTGTCCACTTTTTTTATGTCATGAACAACTTGAAGGCTGATCAACATTAACAAAGACATGTCGAGTTATTCAAAATGACATCTTCGTTCATTGCACTTTCTTTTTCACACAGTCATATCTCTTCTTCACACTCTTGATACTTTGGATATTCCTGGAACGAATCACACACTTTCGCTTCTGAAGTTGAAACTAACGTTTTCCCAAAAATGACTACATTTAACATTGGAAAATAGCCAAAAAAAAGACCCATTAGGCCAAAAATAAAAAAACTCGGTCTCTGGTCAGCGCGTGCGTCGATTTTAATCATGCGCGTCAACCTTCTTCTTTTTTTTCAAATTTACACGGAAGCTACAACAGCGCCCTCTTTTGCTGCGCCTCCTCAAATTTTTGTACCAAGGAGCCCCAAGGAATGGGGAAATTGCACCAAGGCAAATGATAAAGGGCACCAAGGCAAATTATGGAGGACACCAATGTATAATGAGGACACAAAAAAGCAAAATAGTACCCACCTTGTCTGTACAATACAAGCTTGAAAAAAAAAAAGCCATCAAAAAAAAAAAAAAAAACCGCGTCGCCGCATCAATTCCGGAACTTCGGTCTGACCAGAGACCGACTATTATTTTTTTGGCCTTAATGTTATCATCAATAAATTTGACAAAATTGCATTTTTCGGTCCCACAATTCAACATGCACAAAAGTGACATCACAATATTTTCCATATTGACCCTATGAATCACCCCCCCCCCCCAGCACAACTTTATGAAACGCTACTAACAAAGGTTCCCATTTTCAAGGAAATAGTGCTGAGAAGCAAGGAAATTTCAATGTTAACGTCCCTTCAAATACATTTTTTTTGGAAAAAAATCATGTTATTGTCGTTACAAGAGTACACACTGCACTCTCACGAAAGATTTGAGCCACGATACTCAACTCGCAAAAAAACTCACACCTCTTTTTTTTCGGCAGCAGGCTTATACTCATCACAGTCACTACAACTCACTCACTCCTTCATACAACTCAACTGGATATCGCACGAATGGACAGCATGACGGTGTTTTTCTCGCCCGCGGCCCAACGTGACGTGAAATTACGATGTTCCGGTTACATCTCGCTTTGGTGGCCACTAGTAGATGCTGGATGCAGTGTCTATTTTCACAAAAACAACACACACAAAATAATAGAATAAATTAATAAATCAGAACAAATCTCACAGTGGCGTAAATCTGTGCCGGCGAGTGGGGGGGGGGGGGGGGGGGAAAGGGGGATGACCAAAATTCAAAAATTACCCGGCCGTGGAAATTCAAGTAGGGGGTGCTGGGAGCTGGACACCACATTACACTGGAGGGCGCTCTTCAGGATATAGATGTATATTAACATGTACACTCGCGCTTACATCAAAACAGCACATTTTAAAAAAAGCTTTTGTACTTAGTTTCTCCACTTTTCAGTGCTATTGAAAACATTTGGGTTGTTGGGATGTTCGCAAAATACCTCAAAATTCGCATTTTGTTTTTCTCAACACGAAAAAGTTGGGTTTTTTTTTTTGGATTCAATAGCCCATCCCCCTCTGGTCTAAAAATGGGGACCCCCCCCCCCCCCCTCAACAGGAACCACTATTTTAGAAGTCAACTTTCTGCTAAAAAAAATTACATGCGAGGCGTTTTGGCAAAATGAGACAGAACTTGGGCAGAGGTTTAAAATGCGGGTACAGTGGAACGCCGCTGTAACGAACATCACGGAATCCACAGAAATTGTTTGTAATAGCGATCATTCGGTATAGCGATTTTAAGCTACCGGTGCTCCGGTACTCATTTTTCAATAAACAGCGCCCTTCAGAACTTCACCCTGCACGCCCTGGTAGTTACTGAAAGACGACTTTGAACACGTGCTGACTATTGAATCATGTAATTACACAGTTTTTGAGCTTACTACCTACAGCGACGGGTGGCTGTCCCTTAACCCTAACCCTGCTAAATGCAACAGAAAGCAACAAAGGTAAAAAAAGGTGTTGCATACTGTTGCATTTAGCAGCCAACTTAAGTCCCTGTGCTTTGTTGCATCTTGTTGCATTTAGCAGGGTAACTGCTCATAGTGCCAAGGCGATACAACAGAATCCACTGTTGCATTTGGTTGCATTTAGCAGGGTAACTGCTCATAGTGCCAAGGCAATACAACAGAATCTATGTTGCATTTGGTTGTATTTAGTATGGTAACTGCTAATAGTGTCGCGGCAATACAAGAGAATCCACTGTTGCATTTGGTTGCATTTAGCAGGGTAACTGCTCAAAGGTTCAAGGCAATACAACATAATCCACTATTGCATTTGGTTGCATTTAGCAGGGTTACTGCTCAAAGGTTCAAGGCAATACAACAGAATCCAATGTTGCATTTGGTTGCATTTAGCAGGGTAACTGCTCATTGTGCCAAGGTGATACAACATAATCCCATGTTGCATACTGTTGCATTTAGCAGCCAACTTAAGTCCCTGTGCTTTGTTGCATCTTGTTGCATTTAGCAGGGTAACTGCTCATAGTGCCAAGGCGATACAACAGAATCCACTGTTGCATTTGGTTGCATTTAGCAGGGTAACTGCTCATAGTGCCAAGGCAATACAAGAGAATCCACTGTTGCATTTGGTTGCATTTAGCAGGGTAACTGCTCAAAGGTTCAAGGCAATACAACATAATCCACTATTGCATTTGGTTGCATTTAGCAGGGTTACTGCTCAAAGGTTCAAGGCAATACAACAGAATCCAATGTTGCATTTGGTTGCATTTAGCAGGGTAACTGCTCATTGTGCCAAGGTGATACAACATAATCCCATGTTGCATTTGGTTGCATTTAGCAGGATAACTTGTGGTCAACTGCACAATGCAATAGGAATCCACTGTTGCAATTTGTTGCATTTAGCAGGGTTCTTATTTCAGCCAAGTTGCATTTTTGTTGCATTTAGCAGGGTGTCTAGAAAAAAACTGTTGGAGTTAGAGATAATCTTGAAAGATTATGGGACCAAAAAAAAATTCAACAGTATGCTTGGTGCCAAGGCTGGTATGCACTGGGTTCACTGCACATTGCAACAGAATCCACTGTTGCAATTTGTTGCATTTAGCAGGGTTCTTATTTCAGCCAAGTTGCATTTTGTTGCATTTAGCAGGGTGCCTAGAGAAAACCTAATGGGATTAAGGGACCACAAAATTAAACAGTGCATACCTTGTGTCACTCACTGCTGGGGATTCTTGGCTTTGCGGATAGCTTTGGAGGCCCAGAACGCTAGCGACTTGGTCTTGGAATTCTTGGACCGTCGCCCCTCCGTCAGGATTTCTTGGACCAAAGGTCGGTCCATGAGGTCTGCAACAGGATTCTTGAAGATTGAGCACAGGTCACTAGAAAGCGGAAGGAACAACAACAAAAATTAATTGTAAGGCCCCCCCCAAAAATAAGTCGGTCTCTGGTCAGCGCGCGCGTCGATTTCAATCATGCGCGTCAATCTTTTTTTTGGAGCGGTAGCTCCAACAGCGCCCTCTATTGCCGCACCTCCTCATTTTTTTGTTACCAAAGAGCACCAAGGAATGGGAAATTGCACCAAGGCAAATGATCGAGAGCACCAAGGCAAATTATGGAGGACACCAATGTACATGAGGGCACCAAAAAAGCAAAATAGTACCCCACCTTGTCTGTACAATCCAAGCTTGAAGAAAAAAAATAAAAGCCGTGTTGCCGCGTCAATTCCGGAACTTTGGTCTGACCAGAGACCGAATTTTTTTTTTTGTTGGCCTAATGCTTAAATAACACTTTCCATCATATCAAGAATCTCAAAGCACTTTGCAATTGACGTATCGCCATTTGCGAGTTAGCCACGCCCCTTAGACAACCCTATGGAGTTTTTGTACGCTAATTTTTGTTTGTATCGGATTTTGCGCATTTCGTGTCTATTTGTATATCATGTTATTGGACAATATTTCACAAGCTGCGTTGACGCGATTCTAATGCGATTCTACCGCGATAGGTCAATTATTCCCCCATTCATCAGGCCACGAGACCACGCGGTAGCCGATATCAGCGCACATTCGGTCCTCTTCCCTCACAGGTACCCATTCATACTCCTGGGTGGAGACAGGCAATAAGCCAGTTCTGTATTTCAACTGCGCATGTGCACAATGATATGGGTCACAAGTCATTTTAGGATATTCGAACGTTTCGAAGGCGCATGAACGCAGGCTCTCGACGCTTGCGTGTAAATTACCAGCAGAATGGGCGTGCGCGTAAGATCGCGTAACATCACATCAGCGATGTTATCCCGAATGACCTCCGGTCATTGAAATACCGAACTGGCTTATTGTAGTCAAGTGTCTTGCCCAAGGGCACAAACACCATGTTCCTGGCAGGGTTCGAACCCACGCACCATTGTACATGAGTCAAACACCGTAACCACTGGACCATGGCGTTCTACAGAACGGGCACATCAAACCAAATGAATGTGTGTTATATTATGTTTTCTGTAGTTTTGAAGACTGTAAAAAAAAGGAGTGGCAAAAGAAGGTGATACAAAAATATGGGGAAGGGGGATAACGATCAGACCTGGACACTTTCCCCCTGTTTACTGCATGTACCGGATGGAGAGAGGCAATTGTTGTAAAGTGTCTTGCCAAAGAACACAGGTTCTAACCCACCTACCCCAGCACATAACCCGAGGACCATAACCACTTAATCATGACATTCTACAAAGTAAACGCCCTTGAATTAAATAGATGGTTGTCTTGCCCAATCAGCCCAGCACAAGCCCCAGCATAATTTGTCTACCCCAACATATACCCATTTATATTCCTGAATACAGAGAGGCAATTGCTGCAAAGTGTCTTGCCCAAGAACACAAGCTCCATGATCCCTGCTTATGACTCAGGCAACATAGCGACTGGATCACGACATTCTACAAATTTTACTCCCTTAAAAGGGCCCATGTAATGTAATTTTGTTTTTAAGTCCTTTAAAATGCACCTTTATGTCCCATTTAATCTTATTTTCAATTTTCGTTTTGCCATTTCCAAGGGTATTTTGGTGCCTTTTTGGTTTGTATGCTAATGTGAATTTCCATATTCATGAGCAAAAATGTGATATCATATCAGGCACAAACCTCTATGTTACAGCTATTTCAGCACAAAAAGTTACCAGAATTTTGGACATTTTGCTGTTGTAAATTTTCTTTTCTTTGGTGGTTCGTCGTTGTGTCAGTACATGGCAGTATATGAGTAAATTTTTGTCAAAAAAATGTTTTCAATGAGCAGGTTTTTGGGGTTCAGTTCGAACAGAAAACCCCTAAACTGAACAGTGTCTTCCTGAAATAACATCGCCCCCAGTTGTCCGGAAAAGCATGGAAATTTTTTTAAAAGTTTAAAGAAGTGCACTTTTCAATAAAATTAACCAAAAAGGGATGTCAAACAGTTTTCATATATTCAAGAGGAGTAGAAAGTTGCACAAAATATGTTCCTAAAATTTTTTTACTTCATGGACACTTTAAATGAATTAGATGTTGTGTCTTACCCAATCAGCCCAGCACAAGCCCCAACAATGCCATCCGTATGATCCTCGTCTCCGGCAATCTCTTCAATGAAGGCGATGATGAAAGACACGTGGGCAAACAATGACTCAAGCTCAGCTAAAACAAACAACAAAGAAAGAAAGTGTTGAAATAAACCACACGGGGGAATCCGACTAGCTTTGGTTGGATTCAATCTAAGGTTGATAATGGAACAAAGAAATTGTATGAAGCGAGATATCAATTCAATTCAATATTATATTTCAACACAATTAAAAAACTTTAAAAGTGAAATTTGCCTTCCCGATGTGCACATTAAGTACAAATTTTGAAGCACAAGAATTAATATTAGGGGAAAAAACAATTGAAGAAAATTATTTGAAATTGCGACTTCTGGAAAAGCAAACAGGCCCCCAACCAACTAAGGGCAAGTTCGCGCAAGAACTATTGTTGACCATTGGTTAACCATAGTTCGACTAAAGTTAGCCCGAACTCTGTCTAGTCGATGGTGGTTGACCACGCTAGTCGACTATTTGGAACCAACCTACTGGGGCTTGTTGCATGGCTGGTAACCAATACCCGCGCGCATTCATAACGTTCAGCAGGGAGCCAGGATCTAGAAGTTTTGCAATGACATTTTGACCAGCGTTTGACTAGAGACGTTCGCACATTGCTATTAGTGCGCAGGCGTAAGGTACGTCACAAATCAACCACTAGTCGACTAATGGTCCTTGCCTGAACTCAGTCTCTGCTATCCATTGCTTCATTGTGCGTAATAAAAAAAAGGTGAGATTCTGTGAAGTTACAAAATATCCAAGTTAATAATTTTGAAGTAAATGACATGTGCAGACCAGAAGAGCACTTTCTGATCGGCATGAGCAATTTAGGCTAGGTCATGTAAACACGATCAGGGTGTTTTTGAATATTTGAATATTCAATTGAATCCCACTTCAAATATTTGAATACTAAATTATTGGAAAATGCACAACCCTAGCATATGGATCATGTCCTGGGACACTTGGGGCAAATTCGATCAACGGCCAATGTTAACTAGTGGTTAGTTAGTGACGCACCTAGCGCATGCGCACTGAAGTTGAAGTGCGAATGACTACAGCTGATCTATTGTCATGTCAACGACCCTGAGAAAATGGCGGTCACACAATTTTTCAGCGCTTGACGTTTCTGTGTATCTACGCAAGTAACGGTGACTGTGTAGTTTAGAACAGCTTACTTAACCAGTTCACGCCTGAGGCTGTTTATATACGCAAAAGTTTGCGGTGTTCGGAACGAAAGACAGATAAACCCAGGGAGTGAGGCCAGAAATATCTGTCAGCGACCCGTTCGCAGCGAGTGAGGCCAGAAATATGAGTGTGCTGCCCGAGGGTGATGGCTTCAACCTGCCTGGCTTGAGGTTGAGTGAAAAGTAATCCCGCGCCTTGTTTCGTTCTTGTCAAAATAATCCCGGCATGAACTGGTTAATGGCCATAATTATTGTACAATGGTGACAAAAGTGACAAAATTGTAAACAAACGTGGAAAAACTCTGCATAGAAAGTGAAATTTAGCTCCGTCAGAGTTTCTTTTTTTTCCTGCCATTTTTGTTGATAGTTGGTCCCCTCTGCGCTATGCAATTACAAAATTGCTATTGATTACCAGCTATATAAATCGTGGCGCAACCAGCCGCGGCAGGCTGGTCCTGAATAGTCGACTAGACTAGTCCAACCATCGTCGACCAGCCTGCGTTCGATCAGGGGCCAATTTCATAGAGCTGCTTAAGCACAAATTTTGCTTAAGCACAAAAAGCTGTGCTTAATATAATCACATTACCGGCCAAAACTCCATGCCATGTACATTGCTTGCGACTGGTATTTAGCTGCTGTTTACTTAGCATAACAATCGCATGGAGTTTTGGCTGGTAAAGTGATTATATTAAGCAAATTTTGTTTGTGCTTAAGCAAATTTTACACTTAAGCAGCTCTGTGAAATTGGCCCCAGAGTTAGTCGAACTATGGTAAACTATGGTCCTTGATTGAACTTGCCCTTGTTGGCTGTAGCGAGTGGGCAAGAAGCGTCATCAAACTGTTCGTGCATGGTGTGCACATATGAGCGCTTGTTAATTTTCTCGGACTTACGATTGAGGGAGTCATCTTCGCTCTTCAGACCCTGTATAATGCCAGTGTAGGCCTCCACACAACCTTCCCTCAGCTCGTTTAAGCAGTCAATCATATCATAATCAGTCTGGGAAAAAACACCAAACAGTCAATGAAGGATCATTTAATACTTACATTTCATTTTTCAATCTCGAACTGAATATTCCAATTCATTTTTTTTCCAATTGAAATATTTGGAAATGATAAAGTTAAAAAAACAACAACAGAAAAACAGACTTTTTAAAACTAGAATTGAATTTCTAATTTTACATTTAAGGGCATGCGATGTAATTTGTTTAATGCAATCCTTGAAAATGCACCTTTGTGTCCCATTTATTCTTATTTTCAATTTTTGTGTTGCCGTTTTCAAGGGTATTTTGGTGCCTTTTTTGCTTTTATGCTTTTGCTTTTTATTTCCATATTCATTAGCAAAAAACTGTGATGTCATTCTGGGTAGAAACCCCAATGAAACAGCTATTTCAGCACAAAAAGTTGCCAGATTTTGGATATTTGCAAGTTTTCATTTTTTGGAGATTCGTCGTTGTGTTAGTACATGGCAGTAAACCAATGAGCAAACTTTTTTTCACAAATATTTTCAATAAGCAAATTGTTGGGTTCACATTTCGAACAGAAAACCCCCAAACTGAACAGTGTCTTCCTGAAATGACATCACAGCATCAGTGCCCCCAGTTGTACGGAAAGCATGGACAATTTTAAATGTTTAAAGAAGTGAATTTTTTCAATAAAATTAACCAAACAGTGATGCCAGATAATATTCATACATACACAAATAAGAGGAATAGAAAGTTGCAAAAAATGTATTCCTTAGAAAAAGTCATTGCACCAACCCTTAAAAACCAGAATTGAATTTCTAATTTTACATTAATTGGACAATTTGTGAGTATTGCTTGCTGCTAATGGATTATTACAAACAACTCAGCCGTGTTACCTTGTCCACTTTTGTCTGGCTAGCTTGCTGTAGTGTCTCCATGACCAAGGGAAGGTACTTCATAAACGCGGGGCCGATGGCTAGGGCTATATCGCCAAAGACGGATAATATCTGAGGTTTGACGGTGCGGTGTACGTGCTCATTCTAAAGAAAAATATTAAAAAGGTATTCTTGATAAGAAAAACATAATAATAAAATGAAATAAAAAAAGAATGCCAAGAGAACTGTTAAAGGGAAGATACAACATTTGCAAACATCAAACAACGAAATGATCAAATTATCACAAAATACCTTACTGGATTGTCAGGAATGGCAGTCTAAAGCGTCCTGTAAAATCCTGGCTCTTGGCGTGCTGACCTTTTCAAGAAAAGTTGTATTTTTCCAACTCTGGTTGGCCGACCAGCGTTGGAGAAAACTGGCTTTTTTCAAAAAATGTTCCTAATTTTTCATATTTAGTTATTCCGCATTTTCTTTGCAATTGATTACACATCTGTGAAGGGGTACAAGCCTGCTAGACTGATTCCCTGACCTTACAATTCTCCAAAGTATACTATATGCTTCGTTTCATCTTAAGTGGGGTCAGGGAACCAGATTACAAGAACATGATAGTTTTGGGGGTTTTTTTTCCAGCGTCTAAAAAGCCCAAAACGTAAAACAAGTGAGTTAAACGATATTCCCTTTCACATACTAATCCTCCAAATCCATTTATTTCTAAAAATTGTAGCAAAGGAAATGTTGTACATTCCCTTCAAAGGCAAATAATATCCTTATAGAGGAATCATTATAAAGAAATTTAAAAAAATAATGACAACAATCTCTGTGCTATTTTTTGTTCTTCAGATTTGATTATTTAATTTGGACTCTCTGGCTAACAAGTGTAGCTTCCCCTGCTATACCTTTAACAAAGGCTAGTCACCAGCAGTCGGATCATATGTCAAGCAAGCACTGTGACTAGTCAAACTGGGTCAACAAACAAAGCAGGCAAGTTGTGGTCACAGCTGTTTTATCACTCACCCGGAGTCAAAGCATAGCTGTATCGAGTTACTGAAGCAGTCCAAGCCAGTCAATCCTGCTTTATGTAGGCTGGGAATTCTTAAAGAGGTTGTGGAATGCTGAAAGTCGTTTTGGTTTTTTAAATTTTTTTATTGTAGAGTAGACCCATATATATCATAATAACAAAGTCCCATTCTTTTGTAAAATGTTTATAAAACTGAAATTCATCGAGTAATTTGTTGGTCGGCGAACGCATAATTGAAATCAACAGTCGTCGGGTTCTTCGTAAAATGAGAAAAATCATGACGTAATAAACAGGACTCGTTTATACCACGCTGCATCTGGAGTCCTGTTTATTACATCACGATTTACTATGTTTTGTTTGCTGCCCCCAACGACGACTTTTACACAAATTGCAGGCTCGGGTCGAAACAGGACCTGAAAAACAGCTCTCAAAAGTACCTTTTGTACTCATTTCATGACAGACACAATAGTCGTTTTTATTTCATCACACATTAGGCTACATATACCCGAAAAATGACGGAAATGTTTTTCGATCATTCCTCAACCTCTTTAACTGCTGAAAACAGTCACTTGTTTGATTTTGACTGAAAGGACTACTTGGCACAGAAATATGTTTGCATAGGACGGTTAATTTCTTATTTTTCATGTGTTGTGGGTTTTTTTTACCAAAAAACCCCAAAGAACAACAACAACAATTGAAGAATATGAAGAGTGTTTAGGACCAAAAAAGAGAAGAACAACATTGATTGAAGAATATTAAGAGAAAAAATGCTTTACCCGAAGATTCGTCATGAGGCGTTGCATGATGTCGTCACATAACGGCGCGATGTGTGTGTTCAAGGCTCGGCACATGTCCCCGACCAGACCCACCGCGGCTAGGCACACCTGATACTCCATGATGTTGTCCAGCCCACAGAAGAGATGAACCTTGAACACCTCCACGTACTTGAGGAACTCAACGCCCAGAACTAGAAGGGCAGAAAAGTAAGTATTCCTATATCAAAAGATCCTACGCTGTTTGTCTGGGTTTGATATTGCATTCAATAGGGGACGATGAACAATAGAGGACAATAAGGTCCTCACTTCCCGAAGGTCCACGATTGACGATCGTGTACAAAACATATGGGACGTCTTCCTAAAAAGTTAAACTACAAACAAAAGAGGGACAATGGGGGGTCCATTATTGAAGGCGTGTGTGTGTAATGTCTGCCTGTGTGGGTAGGCCTACTACGTGTTATGGGGAAGTTTTTTATTGTTAGGCAAATTAGGACCAAGTTATGGGGACTTTCTGCTGTCCCCACAGCATTTTCGGTCCCCACAAATACCCCGCACAGATGAGTGTATGTCTCCACAACTACAGAACAACAATGTGGGCGTGTTCATCTATTCAAACTGTGGACAAAAAACACCAGAGAACAAAAGAGAACAATATCGTCCACGATTCCCAGCATACGTCCATGATTGGGGTCATGTACAAAACATATGGGAGTCTTCCTAAAAAGTTAAGAGTACAAACAAAGAGGGACAATAGGACGTCCACGATCGACGGTGTGAACACGACTGGATGTGTGTGTGTGATCTGGTACATGTGCACAAAGTCTCCAAGGGAACAAAAGATTGTATACGTCTCCACAGAGCAATTTCTATAGGTGAATACGTCTCCACAAGGTTATCACGAAATAGAAATAGAGTTCTAGACACCAGTTAGTGGGTCTACACCTCAACAATGTACCACAAGTTTGAAATTTGCCTTTTGCTCCGTGACAGTTACCCACAATCCTTTGTGCTTCCTCTTGTAAAATTTCTGTGTGAAGCTGACCAAACTGGTACACCTACCTTCGACAAGTGTCCCGACGGCCAACAGAGCGTCTTCCCGTACGCCTCCAGATTTCATGTTGCCCGAGTTGAACATCTGCAAGAGCAGCATCATGACTTCGTCCGAGATTGCTTTCACGTCCTCCAGTTTCATCTTTCTTAAGACACTCTGCAGGGAGAACAAAGTGGGAGTTGGCCTGGTTCTGATCTTTGCCTCAGAAATTCTGGGTCAAAAGTTCGACCAGGGTTAAAGGGGCACTCCCGATGCTTTTAAGCTATGTCTCAATAGGGAACTTGTGGAGTCCAAAATTTTTGACCACCAAATGATGGAGTAATTAAAAAGTATTTAAAAATGTACTTACAATGTCAGTATTGTCGCACAATAAAGAGTTAAGGACAATGTCAAATCCTCATGTGAACACATACAATAGGAATGTATCAATGAAAAAAAACAAATTCCACACAGCAGACCCCATTGATTTCTTCAAATTCTCTTTAATAAATAAAATTTTCACCTGTAATGTAGCACACAGAAGTGACTGCAGGTCGTTGTACTGGATGCGTTCTGAAGAGTGGACATGTGACTGTCAAATAATACCAAATTTGAAATTGATTTTATATTCGCATTATGAATGACTACATTTAAACTGCCATACATCAGACACAGTTTTGATAATTTTTTTTCTATGAAATGGCAAGTATCATTAGGCCAAAAAAAAAATAGTTCGGTCTCTGGTCAGCGCGTGCGTCGATTTTAATCATGCACGTCAATCCTTTTTTTTTCAAAATGTTCCGTGGTAGCTCCAACAGCGCCCTCTATTGCCGCCTCTCCTCATTTTTTTTTTTTACCAAAGAGCACCAAGGAATGGGAAATTGCACCAAGGCAAATGATCGAGGGCAACAAGGCAAATTATGGAGGACACCAATGTACATGAGGACACCAAAAAAAAGCAAATTAGTACTCCACCTTGTCTGTACAATCCAAGCTTGAAAAAAAGAAAGAAAAAAAGCCGCGTCGCCGCATCAATTCCGGAACTTTGGTCTGACCAGAGACCGAGAATTTTTTTTTGGCCTTATCAACAGAAAAATTTGTTGGAAATGTTAAGCTATGAAAGGAGCTTCAACATGTCAATTGATGGTTGGTCGGTCGGTATGTCTATCTGTCCGTCCCTGGAAAATGAACCAAAATAAGGACCCATAAATTTCCCACAAAATATTAATTTATTATTTAAAAAAAAAAATAGCCAACAAAATAAATTAAATAGTTAACAAAAATTGTTTGTAACAATTCAGAAAGATTGCATGAAGAGTTTGTAGATGGAGGCAATATAGGTGCAGTAATGTTATAGCCACGTGGTAATTATTATAAGATGGAATTTTACCACGTGGTTATTAGCACAAATAACTAAAAAAAAATCTAAGTATGGTGTTGCATATGAAAGGGGAACTCCCAAGAAGAACCTCTGAAGAAGGACGTAAAGTAAAAGTAAAGTCTGTCACGAGCCAATGTGGCTCATCAGGCCGGTGTTTATCTCCGGTTTCCTTGGCATGAAACGACTGAGAATATTTCTACTCCCCCTGGATGGGATGCTAGTCCATCGCAGGTTACTCCCCAGCTAATGCCGGTACCCATTTATACTCCTGGGTGGAGAGTGGCAAGTGGGGGTGGAGTGCCTTGCCCAAGGACACAATATATGGCCAGCGGCTGGATTCGAACCCCGGACCCTCTGATCATGAGTCACGAATCCTAACCACTAGGCCACACACTCCCCCCTGAAGAAGGACGTACTAAGACTGAAATATCGGGCCACTTTAATTTTGTGATTGTTTTTTTTTTTTCCGAAGAGGACAGGTTTAAAGGTTTTGGCAGTAGAGGGTCAATCAATGCTCACCTCCATCTGCAGAATGACTTTAATTCTTTCCAACACGATTTTGGTGACTCCTTGAATCACTGGATAACAGTCCTGTTCAAGAGAGAAATCATATCAGGAATTAGTTAAAGCCATAATCCATCATTTGCAGCTAACAAAAAAGTAACTGCCGAAATTATTGTTGAAAAACATACTTGGTTGAAAGATAGTAAGGGGACTAAACTCCCTGTGAAATTATTCTTTCTGGCAAGCTGTCATTTTGAAGAAATCAACAAAAGAAGGCCTTTCCAACGGTGCTTCTTAAGAAGCACCGTAGGAAATTCAAATTAGTAGTTTGTTTTGTTATTCGGCGAAGCGCGCGCAAGCATTGGCACGACGCACACGCACGCACAGTTGCTATAATTCGTCGGATCAGTGCGAACGTGTCTGGGACGCTGAATTCAGGCCCCATTCAAAACTCGATTCGGCAACTTTTGATTTTGAATCAAGATCCTAGAATGTTGTTTTTTTCTCGAAATATACAGCTAAAGCTGAGCTGAAACTTCATCAGGTTAGTTGTTCAGCACCCTTCTTTAAATCTTGAGCACTTTTGTTGCTTCAAACAAACCAAATGCACAAATTACAAATGATGGACTATACCTTTTAAGGAAGGGTGGCTCATTTGTCATTTGTGCATTTCTTTCGTTTGAAGCAACAAAAAACTCAAAATCTAAAGACGGTTGCTAAACAACTAACTTGATGAACTTTTAGCTCTGTGAATGCTGTATATTCCCTGAAAACAATATTCTAGGGTCCTGTTTTCAATTCAAAAGTTGCAGAGTCATGTTTTGAATTGCGCCCGAAATCAGCGTCCGGGACACTTTCTCATTCAGCCAATCGCAGCTACGCGATGTCGCGCACTGAACTGATGAATAAAAGATTCACAAGGAAATGAGATGGTCCGGATGCGCACACGATGTCGTGATTTCACACAGGTCAACTGCGATTGTGAACAGCCCCTTGGGAACAACGCAGCGCAGAAGTTGAAATGTTTCAACTCTTGTGCCTTTTTTTTTTAGCACCGACCGACACTGATCATCTTAAATTACTTCAGTTATGCTCAGGTTGCAATATAAAGTGGCGACTGAAATATTCCCAATGGTTGTAGCTCAGATGCAGCTTCATCCTGAAAGTCACAGTTGCAGACTGTTCTGTGTCGTCGCAAGGTCAACCTGAGGATGAGTAAGCATTACTTATGACCTACCTGAGCACTGTTTTTCATCAGTTCCATCAAGGCTTCGTATGCAGCATTTCTTAGGTTTGCTTGGTGAGCGTCGGATCTGGAGAAGAGACAGTGGCAATCGAAACAAAAACAACAAAAGTGGATAAAATTACACTTAAAAGCAAAAGGCATTATTCCTTCCTACAATTTGAAATGTCTTGCTGGTCACAAATATTCCCTTCGTCTACACAGCCCTATGGGCCCCGTGCGCCAACACAAGAGGGCGCCCTTTTACCTAGCAACGACGTCCCATGGGTGTCCCATTTTTGGTTTTTATGTTAATGCAAATTTCCACATTCACGAGCCAAAGCGTGATGTCATTTCAGGCAGAAACTTCAATGTTACAGCTATTTCAGCACCAAAAGTTGCCACAGTTTTGGACATTTTGCTGTTGTAAATTTTCTATTTTGTGGGGATTCGTTGTTATGTCAGTACATGGCTCTAAGCCAATGAGCAAACTGTTCTCACAAATATTTTCAATAAGCATATTTTTGGGTTCACAATTTGAACACAAAACCCCTAAACTGAACAGTGTCTTCCTGCAATGACATCACGGCAACAGCACCCTCATTGGCCAGAAACGCACGAAATTTTCAAAAAATATTTTAAGAAGTGCACCTTTCGATAAAATTAACCAAAAAAGGGATGTCAAATATTTGTCATACATTTAAGAGGAGTAGTATGTTCCTCATAAAAAAAAAAATTCACTTCATGGACCCTTTAAAACTGTGGACTGTTTTGATTTCAGTCCCACTCATGCTATCAACCAAACTTAGTGACAATAATCTTTGGGTAGGGGTGACTTGAGACATTTGAGGTCAAAGGTCATCTAGGGGTCAAATGACATCATTGTTGATTTTGGTTAGGTACGCTGAAAAGTGTGCTTACTAACTGACTGTGTAAATACTGCCAGCATGCCAAGGGGATCACGCAAGTTTATTAGTTTTTGTTGTTCTACTTGTCAATTGTCTTATCTGTTGCCAAGTGTTTGTATCGTAGATTTGATATCCCAGTCTTGAATTGTCTTGGTCGTAATTTTGTTGTTGTTGTTGTTGTTGTTGCTTACAGCAATATATTCACTGGGATTGGGTATTTCATACATGCATGTTAATTATGTTCTTTGTACTTGATATAGCATTTAAGGAGAGCCATCAGATAGTGATTAAGTTCATTTTTGGAATTTTTCAGGGGTGTTATCAATATTGTTTTGTTTGTTTTTTTTGTCTTTGTGTTACCCTAGCCTGTTACCCAAAATGTTTGTACTGTATTCTGTGTCGGTTATGTGTTTTTACCTGAGAAATAATAAATAAAATAATAAATAAATAAATGCTCATTTTTGGAGTGGGAAAAAAATTATGAGAAAATTGTACTTCTTACCTATCCGCTGTGGTGACGAGTTTCTTTGTGATGACTTCAAAGCTAGATGACAGACAGTATGACGTTGGCTCTCCTTCTTCTGGCATTCCGCGAAGGGCGGTCTCATACGCCGACTCGGCCAAACTAGAAAATGCCTAGTAGTAACGACAAGAATTGAAGATTGTATTGTGAGTTACTTTGCGTTTCAGTTGTTTCCATACAATAAAATATTCTGGCGTGTGTAAAACTTGATTGGCGAGACTCGAATATTTGAATATTCGGTCAAGTGCAGTTTCGATTACTCGAATACTAAATTATTTGAAAATGAACAGCCCTATCATTTAGTGCAATTGGTTAGATGGTTTGTTATGGGTGAAGGGAAATTTATCATCAATGATCCTAAGCAATGCTTCAACGGATACAGTGGCTGGGCTGGTGTCAATCCTTCAACATCCCCCCAAAAATTCTGATGGATTATGAAAGATCTGCAGCATGCGATTACCCAACAACTTTGTTGCGAAGCTGGGTGATTCTTGAGAAATTGGAACTCAATCAATTTTTGGAAAAAAATGGAAGCTTTTATGTGATGTAATACAAACAATTTTGTTCACTAAGTGTTGTTCATAAGTAAAGATGCAAATTTCTGAAGATGTTTCATAAGGTGGTCTTTCCGTGCATAAATTAGCATAAATTTAATTTTAAAATAGTTGGTCATAGCAGGCACAGTAACTCTGCAACCATATTGCACTGCATGAATTTCTGAACTGTTTCTGTTTTTGTCCCCACTTTATTTCAGGTTTTTCACAAGATGGCTTAAAGGGAATATACATCATTTGCTTTTGCTGTAAATTTCAGAAATGGATGGAATTGGGGGGTTGGAAATATATAGCAAATATAGTTACACTGACTTTTTTGAGGTTTTGGGTTCGAAAATGCTATAAAAACCAAGAAAAACGATCATTTTCCTGTAGTCTGGTTCCCTGACTCCATATAAGAAGAAACAGAGCAGTTTACATACATTGGGGAATTGTAAGGTCAGGGAACCAGTCTAGCTGGCTCATAGGTGTGTAATCGATTGCAAACAAGTGCGATGGTCAACTGGGGCCAGTATTTGAAAAAAAAAGCCAGTTTTTTCCAACGCTGGTCGGCCGACCAGCGTTGGAAATTGATACAAAAATACCACTTTTCTTGAAAATGACAGTATACCAGGTGCCATAATTTTACAGGATGCTTTACACTGTCATTCACTAACAGTCCAGCAAGGTATTTCAAAATGATTTGGTAGTTTTATTTTTTGATGTTTGCAAATGTTGTATTTTTCCCTTTAACCAAACGGACCTGACTCGAAAATAGCAACACCATGGCTGAAAGTTTTACGAAATCCTGGCTGCCTGAGGTGCTTAGATCACTCACCCAGCATATGTTGGCAGCGACTCTGGGCTCGGCGTCCAAACTGACAACCAACGCCTCCAGGAGTTGAGGGAAGATCTTGTCGTTGAGAATGGCCTCCGGCAGCAGCTCACAGATGCGTCCCAGCGTCCAGGCCACCGTGTCTCGCACCACCACGCTCTCGTCTCTCAGCAGGCCAATCAGCGGGTTGGTCACCTCGGTGACTGCGGGCTTGAGGCAGTCCGGGTCAGGCCCTTCCAGAATCGAGCCTGTAAACGTTGCGGGGTCAAAACTAAGTTTTAAGCAATGATCAGCATTGCCTTTTGAGATTCCTGTTACCGTTAAGCTACATGCTGAACGAGGCGGCCATATTTTGCTCTACTACACTATTCTTTACATTTAAATTAGCACATTAACTCTAACCGCCCTGAATCCTCCAAAATCCTTTTTGCAAATTGGAGGAATTTGCAGGATTGAGTTTACATGGCCAAAGTGCGTTGCTGATTTCGGAGTACGCACTGTGTCAAGGTCTTGGGCCAGACTTTGTGTTGTTTATGCTCAGCCGTGCATAAATTTAGTCCTTGATTATACTTGACATCCTTCGCACTGCTCCAGGATGTCACTGCCTCTGCCTAAGCCTATTGACAGTCATAGCCGGAGGATTTTGCAGGATTCAGGCAGTGGCACCCCTCCATGGACCATATTCAAGAAACAATGGAGGAATTTGCAGGATTGAGGCTATATGCTATTTTTCCATGAGGCCGATTGGAGGATTTTGCAGGATTGAGGCTACATCCTAGCAAAAAGGCCTAGGGAGTTAGGGTTAATTAATGTAGTGGAACAGCAAAAAGGGAAATCCGACCCTCTTGTGACAAAGGACGAGCACCAGGGTGCTGTTAAAACTTTGTTCTTACTGCGGCATAAGTACCCTAAACAGTTTCAAAGACAGGTGTTTGAATACCATTCACTGCAGCATGCCCAGTGCCATGCGACGATGATGCGCCCAAGTTGTACATACTCAGTTGAACGTCACATTTACATAAGTCATGTATTTTTTTCACTGTACAGTTTTGACCAGTTTACACGTGTAGAGTGTGCTGCACTATTATTTATTCGGCATTATACAAATAATGAATGTTTGTGAGTGCAATGACAAGAATAGTCTCACGAGGTGACAGATAAAATGTTCCATTCCACGAGGCCAAGCCGAGTGCAAATGGAACAATTCCATTTGTCAATGAATTAAATTATTCTTTCCATTGCACGAATGTGAAACATTTGTTTTATACAACACCTGAATAAATCCTCGTCATCTGATTGGTCAGGGCCGCCAATTGTCTGGCCGTGCAATAGAACTTCCATTTACCGTGGAATAGAACTTCAATTTTTGCCGTGCAGCCGCACCGTGCATTGGGACGAATAATTCAATGACATGTGATCAACGACCCACCAATCACATGACAGGGATTTATTCAGGTATCGTATAAAAAAACATAAAATATGAAACAAGGACAAAAGCCAGAGAAATATGCCAGGAAATGAAAAAGTTTACCTAAAAATTGTGACTTTAAGGCCTTCAATTCCAATACCTCTGGCAATACATAAAATAATAGTAAACAAAACCTATGGTGCTCTAGTATGTAAGTGTAGGCTACACTTTGCCATCTGCTATTACCTCACATGAAATGAAATTTTTGATCAAGCAAATGTGAAGACTGCAAATTTTGAAAAAAACACAGGTCGTTGGTTTTGGGATCTCAGCCAAATTTCGTGGAGCAGGTAAGTAATAAAGTAGCGCTTAGCAACGTCGCCATTGGTGGAACGATATAGCATAACAAATTTTCCTATTGGCTTACGCGATGTCAACAAAGACTTGCTTTCAGCAACCTAAAAGCGTTCAGTTAAAAAGAAATCATTAGGACACTTTGCTGCGTGATTTCTTCTATAATTTCAAACAAAAATGTCATCGAAAATCGGTTTCCATGATGCATGGTGTCCCTAGACTCGAAAGTCTGTGCGGCCGTGTAACTCTCGGTCAACCAACAGAATTGCTTGGTGGGCACAGACATTGCCGTGGGAATTTCCCCTGGCACGCAATACCATGCTGCTGCAAACAGCTAGCGCAGAACATGCATGGCGCACGCACACCTAAGTACGGAGGAATATGAGACACACGGACCAGACTTTTTGGACTGCGTTGCAATGACGATTACGTGACAACGTACGTATTTTTAAAGTACATGTACATGCAAACTCACTGATGTAAGACCACGATGTATTCTTTCGGATAATACCAGAAAGAAAAAAAATCACTTGCTGATAAATGCCTATAAATTGTTTTGGCGGTCGGCAATTTTGACCAATTTTGATCGGAAGTCGGTATCGTTATATGTTTTTCCCCAATAAACTAATAAAATTGTGTGGGGTCGCATTTTATCGCTTTCAAAAATAGGGTCGGTCGGGTGACCCGAAACCAAAGGTATTTTTTTGTTTGGCCTAAGCGGATATATCGTCTATGCTTAGCACGTTTGTGTCCTACCAAAGCTCATGACAGCTGCGTCTCTGAGCCTCCACTCCTCGCTGTTGATGTGTGCATTGACAAACGGAAGGACCAAGTGAATGATGTCGTTCTCGCAGCAGTTGGCCAGCAGCATGAGGCAGACGCCGGCGGCTTTGCAGGGGATCCAATCATCCTCGTCGTCAAACTCCTCCTAGCAGCATTACAGGGGAAAACAAATCAAATGAAGGAGGCGGTAGAAAATTCGTCCTACAGCCGATTTCACAAAGCATTGCATAACAGCTGTGCAATAAAATTACGGTCATTTTTGGGGATTCACAATGCAGTGCGCCACCAAGAGTTTGCCATGGAGAGTCCATTCTTCCAAGTTTACTGTCGACAAAACATGGCCCATTTGAATGAGTGTCAGTAGACAACTTGAGGTAATTTGTTATAGATTGGGGCATGGCGTTCTGCCGCCTTACAAAAAAACACCATATTGATAAAAAGAAAAGAAAAGGGCAAACAGATACTCGAATCATATCTGCCATACTAACGTGACGTGGCTGCGAACGTTTTAAATCATTTAATTAACCCTAACCGCCCTGAATCCTTCAAAATCCTCTTTGCCAAAGTGGAGGAATTTGGAGGATTGAGGTTACATGGCAAAAGTGCGTTACTGATTTCGTAGGATGCACTTTGTCAAGGTCTTGGGCCGGGCCTTGTGTTGTATTTGCTCAGCCATGCATAAATATAGGCCTGGATTATGCTTGAAATCCTCCGTACTGCTCCAGGATGTCACTGGCCAAGCCTCAGCATATTGACAGTCACTGCCGCAGGATTTTGCAGGATTCAGGCAGTGGTCACCCCTCCACGGACCATATTCAAGAAAATAATGGAGGAATTTGCAGGATTGAGGCTATATGCTATTTTTCCATGAGGCCAATTGAAGGATTTTGCAGGATTGAGGCTACATCCTAGCAAAAAGGCCTAGGGAGTTAGGGCTAAGCAAAACAGTCGTTGGATCACAAAACGAAAATACTGACCGCCAAATTAACTTAAGTTGTAAAAGCAGTTTTTGGTTTTTTTGAGAACCGGTGAATTAACAGTCAAATAATAAAATGCAACGTAAAATAGCTTTTTTTATTGATGTTTGATAAAACAAAAACCTGGAAAAGGTCAAACAGGCCTTACAGATTGAGGTTGAACCCCTCAATTCAAATTTTGGCCTTGACCCACTAATAGTGCAAACTAGCAATTTCAAACGTAATGCTCGTTTCGGTTTGGTGATCGTCAACATCTCAATATAAACAGACATGGAACTTTGAATACCATCAAACATCACTAAACTTTACTCCACAATTTGTCCACACTATGCACATCGTGTCTTCACTTTTTTCCTTTTTTTTTTCTTGGTTGGGGAGGGGGTTACACGGAAGGTGTTAACGACAACAAACTTGTGTGGTCCGAGCATTACTGATGAACTATAAAATTACGCCCAAGAAAGTCAAAACTGAGTATTAAATCGGCGTACCTGCTTTGCGAGTAGGGTCGTCAAGATTGGCACCAGGTAGGCTAAGGCTCCCTTGGCGTAGAACTGACTGCTGTGTTCTGGTACCCGCCCCTGCTCTTGAGCCTATGTAAGTACAATTGTACATTGTGTTACAAAACCAGACTGTTGGGAAGCCAGTGTTGTGGTCCTGTTGATAGCAGTTTCGCCAGAGTTATCATTCAGGGTGGGAACGGGGAGAAACATACAACTATAAGATGGTCTGAGGGAGACTGATGACTAGAGCAGGCTAGTTGCAACGTTGAGACCAGTGTTGGAGCAAAGGCTTAACCCTCAAGGCTAAGGCCAAGGCCCTGTTTTATAAAATGACCACTGATATACAACTAATTATAGTCACATGACACATCATCACGAATTGCCCACAAAGAAGAACAACATGTCTTAAATTGCAATCAACATGCTTGCATACACCATTTTATGACTGCATTAGATCTATTAAAGTATAAGTTCAGGTCTTCAATATGGTTTAACTAAAACAAAATAAAGATTTACTTCTATATTGACGCACAATTCTCCCGAGTGTAACAAAAGGGGGATCCAAGAAACTGATTTGGGAAATTTTTATTTGCTGAGCCAACATGGTCAGAAATATCAGCATTATCTAAAACAGATACATGCAAATCTTTAGCACATATCAGGGAGACATACAACCAATCAGATCTATTCCATAATTGTATGCAATTTAAGTGATCATCTCATTAGCCCCACAAGTGTACAGAATATTTTTGCAGCAAATCTACTACAATGGTAACAACATGTGATGCTATAAAAGTGGAAGTGTGCCCAACACACAAATCTACAAGGGGTTTCCCTCCCCCATGGTAGTACGATTAAAATGGTAACAGCAACATTTCGAACAGATTTATCTGGAAAATGCAAAAATCTATGGGCCTTGAAGAGCCTTGACTCAAAATTGCAAGGCCGTGATCCCTCAAGGCCAAGGCCAAGGCCAAGGCTTTTGCCCTCAAGCCTCGAGGCCAAGGCCAAGGCCCTAAAGTCCAGCTTTAAGGCAGCCTTAAGGCCAAGGCCCAGCATCAAGGCACTACATCACTGGTTGAGACCAAACTTATCTCACTCAGCCTCAGTGAAGATAATTATGAGAAGTCCCACCGCCTTCTAATTTACTCAGTGTAAGTAGATAATAAGCAGGACAAGTTCCTTTTCTTAGCAGGACAGTTCTTATCGGATCTAAATCTACTGAGCGAAAGTAGACACAACCACATGGTGTTGCCGCAAACCAAAGCAATACAGATTTTTCTTTTTAAAGAGTCATCAATTCGCATTTTTTTATTCAAAGAGTTGAAACTCATGTCCAGGAAGAACTTGATCCAATTCCAAACCCACCTCTGAGGCTTCGATGGCAAGGTCCATCTCTTCGTCGCAGACGTTGGACCAGAACTCAATGCCTTGGAGAGCTACTTCATCGTTCTGACTCTTCATTGCTTCCACAGTTATCTGTGAAGTTAACAAAACTAAATTGATTGAAAACACCTGTTCTTATATTTATTTGCTTCATCCTCATTTTGGGAAGAAATTGAAACATTGTGTTCACTATTGTCAAATTGACCTCATGGTTTTTGAGCATTATCCCTAACCATCCTCAATCCTAAGTTATACGGGCGGTTTTGAAGGATTTTGGAGGATTGAGGATGAATGCAACATGCAATTCTGGAGGATTGTGGAGGATTGAGGGCACATGGACATTGAGTATCGGTTGATTTTGGAGGATTGAGGAAGAATGATGTTTGAAGAAGAGGAGGATTTTGGAGGATTGAGGCTGAATGCACTTTGAGAGACAGGGCTGTTGGAGGATTTTGGAGGATTTTGAAGGACTGAGGCAGTGGGTATCCTGGATTTGCAAACTTTTTAGGGATTTTGTAAGATTGAGGATGGTTCCTGGCAAAAAGGGCCTAGGAGGTTAGGGTTAACCACTTCCTGCCGGGTTTATTTTTGCCACAAGTAGTGATTAGCATGAGTGACTTCAACAGTCTTTGTACGATATTTCTTGCCAAAACCTCATATGTTTCAATACTCAGGGGTATGGCACTGGAGCGAATTGTACAACAATAGGCCGTGCACAAAGGCCCACACAATGGTCAGCACATGGTCCACCTCCACAGACAACACACACTTTGTGTGTACGTGTTCATCTTTTCAAACCATGGACGAAAAAATTCCAGAGAACAAAAGAGAACAATATCGTCCACGAGTCGCAGCATAGGTCTGTGATTGGGGTCGTGTACAAAACGTATGGGAGCTTCCTAAAAAGAGTAGAAACAAAACAGGGACAATAGGACGTCCACGACCGACAGACGATAGACGTCACCCAGAGGCAAGTGGAGGCAATCTTGACGTCTTAATCTGTCGGCCATGCCTGGGTACAAAAACAGCCAGTGGGTGTGATCACGGCCTCCGGCGCGAACTGGTTAAGCACAAAATCACCCGGAGAGATACTCACAGCAAATAGTGCAGGTCCCATGTAGGCCTCCATATACTGGTAATAGAGGGACATGATTTTGACCAAACACTGTAGCGCCGCCACCTCCACTTGCATGTCTTTACACTGTGTGGCTTCACAAACAACTTGCATGATGTAATGGCGTTCGGCCTGTAAAATGAAAGAGCATGGTTATATTTTGATTAGTGGTAAAATGTTGTATCCTCTGCGTGAAACCCCGTTTGCTAGTATTGTGACTTTGGGTGTGATCTCAGGCTGCATGTTAAATAAGGAAATAAATTTGGCTGGTTTTAAACAAGTCCGTTTAAGACGGGCTGGGGGAATGGCTGCTGATAATGGGCTCCGTGCGCCAACAAAAGAGGGCGCCCTTTTACCTAGCAATGACGTCCCATGGGCGGGACATTACATTTTGCTGGTTGACGCGCGCCCACCGTTCCTTGTGTGTGACGCACGTACACCAGAGGATTTGTACTATGTACACGCAGTGGCCGCGCATCGCGGCAAAATATTGCAGTCAGGCAAGATGGCGTCATTCGGTCACCCCTAACTGTACTTTCTTTGCCGGTGAGGGGGTACTTGTGAACGGAGCGGATAGCCAGAGACGAATATCATTGGTAACCAGGTTCCCAGCTGGTAAATGGCCAAGCACAATTTATTCCCATGACAATTCTCCGTCATATAGAAAATTTCTCCGTTTCGACTGAAGTAGGGTCAGTGAACCAGACAACAAGAACAGCATTTTCTTTCTTTCTTGCTTTTTCCAACATCTAGAGTAACAATATTTGCTATAAAATACTCAACCCAAAATCCCCTCCATTTTTGAAAATCACAGCAGAAGTAAATGTTGTATATTACCGTTTAAGTATGCTAAATCTTACCTCTTTTTCAAAGTTTGCCTTTGTGAATTCTAGTGAGTTGAGCAGGGCGGTTGTGGCAGCCAACTTCACCCTAAAGCTGCAAAAAACAACGACGACAACATGGGTAGATTATGGGCTATGCGCATATACTGAAGTACCCCCTCAAGGGTGAAAAAAATACCAATGCGAGGATGACCATCTGGGTAGACATTCTGCCTGCAATGCACAGGCCAACAATGCCAGGGCCCAAGTTTACGGCGCTGCTAAGCACAAAAATTTGCTGAGCACAAAAAAAGTCTGGCTTATAAAAAGCAGGTTACCAGCCAAAACTCCACGTGATTTTCATGCTAAGCAAACAATAGCCGAGTACTAATCAAGAGCAATATACATCATGTGGAGTTTTAGCTGGTAACCTGCTTTTTATTAGACATACTTTTTTAAGCTAAGCAAAGGTTAGTGCTAAGCAGCACCGTGAAATTGGCCCCAGGAGAGATGGATCTGCATTTATGTGTACCTTTAACAATTGTCGACTGCTGGGATGTGGGGTATGCCGTTTTTAACACCTGAGGGGCGCACACCATCTTTAATTGGGCCTATTTACCGGTCTGCACTGACAATGCCAATTGCATTGACCACATTGAAGCAACGGTCTGCCATCTTGAGTCACCCATGACACTCTGGCAGTTAATGTGAGTTTTAGAGGAGTAGTCGAAATTAGAGTTCTTCTTCACAGTTACGACGGCAAAATAAGATCTGTATTTTCTTGACCGGCTTTTGAAATTTAAACAATCCTATGCCTTGAACTGTCCAACATCCGAAGAAAAATGTATTTACTAGGGGAATTATTTTCAGTGAAATGTTAAAACACTTCAACTGCAGAATGGTGTACATGTACTTTTTGGGCACCCAAGATGGCGTATCGGTTGCTTCAAGCCACATTGGCTAATCAGCATGTAGCAGCCAGTCCTGGGCCAAATTTCTTCGCTACATAACCACTGAATTCTGTGCTTACGATCACCATTTGGTGCTAACAGATTTGTTGTTGTTTTTTAGTCATTTCATGATCCAAAATAAGCCATTTGCGAGTTAAATTTGAATAAAATCTGGAACGCCGACTTAATCCAATGCTTTGTACGTTTAAACTTTGCATTCTCCCGACCAAAGATACTGTTACTATATCATGTGATTCGGGGCAAGCCTTATGCTAGCAACCCCCAGCTCCAGCATGGTCTGGTGTGAACAATGTATTGGTGCTGAGCGTCTCTTACGTAACTATGCAAGAGCTTGCCCTGAATCATGTAATTAGCAACAGTGTCTTTGGTCTGGACTCTGGAGAATTCAAAGTTAAAATGTGCCAAGCATTCTGAGCAAGTCAGTGTACCAGATGTTTTTCAAATGTAAATCCCAAAGGGTATAGGTCACTCGCAAATGGCTTATCAACCCTCCTATGGAAACATGCATTGTCAGCCTGGTTATTACTTGGGTTAATATTGGTCAAGACCCCCATTGGTTTGTACACAGTAGGCCAGGAGGTGAGATACAAACATTTTGACCGTTGGTGACCTCTTAAATAGTAGGAGGGTAAAATAGATGCGAAGCTCACCTTTCTTCCTCGACTCTCATTCCTTGGACAATCGCTGTGAGCATCTCATTGCATTGTGACTGCAAGTGTTCCGGCTCCTGGCGTAACATGAAATAAAATGAGACGCAAAGTCAGCATCGGGTTTTTGCCCTTCACTGATTCATAATTCCATAAGAGATTGATTGTGATACCTGCTGCTATATCAGATTCTAACCAACCAGCAGATTCCAGCCGGCTTGGTGGTCAAGTGGTAAGATGTCTGAACTGGTTAGCAGGAAGTCGTGGGTTCGAGTCCCACCCGAGTAATCTTGTGAGGGTTTTCTCACAAACCCTTGGACAACACTGAGTATACAGCACTTATAAAATTGCATCGGGTAAAACCAAATGAAGAATAGACCACACATTTATAATAATAATGTCTCACACACACACAAAAACTCAAAGCCCCCTCTTTTTCACAGCTTTTAAAAAACTACATCGTGAGTATCGATACACATTTAGCGAGTATTGTGAGCTTTTCAACACCGGAAAAATCTTTCTAATTGAGTTAATATTTATTGAGTTAGGACCAATTGAATACAAGTACTGCTGTTTCATTTGTCCACGGCGACCGATATTTTGACTGCCGCAATGAGAAGACAATCCAAAACTTGCATTTGTGAAAAAGGCTACCAAGTAGAGGGCAGAGACAGAGCAGCACAGTAAACATCTAAAAAGTTAACCAAACAATTCTTTTCAGGACTATCATTACTTCCAAAAGGATAAAGGACCATTGTTTCAACAACAACAACAACAAAACCAAATATAGAAAAAAAATATTAAAACATTAATGAAAGCAAAACTACCCTCCCCAAATCCATTACATTCCTGACAAATGACAATTGAGACCGTGGACAGATTGAAAAATCGGCACTTATTTTGAATTGGCCATAACTAAATAAATATTTACCCGATTGGAAAGATTTTTTTAGGTGTTGAAAAGCTAATGGAATATACTCTCTAAATGTGTATCAATATTTGCGATGTATTATTTTTAAAAGCTGTGAAAAAGAGGGCGCTTTGAGGATTTGTTTTTTTGTGAGACACCCTGTATAAAGCTTTCCACCAAAGAGTCTCAACAGTGCTTCACAATTATTACCCATGTTCAACAGGCCATGAGACCCCTTTTCTGCAGATGAGATCATTGCAATCTGGTCTCTACCCCCACTGGTACCCGTTTACACTCCTGGGTGGAGAGAGGCAATTGCAGTAAAGTGTCTTGCCCAAGAACACAAGCACCATGTTCCCTATCATGGCACACGAGTCAAACTACCATAACCACTGGACCGCGACACTTACTATTTTACGCATTTTACTGGCTCATGATCATTGTTGCAAACAATGAAGACACAAAGGGCACAAAACTTTTTCCCTTCCAAGTTTAAAACTTACGATGTCTTGGCAGATGTATCCGATGGCTTCCAAGGTGGCTTCCCTGAGTGCTTCGGTGCTGCCGAGACTGGTGACATTGCTCAGAAGATGGGGGATTAAATCCGGCCAGGACTGTACGGGAATTTCTGTACAGGCAATGCAGGCCACGCACTAGACGGACACGAACAAATGAGAAGAAAAAGAAATCCAATGTCAGTTGCGAGTCTCAAAGCTTGGGGTGGGGGATCATGCAACTATATTTTTATTGTAACGATGTTTTCATGCAAAACGCTTTTGGGAGATGGCAGCATTTTTAAACTGTTGGTTAAATGTTCAAATGGTTAAACAATGCGACAAAGTTTCGATAAACGCTTACAAACTCAAATATGGATTCTGATCTTTATCCTTTTCATAACACCATGCAAGGTTAACCCTAACCTTCCCAAATCACCCAAAATCCTCTTTGCAAAATGGAGGATTTTGCAGGATTGAGGCTGTGTGGCAAAAATGTGTGGCTGATTTTGGAGGATGCACTGTGTCAAGGTCTTGGGCCGGACCTTGTGTTGTTAATGCTCAACTGTGCATAAGTTTAGGCCTAGATTGTACTTGATATCCTCCGCACTGCTCCAGAATGTCACTGGCTCTGCCTCAACATACTGACAGTGATTGCTGGAGGATTTTGCAGGATTGAGGCAGTGGTCAAGGACCACACTCAAGAAATAACGGATGATTTTGGAGGATTCAGGCGGTATGCAATTTTTACATGGAGGCAGTTGGAGGATTTTGCAGGATTGAGGTTGCATCCTAGCAAAAATGTCTAGAGAGTTAGGGGTCAATGAATGTTTAGCTTTTATTAGAAACAAGTAAAAATTTACCTGAGCAGCAGCTTTCGTCGAGTGGGTCTCTGTTCCAAGTGACTGCAAAACCTTTGAACAACAAAAAGAGACCTCAATAATGTATTGCTCATGCAAGGTCACATTTGAGAAATGCAACCCTTCGGATGTGCTCTAAATGCACACAAGAGTGCAGCATACAACATGTACATGGCCAGCATACGTGATCTGATACACCGTGCCCTATGGAGACATGCACACAATAGGGAACAAAATAGATATGTGGATTTTACTCAAAAACTAGGAATTTCCAAGGTTTGTTGATCAGTCACAAATGGTAGAGCTTTAGAAAAGGGATATTAATTTCGAATTTCAGCCAAGGAAATTAATTCTGGTTAAAATAAGAGCATTTTGAAACTGTACTTTCAAACTCGAAAACTTTAGTACACAAGAACAAAGAAATGTCTCCACAAGGATACAAATTTCAGAATGTGTGTAGGTGCACTATGAACAAAAAATAATCACTACAGCCTAACCACGTGAACTATTCGTCATTGTTAATGCAGAGCGAAATAAAATGTTCAATCTCGGATTCAGCATTTAAATTTTGGGCGTATTGGTTTCGACATCACACCTTTACGGGAATATAAATGCAGATATGCAACTAGCCGTACAAAAGCTGAACAAAAGATCGAGCTTTCGATAAGTTTGGGCACAAACATGGATGTGCCCAGCATGCTACAATGCATACAGTGTGATCAGCACTCAAGAATTTAAAGGTAGAGTATATCATTTGTGCATTTTTTTTTTTTTTAAGCAACCAAAGTGCTCAAAATCTAAAGACGGGTGCTTAACAACTAACCTGATGAAGTTTTAGCTCTGTGAATGCTGTATATTCCGAGACAACAACATTCTAGGATCTTGATTTCAATTCAAAAGTTGCCAAGTCATGTTTTTAAATTGCGCAATTCAAAAGTTGCCCAGTCATGTTTTTAAATTGCGCCCAAAATCAGCATCCAGGACATGTTCTCATTCAGCCAATTGCAGCTACGCGATGTCACGCACTGAACCGCGCGCATGTGTGCGTCGTGTCAATGCTTGCGCGCACCCATTCACGCACCCCCATTCAACGAACTACTTTAGAATGGAAATTTCCAAAAAAATGCGTCTTTAAAAACGCATTTTGGAAATGACCTTCTTTTATTGTTTTTTCTTCAAAGCGACAGCATGCCAAAAAGAATAATTTCACAGGGAGTTTTAGTCCCATTACTATCTTTAAACCAAGTATGCTTTTCAACGATAATTTCGAGTTACTTTTTAGATAACTGCAAATGATATACTCTACGTTAAATACAACTCAATGATGTAATCAAATCTTAGAGGAACCTGAATCAACAGCTACAAAGAGTCAACTTCTTTAAAAAAGTTCATTCATAATTTTGATTCCAATTTCAGAACTGATTCTATTCGATTCTGGCATGGAGTTGCCCGCGTCTACATGTACTTCTTGAGTCAACTACTTACCATTAGTTTGATCTCAGTTTTCAGTTTGTTGTCGAGCGCCAGCCATCGCTGCTGGTACAAGGCCCGCACTTCGGGTGATTTGGACGTCAGGGCATTTTTAAGCTGGAGGCCTGCCGCCATGCGCGGCACGGCATCATACGAAGCGTTGGCCAATATCTGGGCCAGGAGAGCCAGGTATTTGTTCTGGAAAAGAAAGCCAAAAAGGAATGTCTGCCGTTAATATAAGTTTGAAAAAGGACTTTCAACTTCGGAAAATGGAATGCAGGCTTTTAATATGGATGTACTGTCAATGCTATTTTTAGATTCAGCTTGGAAAAAGAAAAATGACATTGAATACATGCGCAAAGAGTCTATGATAAATCTTGGGGGCTGCACAAGAACGGACACGAAGGCCCATTTTTTTTATCGTGGCAAACATTGCAGCTGCTAATTCTAAAAAACTCAAGGCGACCCTAACCCTCCTCAATCCTCCAAAGTCCTCTGGGCGGTTTTGGAGGATTTTGGAGGATTGAGGATGAATGCAGCATACAATTTTGGAGGATTGGGGAGGATTGAGGGCACATAGTCATTCAGTATCGGTTGTTTTTGGAGGATTGAGGATGAATGGTGTTTGAAGAAGAGGAGGATTGTGAAGGACTGAGGCAGTGGGTACCCTTCATTTGAACATGCATGCAATTGCAAAATTTTGGAGGATTTTGGAGGATTAAGGATGGTTCCTAGCAAAAAGGGCCTAGGGGGTTAGGGTATAAAGGCAAAAGTTTCTGTGAATGTATCGTAGTTTCAGATTCATTTCAATTTGTATTCAGATGGACTATGAACTTACGACAGAACGTAAGGGGGGGGGGAGGTTTCATTGGGCAGGACATTTTTTTAACCCTTACCGTGCCCACCCCTTCAAAATCCAACGGCATGTTTTGTTTGATCCTGTTGGAGTGAGTACTGCACTAGTATTACTGATTATGTTTTACATGGGGTCAGCATACCACCATAATCAGAGTCCAACAGTTTGGGTGTAGAGATTATCATAAGGTGTTGGATTTTGCAAGAGTGAGGAAGGTTCCTAGTAAATCACTCAAGGGGGTTAGGGTTAAAATAGTAATTACATGCACATACATGTATAACCCAATATGTACTCGTTTAAGGACTGAGACACCTTACTTTGTACAAGAAAGTTTAGTTAGACATGACAGATAGCCAGAATACAAACAAATAATAATAATAATTCTTAAATGAGAACACAACGACGTTGTAAAAAGTAAAATCAGTAAAGTCCGTTACGAGCCAATGTGGCTCATCAGGCCAGCGTTTATCTCTGGTTATGAAACGACTGAGAATATTTCAACTCCCCCTGGATGGGATGCTAGTCCATCGCAGGTTACTCCCAGCTAATGCCGGTACCCATTTATACTCCTGGGTGGAAAGAGGCAAGTAGGGTGAAGTGGCTTGCCCAAGGACACAACATATGACCAGCAGCTGGATTCAAACCCCTGACCCTCTGATCACGAGTCAAGAACCCTAACCACTAGGCCACAATCTCCACAAACGACCTTGGCTGCCCATGAATGACATCACACAGCCACACCAAAAAGAATGTAGCCTATATTTGAGGAAAAAACAACAACACTTTCTCTCGTAAAAGGTAACACAGAACTTACAAAGTTTTCTTGTGCAGCTTGTTCTAGAAACTTCTGAGCAAGTTCCAATTCATGAGTGTCTGCAAAAGAAATTTAGAAGCAATGAATTCATAACACAATTTTTTTTTTTCAGATTCCAAGGCAAGACTGTGAAATTACGGTGAAATATCGGACACTTTCTAAACATACTTGTGTCAGTATATATTGCACTGTTCAACGGGTTGAAACTTAAAGGGCTTCCCAAGATTGTCACGTGATTTAGGGGTGTGCATTTACGGGTGGTATGGGAATTGGGTACTCAAAAAAAACCACCAAAAACCCGGGTATTTGGGTACCTGTTAAAGAAACCCAACCCCAAAATTTAAATCTCGGAAGTTGCTGTTCATATCGTCGGTGTTTTCACGACGTGACAAAAATCTCAATATCATGCAAAAGGTCATTCCGAGATAATCGCCTTTGAAGTTAATCACTTTTTCAAAACACCTTTTCGACTAGTTTTTAGTTATGGATTTAAGAAATTCTTGCATTGTCAAGTAACGTATGCTTTGTTCTTTGCTAATTCAAAGTTGTTTATTAGGAGTCTCTCTTAATTAAACTGTAATTCATTAATAAAGATCAATAAAAGTTTTTTTCACTTTGTGAAAACAGCAAAACACAGAGGCCTCACTATTTTGTCCCATTAAGTTGTACACACTCTTTGTCACTTCGTGAAAACATAAAACGTTCTAAGAAATTGTTACATTTGCGCGTCTGACGTCACTGCAGCTCGCGCGCGTCTGTTCTTTATCGACTTCGTTCACGGTGTGCGCGTCCAATCTCGTCCAATCCCATCCTAACGTGTGTGTAGAGAAATGCTTTACTCCTCTGGCCCTGCTAACAAGTTAAGTTTGTGTCACTTCATGAAAACAGAAAAAAAGGATTTTAGGCTTTTTGTCAAATGTTTGTTTACGATAATTACAAAAGTAAACAATATTTGGCTTTGAAACTCAGCCAAATTCTTCCTTTTGTCAAATGCAATAAATTGGTCGGCAAAACTCAAAATCGATTTTGGAGGTTTTTGTCACTTCGTGAAAACATCGATGATATTGTTCATAAAGGTCCGCACGATAATACTACCACATCGGTGCGTCAATACAGCAAGATACAAGTATGTACATGCTGGGCGCGATCAGTCTATGTGAGCAAGCGGTCGATTGCGCTACCACCAGTCGAACACATTTTCTTTCTAATTCACGGGCCTGGAGGATTTTTTTAAAAATTGGTAAGTAAAGTCCAAGATATCCTACAGAATCGACCCATCGTGCAACGCATTTCTGCGCGATCAACCGATCACTCAAATACCGATCACGTACATGTACGATTTATATACATGTAATTTTACGGTGTAAATCGCATTTTTGCAACCGTCGTAACGTGCATCCGGTTTGTTTTTTCAATGTAGCCTTGTTTTCATTTTGAAAGTCTCCACAAATGACATTCAAAACCTTTCTTTTTCATGGTCTGAGCCGTTACTTCGTAATATGTAAATTTGGTTACGGGTACTCGATCCCATAATCTGGAACTGGTTCCTGACTTCAGCGGTCGGTACTCGGGTACCCGGTTCCGATGCACTGTCCCACACTGGTTCCCTTCTAGTCCGAACATTTGGTATTACTATACCTCATACATATTCATGACCGAGAGCCAAACTTTCACTGGTCAATTCACCATCACGTGGCAGATGTTATTCTTGCTGTTTACCAAACGCGCACGCGAGGATTCACGCACAGGCTAAATACACATGCGTATTAGACTGTCGCACGGGTTACCCGTGCGACAGTCTACTACGCATGCGCTTTACAAACTCAATCGAGGTACTATCGCACGGGTGAAGTACGCATGCGCGAACATCGCCCAAGAGAGATGCTTGGTTGCACGGTTTGCGTAAATTCATGACATTATATAATTGCCGGACTGGACAAAATTTATGGACAATAAAGATGCCTCCTGTACAAAAGAAAGTTGTACACAAACAACTGTATTTACAACTGTAGTTACTGTATTGCAAACGAACCGAACTAGTGAAGTTAAGCAACAATATTCTTTTGGTGAGCTGTAACAAGTTTCTCCAAAAATTTTGTTTTAGGTGCATGATTAGATATAAAAAAAAATCGGCAACTGAATATGCATGAGGTATAGTAAAACAAATATACATGTAACATGGTTTATTTCGGGTGGACAGTCGATATTAGCTCCCCTCGGTATTGGAAGTTGACAAACTAGTTCCCTCGGCTTCGCCTCGGGAACTAGTTTGTCAACTTCCAATACCTCGGGGAGCGAATATCGACTGTCCACCCTCAAACCATGTTATATTTGTACATGTATACTCTCAATACTGTGTATACATGTGAGTCCCAAAACTTAAGGTATTGAAAACATGCAATATGTACAAGATAATAGACTGGCACCTGAAACAACCAGTCCAACACACCTTTAGTACAGTATCAGTCAACTGTGTCAAAAGAAACGTCTGAAACCCATTTCTATTCTACACATTCTCTATAGTCATGCCACCAGACTACTGAATGGTCAATCTTCTCAAACAGTTTGACATGTACCAGTCTAGTCTTAGGATTTCAATTGAAATCACTTGGCTTGACTCTCAGGTGCAAAATGTTGAAGAAAAGTCTCCCTTAAAAATTGAAGTGAGACCTCAAACTTGGCTGGTGAAATACTGAGGACCTTGTCTTTGACCAATGACAATTTGGGAGAATTTTGTCGGCTTAAGAGTGAGTTAACTGGGCCTGATTTTGTTTTGCATGCTTTTCAGAACTCAAGGTCCCAGCCTGGTTCCCTCCATGATGGATACATGGTCATTTATAGTTATATAATGGCGGGAACCAGTTCATGCATAGTCTTGTTCCCTGACTCGCCACTGACCTTCGAAGTGCACTTATATATTACAAACGAGAACCAGTCTAACATTATCATAAACTATGCAGCGTGCATGCGCGCGACATCGAAATTGCGCCCGATCTTGAAAGACTCTCCTGTACTTAGCAATATTTCGGTAGAAATACGATTTTCTTAAGCATTTTACAGTTGATTCCATGCAGTTTTGCGCATTCTCAGTCCTTCCTGGTGACCGCCATCTTTTTATTTCTGAGTTGCGTTTTGTCGCACTATCAGTGACACAGTTCGGGATCACTTTTTATACAAAGCGCTGTACACGCGCACGTGTTTGGACTTTTATGGTCCGAGTGACATAATTTCTTAGTAAAATGCCTCCTCTTCAAGTTAAAACCAAATATGTTGACACAGACTCAACTTAAATGGAAATAAATCTTGGATTTACAAGTACAGGACTAGCCACCGGGCCTGCGGCGTGCCGCGTGATTGACAGGTGAACGATCCTTGTATGCCATCAGGTATTGCGCGAGAGCATTATTCAGATGGAACATGGTTGCAATTGACTTACACACAAACGGATGCCAAGACGCCTCCAAAAGGAGCTGGAAATAACACGAAAGCTGGAGAGTTCAACACATGCGCATCAATTTTTATTTGTTATTCATGTTATTAACAAGGTGAGTGTTTTTTTAAGGCAGTGGATATTTTGCCAGAGACGGCAAACCTTCAGTAAACGTTAGTTTGCCGGATATGCACTGAACACGTGCAGTTACTGTTTTTTTGTACTGTTTTTCCGGTGACAAATTTTAGTCTGGCTCCATGCCAATATTATCGTTGTAACCTCGTATTCACAAGATGGGATTCAGACCATTTTATAATTTCGGACTTTATTTCCCTCTTAAAAAAAATCCTCCAGAGCCACAAATCTGAAAAAGAAAATGTAATAGGGGCCTACTCTGCAATAAAATGTTTGAGACATGTTAAAATAATAAAAGAAGAATATTCTTATTTATTTGGGGATGAAAAAAAACCTTAAAAATGTGGCGAGGATCAGGATTCGAACTCGAAAATCAACATTTGGCAAAGTCGACACGTTTTTTGTACATGTGGATGTGTGGCCTATGTTTACGGAGGCAGTCCAGTAAATAGGCCACATTTATGGGGCTACGATTGTGCTACACAACTTTGGTGGGAATTTAATACATATTATAATTCAGCCCTATCTTAAAGAGTACAGCGCCCTCTGTTGATATGGATTGCCGCCGGCAAACCTTTAGTAAACGTTAGTTTGCCGGCGTTACCTCCGGCAAAATATCCACTACCTATTTTTTAAATTTTAACCTAAAAGTGGGTTTTTGTTCTCTATAGACTTAGTATAAGAACTGGACCCATAACTACACAATCGCCAATAACACAAATACATGAATGCATCATAATTCATATCACCAGTGATCACTGCGTGTGGTTCCGTGTGGTCAGACGTGCGTGATCAACGTCAGACATGTCAGACAGCTCGACAGTCAGATTTCGTATTCTAACATGTCTAATCTTACCTGTCGTCGTGACTGTTTGCTGAAGAATTGTCATCATAGTGACAAGATCCTGGTCTTCAGCCATTTTTAAAGAACCTTTTTCCCGCTTACTGTCAACAAAATGTTTAGTTCTTGAATAAATTGGAAGGCGTCGAAACTGGAAATTTGTCCGCGAATTTTTATTCGTCGTAGGCCCCTCCTCAGCACATGTGTGCATGCATGCAATACAGAACTTGCAAATGCTGCCGGGAAAAATCCCTCCCGTAAAGTGCGCCAACGTCTTTAGAAGAGTGACTGTGATTGGTCATCATGATTAACACTTCATTCCTCAAAAAAAAAATATAAAGTTGACACATTAATATGCAAAGATGACAAAATAATACCATACATAATTCAAACTACATAATATCTTAATCTTTCTGTATCGCTGATCATTATTCTGACAAACTATAAGGAAAAAAAATATATCGTTTTACACACTTGCAAGCACAAATTTGTCACAGAAAACAACCAATGAAATAGGACATTGCATGCAGATTATATTGAATATACCGGTACACATTTTGTCCCGCTATTAAAATCGAAGTCATGTAGGCTAGGCCTAGATTGATTTTATACTTGTGTTTGAAAAACTCATTTTATTTCTTATCGTTGTGTGGCCATGGGGTGAAGGATTGATTTTTGGACAATCTTACACTGGATTACAGCAGTGTGCTGCATGTCCAGCGCATGCATAAAATGACCTGTCCCCCCCCCCCCCCCCCCATTTTCGCCTCTTTTCTAGAGGGCGCCTTTTCGTTTTATGCGGCTGACACTTATTACTGTTATGTAGGCCCTACACTAAGGGGCCATTCAAAATGTTCAATGTTTTAAATTTCGAATTTTTTTCGAAATTGTTTTGACCCACCCACCCACCCCAAATTTCATTTTTAAATGTTGAATTGCAATTCAATATATCCTATACACCGAAGAACAAAGTAATGCTTCAAATGAGCCAGATTTTGTGGGTCAATCCTCTTAATTCCAGCTCAGGAGCTTTCAATAGCTTGTCCAGCCTTCCAGTAACTTTGAAGTTGAAACAAGAGGAAATTCCCAATCACACAAAACTTTGTAGTGCTGTTGTTAATGCTGAATAGTACCCATTGTTTGTTGGTTTCAAAAGTCATTGAGTTTAACATTTTGCACTGACAAGCTGAAAGCTAAATGATCAGCATTTTACGGCCGTGAACTAGTGATGAAAAAAAAAGGGTTAGGAGTAGCGCAGAGGACTGTGAGCTCGTATTTCTGTGAAATGTGGGTGAAATTAGGCCCTAAATTGGCTCTATTTTGCAATGGAGCGTAGGCGCCCATTTTTAAAATGGTGATGGGCTTCAGGACTGCTTTCAGGGGTAATCATCTTTGGATGGATTTTCTCCCCAACGTCTTTGGTTAACCCCTAGAAAATGAAAGATGATGAAATAAGCTTTAATTTAATGTACGTCTTGAACACCTCGGAGAGTTTTGAGTATTTTTTCCTGAATTTCTGAAGTGGGGCCATTTATCATTGGGGTCTATGGACATTTATTTATTGGTCTGCGACCGTAAAGACTTCTGTCAACGCGATCACGATCTGCCAAAAACGAAGTCGGCTTTAAGTCAACAAAAATAAAACACACATTGTGGAGACGATAACTCAAGAAAAACACATTGCACTGAATTGAAATTTCGTCCAATAATTGTTCGGGATATAGAACATAAATCTTTAGAAAATCGACGAGAACCCTTGAAGAATAAATTTCATATGATTTCAAGAAATACAGTATACAAATCGCGAAAAATTCAATCCAAATTCAAGTCATTTTTAATTGAACAAAAATAAAGCACTCTTTGTGGAGACAATAACTCAAGATAAACACATTGCATTGAATTGAATTGCGTCCAATAATTGGTCGTGATATATCGACACAATAAATTTGAAATTCGACAGAAAAACAAAATTAATACAACAAAAACAAAAACTACAGTGAGTAAGGGTGTCGTGCCAAAAACCGTCCGGTGCCAAATAGTGTCCGCTGAGCATGCGCAGTAGGCGCCAGACACTATTTGGCATGAAATACATGCCAAATAGTGTCCGGTGCCAAATAGTGTACGGGCTCCGTCGATCGAGCGAGAGCAAGGGCGGCCTGTACGTCCTGCCGGACAGTATTAAGCTGGAAAAATCGGACAGTATTTTGCAGGAAAAATCGGACAGTATTTTGCAAGGGGGAATCGGACAATATTTGGCAGGGCGATTTTGTTGGTAGGAAAAATCGGACAATATTCAGTGGCGGGGAATCAGACAATATTTGGCAGGGGGAATCGGACAGTATTTAGCAGGAGAAATCGGACATTTTTTTTCGCAGGGAAATCGGACACTATTTGGCAGGGGGAATCGGACACTGTTTAGTAGGACAAATCGGACAGTATTTGGCAGGGGGGAATCGGACAATATTTGGCAGGGGGGAATCGGACAATATTTGGCAGGGGGAATCGGACAGTTTGGCAGGAAAAATCGGACAATATTTGGCAGGAAAAATCGGACAGTATTAGGTGGGAGAAACCGTAAAATATAACGTTGGTTATAATGCTACACACAGCACAGTACGTACTACACACACTTCACACGGCGTTAGGCCTACGTACGTACTGCATGCCAAACAGGTGAACTGACGCGAAAAAAACACACAAACATTTTGCACAAATATAATGTTTAAACTATTAGGGAAACCAAGTCAAATAGTTAACAAGGAAAACGTTAAAACAGATTGTAAAAAGCAAATTCAGGTGAAAAGAGATCTTTTCTATACGATGCATTGACAGCTCGACAAGGCAGGCAATAGGATGCACGCTAAGCGCGGACACTATTTGGCAAGCGTCCGTAAACAATGTGACGTCATAGACGCATGACCAATCAGATCGCATTATGCTAATTAGCGGACACTATTTGGCACCGGACGGTTTTTGGCACGACAAGGGCACTCCTGTACATTTTACCAATATCAATTTCTTCCAAAAGAGGGCGCGCTATACAAAAACTGGTCACCACCGTAAAGACTTCTGTCAACGCGCATCACGATCTGCCAAAACGAAGTAGGCTTTGTGGAGACGATAACTCAAGAAAAACACATTGCACTGAATTGATATTTCGTCCAATAATTGTTCGGGATATAGCACACAAATCGTTTGAAAATCGACGAGAACCCTTGAAGTATAGGTTTAATATGATTCAAAGAAATACAGTGTAATAATCGCGAAAATTCAATCCAAATTCAAGTTACTTCGCAAACTTGAACGACTCGAGTAGAAATGTTTGAAACCCTAATCAAAATTATTGCGCCCGCTGTCGGTCTTATTGCGCCATTCTGATATATCTTCTGTCTAGCCCCCCCACCACACCGAAAAATAATAGTAATTAAATACTGTTTAAAAATGTGCTCGTTTATTCAGAAATTCATGAAGCATAATATCCAAATTATTGGATGTTTCCAAAGTGTCTTTCCCATTTGCAAAAGTTCTTTTTAAATTCGATCTACAAGGTGTATAAAAAAGATAATCCAAAAACCACGGGTATTTCATGTAAAAAGTATGAACCTGAGCACTGTCAAAATGGCTCCATCTTAAAGGGTAGGTCGTTAGCTTTTCAGTGATATCTCATTTGCATCTCTTTTAAGTCACGGATGACCGAGCACCAATAATTTCAAAACAAAGGCCACCAACCCCTATTCCCAAGTTTGTTGATTAAAGTGGTGAGTTAAGCTGTCGAATGAATGCGCTGTCGCTATAGATTACGGCTTTTTTGTGTACAAAGTTTGTGGAGTGTCAAGTGCATTTTTATAGTATGTTTTAACAAAATTGTCTCAGTCCCAGATTCAGTGTCTTTTCAACATTTTTGCAATGACTGACCTTCACTGAGATAATCATTTGATGAAAAAAGTGGCATCAGGGTGCAATATTCTTTCAAAAAAATAAAATAATTTCCTTACACTTTGTGATCCCTTCTCGCCCCAAAATATTCGTTCTTAAGTTTTAAACCCTCCCCCCCCCCGCAACTTAGGTGTCAAAATGCACGGCATCTACATGTACACCCACATCTACATGTACTCGCGCTACGCACAACACGCCAAACAACTTGGACAGCGCCCTCTACAGTCATACCGAAATTGACCGGTCGGTGGACTACGAATTCCCTTGCTTTTTGTGGACAAAGTCTGCTTCAAATTTAGAGTTTTAACCCTCAAACATGGGAAAAATACCGTACGATATCCCAGACTGGAGTAAGTACAAGGTTGAAGATGTTCCAGAACTCAAGGCGATTCAAGATAGGCTTGCCAGGAAGGGTTTGAGAGATCCTTGGTTGAGGTAAAATAAAAACTTATTCCGACTTCGCATTCCTAATGCCCGAATTTTGCATGAAGGTGGTGCCTAGTTTTCGGACAAATCGCATTACTCACTTTCAAGTAATTTTTTTTGTATTGCAGGTTACATTGGGGAAAAAATGTAGTCAAGAAAATGTTATAAGTTGGGGCCTATTTCCTAAATTGGAAATGTTTTTCAGTCCCAATTCGTGTTTTTTTTCAACATTTTTGCAAATGTCTTTTGACTGACCAGATGATACTTGATACTGATGATAGGCCCTTGGCCCTAACAAATTAAATATGAAAAAAAGTGGCGTCAGGTTGCAACATTCTTTCTGACCATTTGGCAACTCGACCATTGTGCCAACTCATCCATTGTACAGCCATGACAACTCGAATTAAAACTTGGGGAGTAATTGCAGAATACCCCGCCACTCGGAAATACACCCCTAAAAATCTCTGGCTACGCGGTTGGAACAATCACTGGAAAAGAAATAATTCAAGTCCATGCCAGCTACATGGATACTGAGTGGGGATCCAATACAAACACAAGGAAGTCAAGTTGGACATTTCAAAATGTCCACTTTCTGTTTTGTTTCTTAATTAATTGTGAGGCTTATCTTCCCTTTGGCAAGTTGGGGTACGCAATCAACGTAGGACACAAACCTCAAACATGTATACTTGTATTCTCATAAACATAGTACATAAAACCACTTTATTAGCAAGTTTACCCCATTGCCAAAGTAATTCCATCTGAATCACAAAAAATTTGTCTCAAATTCTCTAACCACCACCAAATTCTCCTCTGTATCTCACAGGAATGAAGTGTGGCGCTACCAGCATTACATGCGGGGAGCTCCGTGGTACACCATCATCTTCAAAGGCTTCAAATGGGGCGCTGGTGCATTCATCATAGCTGCAGGACTCGAGAGACTGCTATCAAAGCCAGACAGCCACGGCCGTGAAGGCGGAGGTCACTGATGGTGGATGCTCAAGTTTTCATGTACTGGTTTTACAGAGTTTCCTGGAGTAAAAGTTTAGTTAACTGTGATTGATAAAACAAGAGAAGGATGCATCTTAGTAATGAATTGCTACTCTGAAGGACGTTGGACATCAGGATATCTTCATGCAAGAAGACCATCGGCCCAACTGGACTGTCGACACGAGAGTATAGTGGAAACACGTTTTACATACATGGTATACTTTCCATGTGCAGAACTTTCAGCATACCAGAATGTTTATTTACATCAAACTATCCATAATCCACTAAAATTCAACATCTGGTTAATTTTTGCGCGTGTGATATCATAATCGAAGCCTAGTGTAACGAGTTTGTTGAATTTTAGAGGAATAAAACAAATGTGTAAGTATAAAGGTTAATCATATAACACATGTTGATTCAAAACAAAAAGTTGTCTGAATTAAAATGGTGTGCTAACATGTTCAGGCAAATTTATGGGCCTTTTCTGTCTAGTGGGCTCCAGTTTTAGCTGATATATTGGCTCACCATCTGAAAACATTTAAGACGTTAATGTACTTATCTTCAAGTAAACTTGAATCCTCAATCGTGATTGGTCAATCCATGGCAACAAACCGCACAACATTATCCCACGTAGTACGGTCCATACTGCACTCGGCGTATTATGTTTTGTAAGATGCGAGTGCCATTCCCACTGCATGCACATGTAATAGGCTAACCGCTGAAAAGTTCGTGTACGGCGTGTGTGTTAGAACTTTACTGCGAGTAAAGTTTGCATGAAGATGAATTTGTTATCCCACTCGCGCTCGTGGAACACGGAGAATGTAGTGTGCGTCTTGCGTCCCACATACCACTCGGTCTTTGGCCTGGTGGCGTGTGGGAGACAGACGCACTGCATTATTCCGTGTTCCACTCTCACTCATGGGATAATTAATAGTGAAAATGTGGTATGATGATTTGGCAACCCAATTTTCATTATTTTATGACTATTATGTAGCTGTAGAGGGCACCACATGTACACGTACATCAAAGGCCCTCGCTTCGCCATTTTCTTTTCTCATTCTAGAATGTTCTGTTGTGATAAAGAAGGCCAATTTCATAAAGAATAACACAGTATGCTAATTTGCTACATCTTAGTGCACAGGTTAGATTTGATTGAGGGGGACATGTTTCAAATCTGTTGGCCAAAAGCTATGACGTCACAGCAACTAGTCACACTCCAATTTTGCATCAATTGAACATATTTCACATGTACAGTAAATTTCGTTGTCTGCATTGAATTTTGCAACATCAAATTGTGCTTGGCAATTTGCTTTTTAAGTACTTTCCAGGTGAAGGTGACATTTTCAAAAGGTTAGCAATTGATTCGACTAGGTGTGAATTGACTTCAGTATCTGAATGAGGGATGCACGCTTGTTTGATGAATTTAGTATGTACATTGTAATACATGTACTAGGCAATTCACTTATAAAGTATATGTACTTGTTCCGTTTGAATTGCTGTGAACTAATAGACTTCCACGATTTCTTCAATTAAACAAGATCATATTTTCCAGTACATAAGAGTGGGAGACCTAGAACGTTGCGTGTACAAAGGAACTTTTACTGAGGCTTTGTACATGTATGTCTCATTCTTGTTCTGCAACAACTTGCTGTCCATGTACATGTGTTTTGAAGTTTGCACGAATCCAAAAACTTAAATTGCAGATTTAATAAAAGTGATTTGGTTAAAATTGACAATTGTTCTTTCAAGCCTTGAATTTGTAACATTCCATCTTGAACCTCCAATTTGAAGGGATCAAACACATTTGCTTTATGTATCACTAAATCCAGTGTTCATGCAAGATTCAAACTAACAGAGTTCTTACCTTTTTCGTTATAATGAAGAGGTGGGCTGATAGTGTCGCAAGTTAAAGGGCCTCTGCAATATTTAAGTTTGAATTAGTTATGGGAATAAATATGTGATTAGCCGGTCTTCAACAAGTACGTTTAAATCCTGGGGGGCCTGGACGCGGATTCGGCTCAGGCTATTACTCGCGACCAGGCCCCTCAAAACAAGTCAAAAATTCACAAATTTCCAACGATTTTGATCAACAATTTTACTTTGTTTTTTGAAACGCCCCTCTGGCAAAGTCCATGGTATGTGCCTCTAGCGCGCGTAGTGCTAAAATCTTAAACGGAAATTGGCGCGCACACGGTGTTTTACCAGCAGTTTAAAACCACCCACGTGACGGGCTTTTGACCAATAGGAATGGGTTCACTGTCTTGGGTATTTACGAATGTAATTTAAACGGCAATTTGACAGATCAAACAAAAAGAAGTTTATGAAGGCACCGTCACAGTCACAAACAAGAGACGCAAGAGGGTCACCTTTCTAGCAAAAATAATGGCCATGGACACAGGGGACAAACAACTTAAAAAGTTTCTGAGACTTTTATTCCCCCCTTTTTAAACTAACATTTCCGCCCAAAAATATCAGCACATCGGACAAAAATCTTCACTACTTTTTTTCTCTCTACATAATTAGCCACATTTATCAAATTAACCATTTTAAATATTACAATTAGCACCAGTAGTGTGGAGTAAATTTATCGCTGTTCTAAAGTTAAAAACATTTTCTGCACTTGCAAATATTCCTAATGCTGCAAAAAAAGATAAATACATTGTATATACATACAAGAACACGATACACATGATTATTTTGGGGGGTATGCATTACAGAAAAATATATCAATTTTTCTGCAGTAGTGCATGTATAAACTGTGCATAGAAAGATCACGTACATACAGTGTACATGATGTTGAAGCACTAATGGTATTGAGAGTAGAACTATAAATATATAATTTGGTTTCTATAAATAGTATAAAAAGAGTAAATTGGGAGATTATTTTGGCAAAAAAGTTGTACTGGGAAGATGCAGATTTGAGTTGTCCTTGGAATTTCAACATAAGTAATGTGTCAATCACAACCATAAATTTTGAACACGTCTATTTCGAGATAAGTTATCATGGAGTTGTTTCTGTTACTGAATATACAGATTAAATCTTACGGCCTGCTTAGTTACAATGTAGTCACTTTATAAAATACACCTTTTTGTGCAGTGAGCAAATACTGAGTCCATTTGTAATGACCTGGATGAAGCAAAACGCAACACCCTTAGAGCTACAATCCATCATTTGCAGCTGTCCAAATAGTAACTGACGTAATTATTGTTGAAAAATATACTTGGTTGAAAGATAGTAAGGGCACTAAACTCCCTGTGAAATTATTCTTTCTGGCAAGCTGTCATTTTGAAGAAATCGACGAAAGAAGGTCTTTCCAACGCACCGTTGGGAATGTCCGTTAGTAGTTCGTTTTTTTTTATTCGGCGAAGCACGCCCAAGCGTTGGCGCGATGCACACGCGGTTTCTATAATTCATCAGATCGGTGCGCGTCTTTGCGTAGCTGCAATCGGCTCAGTGAGAACGATTCAGGTCCAATTCAAAACATGATTCAGGAACTTTTGATTTGAAATCGAGATCCTAAAATGCTGTTTATCTCGGAATATACAGCTGAAGCTTAGCTGAAACTTCATCAGGTTAGTTGTTCAGCACCCTTCTTTAGATTTTGAGCATGCTTGTTGCTTCAAACGAACAAAATGCACAAATTACAAAGGATGGACTGTACCTTTAAAGACAAATGCATTCTGATAACACTTTTTTTTTAACCAAGAGAGTTGTAATTGACAATCAATCACTATTCAAACCACAACCGTTTGTCCAAAAAACAATGAAAGAACACTATTTAATACAACTGAGACAATACTAAAAGCTAGACAGAAAATAACAAATGTACAATTCAAACCAATTTTATGTAAGTTCTACAAGGGTACGGCATGCATGACACAGTACGGGTCAATTTAGGGTCCAAATATAGAAAGAAAAACAAAATTCTTAGCACTTTCCACAACAACTCCAAAGTTTATAAATAAAAAATGTATTAGGTTAACTATACAAACGGAAAAATACAACGGAAAGAAATGGTTTAAGCCTCTTGCAAACAGTGACGTTCCATGTTTAGAAGTAACTGCAGCAGCATTGTATAAACGTAAAAACCCATAAAAAATATCTGAAATACACGTACACAAGTTAAAAAATACACTAAAAATGTTTGACTTAAGGCACTCGCACGTAATTATGTCCATAAAATGTGTCAAACGACTCGTAGCACCCAAAAATGATTGCAATGTTCTTTTTTTTTTTGTACAAAAGGAAAAAATGAAAAGACAAACAAACAGGCTGGTTTAATCTCAGAATTATCTTTCAATAAAGCCTTTCATGAAGTAATTTTTTCTTCTGTTTCTCGTTTCTCCCAACTCCCAACTCCCAACCCCCAAAAGTGTACACTACTGGCGCCCATGTGGCCAATCTCAAACGGGCTCCTCAAATGGGCTTGATAATAAAACAATCAAAAGATCATAAACTGCGGAGGTCAAAATCTGAACCCAAAATAAGAGTTTGTAATTAAACCAGCCCTCTCGACTATTATTATTCTTAAGTATCTGGCGATACCTGTACGCATAGCACTACCAGAGCGTTACTACATAGCTGCGTTTCTTGGCCTAGTAGTTTGTGGCTGGTCAGTGGGCTGGCTTGGCCGTTGGCATCGTAGTCCTGCGTGCGCCACTCCTCACAGTAGCTGTCCATCATTCGACTGCCGTCCACGTACGAGCCGTGCCATACATACTTCTGGTCCCTGCGATTACAAAAAAAGATTTGGGAGTCAATGATACATGGCTGATTGATAGCAACAAGGGGATATACAGATACATGTATGGCATATTTTGGTAGCAGACGGAGGTTTAACCCTGTCAGTCACAAGAAGTCAGGTTGGCATAGCGGTACTTTCCTCGCCTTCCACCGCTGTGACCCGGGTTCGAATCCCGCCTAGGCAAACATGTGGATTGGGTTTTCAGTCCCTGCTTGATTCAGTGGGTTTTCCTCAGAATATTCTTTTGGGCTTTTTCTCCCACCTCTAAAACTGTAACTTCTTCTCATTGTCTTCTCTCCACAGGTTTCTTCAGGCTTGCGAGCTACAGTGCCTAGGGCGCTTTTGAGGAATCCTTGCTTTCATTACCAGAAATGATTACTACTACTACTAATAATAACTTATAGTTTTCTACTATAAGTCTCGCCACCACAGAAATTTACTGTTGCCATTTTATCAAAGGATTCCAAAGACATCTCGGTTTTCAGGCCACACTGTCATTCCAAAAGATTTCCAGTTTGTGCCGTCCTCTGCAAATCCTACTTACCATTCTTCACTTGTCATGACATCTTTGCCATTAAATGAGTAGATGTGTTTATCACTATCAAACGAGGCTTCTGATCCATTGAAGATACCTGACCACGACTCGAACATGATTTCACCCTGTATTATTGGGGGGGGGGGGGAACAAATTCAAATGAAATCATCATAAAAATTCCACAGAAAAAAAACCATGATTTAAGCCTTTCAACAAGTCAAAGACTTTCTTTCCAAAATGCAATATAGCTATTTATAGTGGATTTGCAACTGGGGGGGGGGGAGGGGTTTTGAAAATTCACTTGCCTATTTTGCAGGAATTCTTGCTAGCAATTTTGTTTTGCGTCATTTCAGAATTAAACCCTAGAATTAATTTACAAAGGCAATTTCAGGGGAGGGTGGGGGTGCTTGATGGAATTTGATGCTAGCCTAGCTGGCACTGTTCCTTGCTAAGAGTACCAAGGGTGGATCCCGAACAAACACATTTGGATTCTAGATGCTCTGTAGTGCAATCTGAGGCAATTTCTGACCACTTTAACCACATTTTTTTGAAGGAAAAGATGGTGGTGTACGCAGTGCCTGCCTTTATTGCGATGTCACTTAAGAAGAAAAAAAATTGGGTTCGTTTTTTTTGGGGGGGGGGGGGGCATGGCCCCTGTTGCCCCACCCCCTACCCTGGATCCGTTGTTGAACAGTGCAATGGGTTTATTTACTTTTTGGCTACTGTAATTCTTTTGTAGTGTCTGTAATGTTTTGTAAACTCTGAGAATCCTGACATAATTGAAAGCATTCCAACCTTGGCGTTGGCCACTGGTAGATGATGGTAGTCCCTGTTGACCACGGACCTGACATCCTGGACCTTGGAGGAAAGGAACGCCCGGTATGTTCCATGGAGTCCTGCCTGCTGGGCCTGCTGATAGCAGTGGTGGTCTGCACCAGGCAGGCCCTCCCTACGATCTCCCGTCATTGGTTTGTTTAAAGCATACATGTACAGCTGAAATAAAAAAAATAATACAAGTAAAACTTGCGCGATCCCCCGGCATCCTGCCAGTTTGTATACATGTACATGTACAAGCAGTTAGTAAGGACACTTTTCAGTGACGGCCTTGATTGTCCACCCGGCAGGTACCAGTTCTCAGTTGAATGGGGGAGTTTGGGTTGAATGGAGAGTTTCGGTGAGACACCGGACTAACATATGTTAGAGTCATTAGAATCTCTCCAGAGACCTCGTACATATCCATATTGGAAAGGATTTGTTGATGTCGGCCTTCTCTCCACAGACCACCGTGCAAGTTTGGTTGAGATTGATGACTGAACTTGACAGTGAAATGGAACACACAGGCAGGAATATGCCCATTGCAATATCCCTGTGTCTGGCTTGAAATCCAGGGGATAAAAAAAGGGCAAAAATAAAACCAGCTTTTGCCTGATTGCCAATTGAAGTGATTAAAAAAACCCACTTTTGACAGTGCTGAGTCTGCTAGTCAACATCTGCTAACCCTAACCCCCAAAGAGTTCATACCACAAAGTACTACATAGTATTACAAAAGTACAAGAAACTACAAAGTACTACAAAAATTATGTTTGCAGGTACCAAATAGTAGTATACAAATATTGAATGCTTCGAGTGGTGTAGTAAAACTAGCCTCCCGAGGTGATCCATGGACATTCTATTTTTCCTGAGGCGAAGCCGAGGGAAAATAGAATGCTCCATGGATCACCGAGGGAGGCTAGTTTTACTTCACAACGAGATAAAGCATTCAATATTTGTTTCATAACACTTCACACACAGATTCCGCTTGGTTTTAAGATTTTAAATTATTTAAATCTGAACACAGTTGAAATAAACTTCAAGTTCAATACAAAATTGGTGGAAAATGTATTTCTCTCTTCCAAACTACCCCTTCACGAAATGTTTGAACCTAACTCTGTGGCGCGCTCTCTTTGGAACAAAACGCGCTTCGCACAATGTGCACACCAGCATGCATTTGCACACAAATACCGCGCCGTGGATATAGTACTTTGGTTGCTGATGGTATAGTACTTTGGTTGCTACGGGCATAGTACTTTTGGCCGTTCACAGAAAGATAGCAAAAATAGAAAGTATCATGTGACTCGCTCTCGGCCAATCAAGACACAGAATCTGTGGGTGAGGTGTTATAAAAAATACAATGAGTACTGTGCCCACTAAATATATGCTGAAGTACTGCATACTACAGTTTACTACTAGTAGTATTTTGTAGCTTTTGGTGAGGTTAGGTTTAAAAGAGGTTGCCAAATGGTATTCATTTAGGCCTTGTTGACATGGTTTTGTAATATTTTCTCTAGCTGGAATTTGTGTCAGGGTGATTAATGCTATAGTGCTTATATAATAAACAAGACTTTTTCCTAAACAAGTGACTTATTTTCAAAGTAACTCATGTCGTTAGTGTTGCTAATTAACCTTCTTACCATCGGCTGATCGCCAAGTGGGATCTCGGGTCCGGGAAGGTTGGGCTTTGTGGTTGGGACTGTGACCACTTTCTCTGTCTGCAGGTCAAGATGAATCACACATTGATTAATTCAGACTTTTGTCAATTCAGATGTTATGGACAATAATGAACACAATTCGGCGGTGACAAATGTTACATGCCACAATTAAAGGGCTGAAAAAACATGACCAAGAATTTGTTTTCGATAAGTTTAAGATCAGCAAAAGCATCAGTCATACTTAACCAGAAAGAGCCCTCTCTTTTATTCAAGTTGCTACCCGAAAGCACTTATATGCAATAGCTTAATAGCAACCTAAATATTAACACTGCGAACAAGCCCAAAGTTTGTCAAGTGAAGCCTTTTTCCCCAGTATTGCAAATTTGTCAAAAATGCCTTTATCTCTTTCAAGCAAGTTTAAAGGTAGAGTATATCAATTATCATTCGCAGTTTAATCCAAAAAGTAACTGACCAAATTATTGCTGAAAAGCATACTTGGTTTAAAGATAGTAATGGGACTAAACTCCCTGTGAAATTACTCTTTATGGCATGCCGTCATTTTGAAGAAAACAATAATAAGAAGGTCATTTCCAAAGGTGTGTCATAAGACGCATTTTTGGAAATTTCCGTCAGTAGTTCATGTGCAATAAGCATTCGACACAACACACACGCGTGCATGGTTAATATTACTCATCAGTTCAGAGCGCGACATTGCGTAGCTGCAATCGGCATCCGAGCATAATTCAAAACATGACTCGGCAACTTTTGAGTTGAAATCCAGTTCCTGGAATATTGTTTTCTCAGATATACAGCATTCACAGAGCTAAAACTTCATCAGGTTAGTTGTTAAGTACCCTTCTTTACATTTTAAGCACTTTTGTTGCTTCAAAAAAAAAAATGCAAAAATGATGTACTCTACCTTTAAATGAAAACAAATAAAATTTTTGAAACCACCGCAAGTATGCAAATTTCACAAAAGTTGAACACAATAATCACAATGAATTTAAAAGTTTGCTTTGGCACATTAGGTATGAAATGCACATGTGTAGCAACTGGTAGCGATACATTTAACACACATGACATAAAAGAAAAGAAATTGAAGCCAACTTACAGTAGAGTGAGTTTGTTGAGATGGAGTAGAGGTAGTGGTGGGAAGAGGAGGTTGTACAGGGTCTAGGTTAAATGTAGCTCCGAGCTAAAGATACGGGGGAAAATGCATGACAAAACTACATGATCATCAAGCAACCAAACAGCATGCTGTCTGGTGTGACGCTACTACTATAGAAAATAAAACTTGGACACATTTCAGTTGATTCTTGAAAGGGCCCATGCAATGTATTTTTTTAAATGCAATCCTTGAAACAGTCCCCGTCACCAGCCCACTACCATAAAAATACAAAAATACACATGTATGGCTTTTGCTGTTGGGGGGGGGGGGGGCCAATTGCTCGCCAAGGGGGGCCTGGCCCCACCAGGCACCCCCCCCTTTGGTGACGGGCCTGCCTAGAAAATGCACTTGGCATAGCTGCGCAATGTTTCAAATAATTTAAACATCTCGAACGAGGTTAAAAACAGCATTTACGACGGCTGTTTGTGTGTGAATTTGTTCGTTCGCGAAACAGTCGTTGGATCACCTCAGCCCACCATTTTGAAAATTATTTTGTCCGACTTTCTTCGGAATCATTCGGCAACTCTTAAATTATGTTACGAGTAAAATAGCAATTCATTTACTTGAAACATAAAGTTTTGAGTGTCTTGTATCAACCTTGAAAAGTTGTGCAATAACGGGCTCTACGACAGTGCCGATTTGCTGGTAAAATATGTCATTTTCAGTTGCCACGCCACAACTTACGCCACCTAAAATGATTGCGCAAGTTACGCCATAATTCATTGCGCAAGTCGCGGACTTACGCACTATCAAACTTTCGTGAAATGTGTCATAAGTGAAATGCGCAGCTTACGCAATAAATTGTGGCGCAAGCAGAGTTGCGCCATTGTGTAAGGTTTTGTGAAATCGGCTGCAAGGGTAATAACTTTTAAACCAAATGAAAGCAAAGAAACTAAAAAGACATGTTTGTACTTCTTGCTAGGATCAAAAGAACTACTATGCAAAAAGAAAAATGGTTATTAACCATAAGAGAAAATATGAAACATTAGATAATCATCTAACTCTATATGATACAAATCATGGTTTTTGTCTCTATGTGAAACACACAAATTCATCTCAAGCCTACTAGTTTAAAAGATGATATTTTTTTTTTGATTGTCACTGGCACTAAAAATCACTTAAATTTGATTTGATCCCACAAAATGAGTTAAAAATTGCACAAAGTCATTCACTATTAGTCCTTGCTTAAAAAGAGATAAGTTTCTGAAGAAAGCTTTTAAAATTGCCACTGTATCCAAAAGTTAAAAAGCCCTAAATTAATCAATCACCAGAGGTATAAAAAGCTCCATTTTCTGTCCACATAATGACACCAAAATGCTGTTGTAGAAAAGATATTTGGCTCATTCTTCAGTATTAATGTCTACTCTGGGCCTTTTGAAAATTTTGAAAATTGTATTTTCAAATGTTGAATTTCTTTCATGCGATGTGATCATATGTTGTACAGCAACTATAATTAGAGCACGGCGCAATCTTTAGGGGAGTTTCCACCAAATAAATATAACAATCGGAATTTTTACATAGTATGATTGGGACATGGGTTTTTCGGGGGTGGACATCAAACATCAGAAAATAAAGAACACTAAAAACTTTATTCTCTAGCTTTTTATGATCAATTATTATCAGAAATATGTTTGTTAACATATATCCACAAAAATACATATCATAAATTTACGCATTCTCCGTCTTTACAGCGTCAAAGTATCGGGACATGAAAGTAGACACTTAACGAAGAATGACCCATTTGTGATAGATCATGAATCATCACACGTCATCACAAGTCCCTTACAAGGTCATCACAAGTCCATCACAAGTCCCTTACAAGTCCATCACAAGTCCTCACAAGTCCATCATAAGCCTATCACAAGTCATATCACAGACTTTCGACCAGACTTGAGAACTGACTCGTAATTTATTTGTGACCTTTGACGCATCACAAGCACCTCAACTAAAACACTGCTTCACTTTTCAATTCTCACTTGGTTTTTGTGGCATTGTCCTCATTTCGTGGGAGCAGATCAGACACAGGTATGTGTGTCACATAGCCTTTTTTTTCCAGGAGGATTACTGTGTCATTGCTATTAACTCACCAATATTTGCGTCATTCCGTTATCTTTTCTCACATACAGCTCTTGAACATCGGCAACAAACGCAATGGTGCCCGGCAAAAGACTAGCCCCTTGATGAATCATATCATTGATGGACCTGAAGGATGTCAACTAAAAATGAGACAATTAAACAAAAAATTTAAGATTAGTTTGTGTAAATTACACGTGTACTACAAAGACATCAGAAAGCATTAACATCCAGAAACTTTAAAGGTACAGTCCATCATTTGTAATTTGTGCATTTTGTTCGTTTGAAGCAACAAAAGTGCCCAAGATCTAAAGGGTGCTGAACAACTAACCTGATGAGGTTTCAGCTCAGCTTTAGCTGTATATTTCGAGAAAAACAACATTCTAGGATCTCGATTTCAAATCAAAAGCTGCTGAATCACGTTTTGAATTGGGCCTGAATTCAGCGTCCAAGACACCTTCTCACTGAGCCGTTTGCAGCTACACGATGTCGCGTACCGATCAGACGAATTATAGCAACCGCGCCTGTGTGTGTCGTGTCAACGCTTGCGTGCGCTTCGCCAAATAAAAAAACGAACTACTAACGGAAATTTCCAACGGTGCGTCTTAAGGCCTTCTTTGATTTCTTCAAAATGAGAGCTTCCCAGAGAGAATAACTTCACAGGGAGTTAAGTCCCTTTACTATCTTTCAACCAAGTATGTTTTTCAACAATAATTACGTCAGTTACTTTTTGGGTAGTCGCAAATAATGGACTATAGCTTTAAGTTTTTGATTTGTACATTTCGGGTCAATCCAGTCAGAAAGCAGTTTGCAGCAGTCTTATTCACTCACTTTCATGTTTCTACTTCTCTGTTGCAGTATCCCTTTCTGGAGATCCTCTTTCGTGACTTGTAAGTGTCATTGCTATTGGTTCGTCTTTATGTTTTATCGTTTTTATGTTGTACTAACCATACTATTCCCTCCCTTTATACAGGTATGAGTGTCTTCATCCACATTGGTCTGTCCTCATATCCTATACCTCTTTTGTGTTTCTCCTTCCAACCCTGCATGCTTGTGAGTCCCTACATGTTTGTTTCTTGTACCTCTTTCATTTTGTTCTGAAGAAGATCTTGCTAAGATCGGAACGTTGGGCCGCCTTCATTTTTAAGATTTGTATATTTCAGGTCAATCCACTCAGACAGCAGTTTGCAGCATTCTTATTCATTTTCATAAAACTAAAAAATAACTTCAGTTAACTTGTTCGATACCAAAATCTAATTGGGGTGACCCACGGATCCTCTAGACAAGTATAAATGACTCATCTGAGCTTGTGTACAAAATGTACAGAACGGATTGTCTACATGGGTGATATGCCGCATGCATAGAACAACGCATAGAACATGTAGAACAATGCGTGCGCCATGATTGCCGACAGCTGGCGTCCTGACAGAAATTTGACCACTGAAAGACTGCAGTCGCAGGCTGATTCTCCCGCACGTGCACGCACAAGTGCCGTATTGCGCATCTAACCAGAAATTTGGGGAAGTTGTTTATGATTGTGTAGAGGATCCATGGTTGACCTTAGTGACTCCGAATATTTTTTAGCTCAGTGTGACTCTAGATTGCCGATCACAAACCAGTAGTAACAAGTCTTCACCTTTTAAAAACTCTTTTTGAGCTATACATTTCAGCTACAAATTGCCACAAGTGAAATTTTCCCTGAACTCTTTCGGGTGAAACTTGACAAAGATAGGCGCATCGCTACTCACCTGACCAGCACTACCTGTCCCTGGGTATCCTCTTGGCCCTCTCTCGCCTTGCAGACCCTGGGGGCCCTGGGGCCCAGTCTGGCCAGGTCTGCCTTGCTGCCCGTCCAAGCCAGGGAACCCCTGGGGTCCTGGTGGGCCCTCTATTGGTATGTAGGAGCCATCCGGTGATTCAGGAAAACCTTATTTGGTGAAAGGGGGGGGGGGTTGGGGTTGGAGAAATACAGCACTGTCAATACATGTATTATGTTAACTTTTGGCATATGGCAAGGCAGTATCCGCTCCGTTCACAAGTACCCCCTCACCGGCAAAGAAAGTACAGTTGGGGGTGACCGAACGACGCCATCTTGCCTCACTGCAATATTTTGCTGCGAAGCGCGGCCACTGCGTGTACATAGTACAAATCCCCTGGTGTACGTGCGTCACACACAAGGAACGGTGCGCGCACGTCAACCAGCAAAATGTATGTGTTCCGCCCATGGGAGGGACGTCGTTGCTAGGTAAAAGGGCGCCCTCTTTGTTGGCGCACGGAGCCCATACATTGGCTCACAAGACCCTTGATCTTTGAGTGATGCCAATACCCGGACATGGAATGCAGTACAAGTTGGATGGTAAAACAATTCTTATGACCACATAAATTCCTAAATATGGTTGCATACCATAGCTATGGTTGATAATAACAAACATTTCAATGGACAGTGGTTGAGTTGCTTCAGCTTGATGTTTTGTTTTTTTTAAACCCAAACTCCCTAGGCAGTTTTGCTAGGATGCAAAATCCTGCAAAACGTTCAAATTGCCTCATCCCTGCAAAATCATTCGTTATAACTTAAATGTGGTCCTTGGACAGGTGACCACTGCCTCAATCCTGCAAAATCCTCCGGCAATCACTGTCAATATGTTGAGTCAGAGCCAGTGACATCCTGGAGCAGTGCGGAGGATTTCAAGTGTAGACCAAAATTTATGCATGCCTGAGCATAAACATCAAAAGGTCCGGCCCAAGACCTTGACACAGTGCATCCTCCAAAATCAGCCACACATTTTTGCCATACAGCCTCAATCCTACAAAATCCTCCATTTTGCAAAAAAGCATTTTGAAGGATTTGGGAAGGCTAGGTTTAATAGCTGTATCTAAGTATTCATAAGATGGAATTTTGCGTTGGGGTGACGTAAATCAAATTAGGTTTTGCCCTTCGAGTCCCGTTCAAGTCCCACCCGAGTGATTTTTTCCAACTTTCACTCGGGAGGTAACACACTGAGTGTACAGTGTTTATACGTCGGTGAAGGGCAAACCCCTAATTTTATTTGTATCGAAGTAATTTCGATGTGACCTATAGATTTGGACTTAATGAGACTTAGCCTGCTTACTTTGGGCTCCTGGGGGTCCTGGCGGGCCCGGAGGTCCTCGGGGCCCTTCTGGCCCATCAATACCAGGCACGCCAAAGCCTGGAGGGCCTGGTGATCCGGATCTGCCCTGGTCACCCTGCACGCCAATACCAGGGTCACCCTACATTAAATACAAAAACGTGAGGGAAAAATACAAGAATTAGAATACAACTCTTTAAACAGCCTCTCCTCCTCTGACTGACTAAGTGGAATGCTGTGGCCATTTTTTTCCTGCGTATTGGGCTACAGTTACAGCGTATCGGGCTGATACATACGTTAGTACATGGGGAGAACCCTGTGGACAAGTTCCTTTTTTGGTTGTGCACGTACCGATACAAACTCACACCGAACAAAACGTATACCAGATTTAAGTCCGACCACAATCAAAATTGACTCACTGTCTGGAGCGCGTACGAACGGAGGTGAAATAAATTATGTCTACGTTTGCTTGAATGTTTTAAATTGTCCACAAGAAAAGGAAAACTTCCAAGTTCGATCAGTTTTCTCTATTCAGAGAATGATGAAATCACTCATTATTCACATGAATAATTATTACTGAAACTGATTTTCTAATAGGACTCGTTCAAATGATGTCATTTCCTACAGACCATCCGCGTGCATCGGCATTTTGAGCGTCAACTTGCATAACGCGCATCGGCTGCATTGTATTTCAAACACATTTCGAGCAACAAGCGCGCGTGTTTGGAACATTTTCAACACTGCGCAATGCGTGCTTGATTGCGTAAAATACACAGTTGCAGTTCTCCTACAGAGATGGCCATCATTGAGCGAGCCCTATATTACTAGCATGGCATCGATTTAAAAATATAAGCCGTGCTTGAAAATATAGCCCATGATTTTTTTTCAGAACTGGCCGTGCTAATACAGCCTGCACAGCTCGCTGGCTAAAACACTGCTCCTGTGCATATCAGAGGAACGAAGAATTGCCCTCAGTTGCAATGTCAGACGCAATGGGTGCACAAGGAGTTTATAAGGTAATTAGGGCGACAGATTATTTTGTTCCCTTGGCTGCCGAAGTTCACCTTTTCGCCCTTTAGTCCTTGAGGTCCTTCACCGCCGGGCACACCGTCCACACCGGGATGACCCTGACAAAAAAAAAATACAAAATACTTACTTCACCATCAAGAACTTTTTATTGCAGTATTGAAAGTTAAAATACTTCATTTTTTAGTTCAGCTTGGACTTGACTTTTTGTAGATTCCATCAGGAGATTTTGGAGGTTTTTCTCTGAATTAAGGGAAGACCCAGCCACTAACAGCATATTTGATAAAACTAGACATTTTGAGTGCCACTGGGTTCCTACACTATCTGTTGCAAATTTGCAAAATTGCGAATCGCTGATTACAGACTATTAGACTCCTCAACAAATGATTTTAATGCAGGATGATGAAATGTCTTGTATTTCTGCTAAAGCAGAATAAGAATATACAGTGTCTCAAGTTTTTGTTTAAAAATGGCCGCAGAAATTTACCAAGAAGTTGAAGGGAAGCATCATCAGGGAAAAGACACTATTTTTGTTCTTATAAATTCAAAATGGGGAAATAGGCCTGTTTCAAGAAAACTAGCCTCAAATTAATACCAACTATTAATATAAAAAAATGGACAAAGAATTTGACAAAACCCTGCACAATATCAAGGGATGAATTCATCACAAGAAATAAAACGCTTTAAGAAAGGGGCAAGCATTATTTCAAAACAAACAAACAAACACGCAAAAAGAAAACAAGCAAAGGTAAAACCAACAATGACAGCAATAGACAATAAGAGATCTACAGTTACATGGTAGATTTAGAAATCTGGTTGATACTAATTTATTTTAATGGAAGCTGTTTTAATTAACAAGAACTTTTTACATTTTCTAAAAAAAACTCACACCAAGGCAACTGAAATAAAGCCATTCGTGAGGTACTCAAAGGTGGAATTCAATAGAATTGAAATGAGCAGGATGATCTTACCATGGCTCCTGGTCTACCCTCCTCTCCTTTGTCTCCCATTAATCCCTTCGGCCCATGCAAGCCGTTTACTCCTGGGAAACCTGAAAAAAAGGGAAAAGAAAAAAAACCAAAGTTATTAAGGATTTTCTCTGTACAAGTGCCCCCCTAAAGGTAGGGTAGATCGTTTGTCATTTGTGCATTTTTTTCGTTTGAAGCAACATAAGTGTTCAAAATCTAAAGAAGGGTGCTTTACAACTAACCAGATGAAATTTAAGCTTGGTGAATGCTATATATTCCAAATAAACAATATTCTAGGATCTCGATTTCTCAAGTCATGTTTTGAATTGCGCCCGAAATCAGCATCCGAGACACATTCTCATTCAGCCGATGGCAGCTACACTTTGTCCTGCTCTGAACCCACAGATAGTGGCAACCGTGCGCGTGTGTGTATCATGTCAACAATTGCCTGCACCCATTCACGGCTTTGCCGAATTGCAAACTAATTACTAACGGAAATTTTCAAAAAATGTGTCACTTGACACATCTTTGGAAATGACCTTCTTTCATTGATTTCTTTAAAATGACAGCTTGCCAAAAAGAAAAATTTCACAGGTTAGTTTAGTGCCATTACTATCTTTAAGCCAAGTAAGCTTTTTAACAATAATTTGTCGGTTACGTTTTAGATAGCTGCAAATGATGGACTCTACTTGTAAGAGGACTAAGAAACAGAAACAAGGGATACTTTCATGCCATTGGCACTTTACGTCTGATGCCCAAGAGTAGACGCTACAGGTTCGTGCACGTTCCAAAGAAAAACAGTTTTGTATACTCTGCACCATATGTGTGCAAAACAAACGCAGTGTGCTCCAATGCAATGTGCTAATTCATATCTTAAGCAGAAATCAGAGGGTGGTAACCAACCATAAGCAATAATATTATTTGTTAAGCAAATTGGCCTCTGGTTATTTTTAACCAGTTCGCGCCGGAGGCCGTGATAACACGCACTGGCTGTTTTTGTACCCGGCTGAATGATTAAGAACTCAATATTTCCTCGACTTGCCTCCGGGTGACGTCTAAACACACTAATCCCTCGTGCCTTTTATACACACACACAAAGTCTGTGTTGTCTGTGGAGGCGGACCGTGTGCTGACCGTTGTGTGGGCCGTTGTGGATGGCCTATTGTTGTACAATTTACGTTCCAGTGCACACCCAGAGTTTTGAAACATATGAGGTTTAGGCAAGAAATATTGTACAAATACAGTTGAAATCACTTTTGCGAATCAGAATTTGTGGCATTTGGCTGTATATCAGAAGTTGGCTGGGAAATTTTGCCTTTTGAAAATTTTGAAATTTTCGGCCAAAAAAACCCTGGCATGAAGTGGTTAAGTTGATGTAGCCAATGATGTCATTGAGCATGCAAGAAGGTGTGGCCTGTTGCCATAGCTAGTCAGGTTATGTTGTTATGGATACCTGGAACTCCCTGTGGCCCTGCTGGTCCTCGTTTCCCTGAAAGTCCACGTTCGCCTGAATCTCCCTTTTCACCCTTTATCTAAAAGAAAAAAAAAAACATCACAATTCAAAATTTACTGATATTGCTTGACAGTGGATTGAACAGAATCATTAAGATTATTGCAATTTTATTCTTCATGTATCATTTATATACAAAATAAAAAATCTCTTCTTGAACATATCTCGACAAAATCAGTTCAACACCTTTTTTTGTTCAATACAATCTCCAATTGTGGGCTTTCTTATTTTGACACCAGGCCTATAAAAATACTTTTGGTCTCGTAAACATTTTGAGCTACTTGTCCTATAATCAAGAAAATTGGAGTCCTGCCCTGAATATGTTTAATATGTCCCTGGCAACAATAAAATAGAATATCAGAAGGAGTGACAAAAATGGATTTGATGACTAAGCAAGCTTCAGAAAGACATTCTGAAAGAATATTTGGCAAACTTCAATTAGAAGATTGAAATAAAACACTTTTGACCAGTTCACGTCGGATGACCTGTATACTTGCAAAGGTTTTGCGGTATTCGTAATGGTATATCTGTCGGTGTATCTGTCAGCGACCCGATCGCAGCGAGCGAGTCCGGAAATATCAGGGTGTGCTACCCGCAAATGGCGGCCTGAACCCGTCTGGCATCGAGGTTCGTGAAAAACAATCCCGCGCCTGGGTTCAATCGATGTCAAAATAATCCCGGCGCAAACTGGTTAAATAGCATTAGCTTACTATCGTTAATATTGACACAAATATATTTGTAATACTTTCACGTACCCCAAGGGCTATGGGAGTATCTGTCCCATCTGTCCCATAGATAGCAGGCTCTCCTTTCTCACCCTTCATACCCTGCTCTCCCTGTAAAAACAAATGGTACAGTCCATGATGAATCTTAAAATACCGACATTTTAAATGCAAAATTTGAAAACAAGACCGTAAAATGACTTTGTAAGTTTGACAAAATGTTCGACAAAATGATCAAAACTTGCATGATGAAAACCCAGAAATGACAAGTACAGATGTTCAAAATGTGAACACCATTTTTTACCGATTGCTTTTGTAAGGCGTTCAGGCAAAATGAGACAGAACCGGGCAGAGGTTAAAATGAGAGTTAGTGGGTATTAGGAAAGAGAATACAATTCTCCTTACAATACTGTTTGTTGCACTTCAATCGGACAATTTCGTTGACAAGTTATGACTGTTTAAAGTTTGCGTTTATCGACAAGTAAAACACTGAGAGATATGCCTTTAAAGTTGTGAGTTTTGTATTTGTGAAAATGAAAGATGCCAATTGTTTTTTCCTTCGAAAGTATTTTATTCCATGATTTTTATACTATTTCTTTAAAATATGTGTAGAAGATATATCAAAGATTACAACTGTTAATAAATCCGAAAATCTGAAGAAAAAAAATTATCCCCCCCCAAGGGCCATATTCATGAGTTAGCCATTTTTGTCGAGTTCCCTGAATTTATTTCATTAATTGTTAACTGTTGAATGGGATGGCGCCAGACTTTTTATGCAGGCATAATATTTTACTGTCATTTTTAAATCTGGCTTTAAACATTATGGAACGATTAATTACAAATTTGAAATTATTCATTGAAACAGACTGGAATTAATTAGTAATTAACTTGCTTTCATTTCTCTAAACAAGTTCCAAAAATCAAGATTTTACCTCACTCTCAATCCAATATGGCCGACTCGTGAATAAGGCCCATTTGATTTTTTTTTTGCATTTTTCTCCAGTTCCATCTCATTTTGCCAGAATGCTGACATTTGTTATCAATCAGTTTAGGTAGATAGTGCGATATCCATTGACTTATTATAGGTTGTTAAATGTTAATGCAACAATGTGATTTACTGTAGAAAACAAATTCACATTGTCAGCTGTTTGTGTCAATTCATAGTTCATGTTGCCTGCATAAATACACAATATTAATAGAAGTTCATTGTTTTATAAAGCTGAGTTTGATCAATTTGGATCGATAAAACTGACAGCATCTTACCTTTCCACCTTGAAGGCCTATACCCTGGGGAAAAAAGAAGAAGAAAATCAAGGTAATTTTCTGTTACAATGCAGTATTGAAAATATAAAAGCCAAATGCATGGTTTTAGATCAAAAAAAATATCATAATTTCTTTGTAGGCGACTCAATCAAACATGGGAAAAGGATATAAACAAATGTAACAAATGCCATCATTATTTTGACTCTAACTCACTGGTCGGCCATTAATTCCCGGTGGTCCCTGCAAACCAGGTGGTCCACTGTCACCATGGCTACCCTGTAAAGTAACCAATCAAAAACAGCGTTTTTTTTACAATCAGCTTTTCTTGACCAAAAACCACAAACAAAAAGTACACTTGGGAAAGGCACATATGGAACACTGGGATAAAGTTGTTATAAATGGTACAATTAAAAAAAATGTGTAAGTGGGCGACATATATCTGATAACACTTCACGAAGCCTTTTTTTTTACTTGCATTACAATTTTGCATTAGGGTACAGTGGAATCCAGCTACTAGAATTAGAAGCTTTTACTGTGGTAGTTTCAGGTTCAGGCGCGCGCATACTGCATGCGTTCTTGAAGACAGGGCGCTAAGTGCATTTTGGTATTTTCATTGGTCGAAGAAGCCCATATTGCGTGTGTAATTCCTGAGCCTGATTGCGCGAACCTTGCACCACCACAGAAAATGGCTGCCACCAGATTTGTCTGTATCTTAAAAATTAGTACTGACTGGTCTTTGTTCACAGAAATAATATGAACTTTTACGTCATGCACTCCACCAAGGCACTTCCCCCCCCCCCCACCACCAACGAAAACAAGTAGAAAGAGCACTTTGTACATCAAAAAGCCAAAAAACCCCAAACATTTGACTAGTGAGGTTTTGTGCTAACAACATTTTGAAAAAATCTCATTTGAGAAGATGTATGGTTCTGAAAAGAACTAGATGGTTGTGAAACTCGACGTTTCGATCAGTATGCTCTGATCGTCTTCAGGAGACTTCTCCTCAATCAGAGGACACTGATCGGAACGTCAAGTTTCACAACCAACCGCTTCTTTCCAGAACCACACATGTTCTCAAAGAAGATTCTTCCACGTGGTGTTACCGCAAACTTTCACAAGTCTACACTACCGCTAGGCAGAGTTTCAAATCTTACATACCATTTAACATGTCTACACATAATGTGTTGACCACAGATACAAATTCAAAGCGAATTTACAAAATGGAATTCTGCTGACTGGCTTACCGGTCTTCCAGGAATACCGAAGTGCCCCTTGGGTCCTCGTGGTCCTCTAGGGCCACGCATTCCCTTGTACAACAACATCGTGGTGTCGTCAGGAACGTATGGGTCTCCCTTCGGGCCCTGCAAGATAGCATGTACAAATACAGCGTGTTACATTGGAATTGGAACCAGGGGTGGATCCAGGATTTCCCAAAACGGGGAGGAACCTGTACAGGAAGTTTTGTTGTGACACACTAACACGCGAAGCTCTCTGCATTTCAGAGCAAATCTGGGGAACTCTGAGGAAGATTTTTCAACAAAACACAGAGGAGATTAACAATATTTTTAAAAATAAATATAGAATAAACATTTCACAAGCATTACAACTTCCTGAACTGGAAAGGTATGGATTGAAAGTTTAAAGTTTCAAGTGAAGAAGTAAGTCAGAGAACAAAATAATTTTTGATTCTTATCACATGCATTTCCAAAATTAGGGTCAGAGGTCGTTTTTTTTTTGGTTTTGCCAAAAAAAAAACTGTGTGCTGATTGAATGGAGCATAAAAGAGCATGCAAGGAGTCGTACATATTTTGTGCCTGGATAATTTTCATTCGTGCCATGAAAGTTATCAAAACTTTTTGATACAAATTTGCCTAACCTAATTATGCAAATACACGTAAGGTGGATGATTCTTTAAAATAATGAAGAATTTAAGTCGTCCACGCCACTATGCTCAATGACAATGTTAGTAATACGGCATGGGGGAAGGAATAGCCACTGGCCAGCACTTGACTGGCTGTATATCATGTCGCGCTTTTAAAAGCTCTATAATCAAGAACATTTGATTCCTCGCCCTAAATATGTTAGATTTGTCCCTGGCAACAATAAAATAGAATCTCAGAAATGCATTTGGTAACTAAGCAGGAATAAGAAAGTCATTCTGAAAAGAATATTTGGCAAACTTCAATTAGAAGATTGAAATAAAACACGTTTGACCAGTTCATGTCAGATGATGTATATACAAAGGTTCTGCGGTATTCGGAATGAATGACAGATGTCTGCGACCTATTCGTGCTTTGTACGAGTGAGCTAAAACTTTGCATATATAGTTAGTATGAATCTCTCTACACGCACATCAAATTTCATACAATTTGTTCATTGCATTTCCCGAACTACCCTGTCCTTCCAGCTAGGAGATGGTCAATAAACCAGCTCCTGTAGAAGTTCCTTGGGAATGTTCTGAGGATATTCCTGACTCACCTGAGGTCCTCTAGGTCCGGGCAATCCATTCAACCCATCACGTCCTGGGGTACCTTCTGATCCTGTATCACCTTTGAGTCCCTATGGAATCATAATAATCAAAACACAGCGTGAATAGTTTTCTTTAAGGGTCCATGCGATGAAGTTTTCCTAGGAACACATTTTGTGCAACTTTCTACTCCTGTTAAATGTATGAAAACTATTTGACATCCTTATTTTTTTTGATTATTTTTTGATTGTATTTTTATTGAAAAGTGCACTTATTTAAACATTTGAAATATTCCATGCTTCCCAGACAACTGAGGGCGCTGTTGCTGTGATGTCATTCCGGGGAGACACTGTCTAGTTTAGGGATTATCTGTTTAAATTGTGAAATAAAAATTTGCTTATTGAAAACATCTGTGAGAAAGGGTTGCTCATCGGCTAACACCAAAATATCTGAAATTCTAGCAACTTTTGGTGCTAAAATAGCTGTAACATTGAGGTTTCTGTCCGGAATGACCTCACAGTTTTGCTAATGAATATGGAAATTGACATTAGCATAAAAACCAAAAAGGGCACCAAAATATCCTTTAAAATGGCAAAACGAAAATTGAAAATATGGTTTAATGGGACACAAAGGTGCATTTTCAAGGATTGCATTAAAAAAATTACATTGCATGGGACCTTCAAAAAAAAAAAAATTCAGTCAAATAAAAAAATGTAACCGAATAATTCGGGCGATTCACAATGCAGTGCGCCACCAAGAGTTTGCCACGGAGAATTCATTTTTCCCAGTGCATTGTGGGAGATGGTTGACAAATTCACAGGGCGGGACATTTGAAATCGTTAGTTTTTCCGGTCAGTGGTTTCGTAAGCGTATGACTCGAGGCTCTGTTTGCCCATTTCTTTTCTTGTTATCAATATGGTGTTTTTGTAAGGCCGCAGAACGTTATGCCCCAGTCTATAACATATTAGCTCAAGTTGTGTACTGACACTCATTCAAATGGGCCATGTTTTGTCGACCGTAAACTTGAAAAATGGACTCTCCGTGGCAAACTCTTGGTGGCGCACTGCATTGTGAATCGCCCGAATTAATTAATTTGATGAAATGCTTCTTTCTAAAAAGACCTTACCATTTCACCCTTCAGGCCGTCTATTCCGTCTATTCCGGCAGGTCCCCGTTCTCCAGCATCTCCCTTGTCACCATGGAAACCTGGTATTCCGTTCAGACCACCATCACCCTAAGCAAGGAAGAAATGCAATTTTTGTTACGTGAACAATTATTTGGAAATATGTGAAATTACAGAGTCGGTAGTTCTGCTCTGAGACAAAATTTCTTGAGCACAAAAAAAGTTCAGTGTAGCTGTTGAGCAGAAAATATTATGCAATAGGGCTCGCTCACTGACGGTCATCTCTGTAGGAGAACTGCAACTGCGTGTTTTACGCAATCAAGCATGCACTGTGAAGTGTTGAAAATGCTCCAAACACGCACGGTTGTTGCTCAAAATCAGGCATGCAACTTGGAATTTTGGAAAAACAAAGAAATTCTGAACCACACAAGACTTTGTATAGTGTTTTTCAATTTGTTATGGCATTCATGAGAAGTAAAAAACCGAGGAAATCAGCGGATCCGAGGAAAAGTTGCATCCCTGTCGGAATGTGTTGGAAATAGGACGCAGCCGATGCGCGTTATGCAAGTTGACGCTCAAAATGCCGATGCACGTGGATGGTCTGTAGGAAATGACGTCATTTGAATGAGACCCATAATGCAAAACTAACTGGTAACATGCCAAACTAACTGGTAACATGTTCTTGTTAAGCTAATACTTTCGGTGCTTAGTATATTTTCCATGCATAGCAACCCCCATGATATGGGCCTTGGTCACCACCAAGCAAAATGCCTTAACCTAACCCCTAAACAGTCCTAAACCAAATTTGAACAGCTACACACACACAGGCTCAGTATTTACTGGACAGAACCTGCGAAACGTCAACAGGCCTTGTACTGACAACAGTACTAAAACCTGCCAAACTCCAACAGATCAAAACTGTTGAATTTGGATTGATTTGGTATGGATAAGTCTCTGCATTGTTGGGTGACTGGCTAGTGACTGAAACAAGGTGTTGGCAACAGAAAGTCATGAAAGGCATTCATTACTGCACTGTATGTAGGCCAAATGCACTGTAGACTGTATGCAGTGTGCATCCATGTAGTATAAATGTACAGCACAAAGTTGACCAGTGACTACGCTAGGGAACAACCGTGAGCTCACCCATGAAAAAATGCCTGTGCATTCCCCCAAAATGCAACATTTCCACTAGTCTCAAGCCTTTCTTCCCTGAACCTCACAGAATTCAACAGGGCCTCCCTGGGCCTTTGGTACCCAGTCAAACCAAGTCCAACAACATGCTCATAATGTATGGTACTAATCCTGACAAAACCTACTGTCTGAGTTTGATGGGCTTGGGATAGTTCTCTAACTACCCAAAGCTTATCAAACTGTAACAGTGCCTGTGACTGGTTCCCGCTACTGTGTGCTTAGCATGTGGATTTAGCTGGTTACCTTCTGTCCTGTGGGTCCAGGTGGGCCGACTTCACCACGGTCTCCCTTTTCACCCCTCTCAGCCATGTGACCATCCATATCAATCTGTCAAAAAAAACACCAACAATTTGCAACATAAACCATCAAGGCAAAAAACCTAGGGTTAGTTTAAGTCAACATGGACTCCATAGTACTCAATGGTTTCAAAGGAAAAGAGTAAAGGGACCACTGGAAGGGCCCATTGAATGCATCACCAATGGCAATGGTGCCTAACACATCAGAACAAGTGATCTGCGGATCACAGGTGTCGTCTTTTTTTTTTTTTGGGTGCATTTTTAAACAATGACCTCAAATGACCCCTAGATGACCTCCAATTTCTGAAGAGTTGCCGTGAACCCCCATACAAGGATCACTCCACCCAAGCTGCAATGAAATCCGTCAAATTATGTAGACAAAGAACTATTTGAAGCAGATTTGAACAATGACCTCTAATGACCCCTACATGACCTTTGACCTCAGTAATCTGATGAAGAATTGTGTCTTCCCACTCCAGGGTCACTGCATCCAAGTTTTATCAAAATCCATGAAAGCTTGTAGAAGTTATATTTTTTTTCAAAAACTTAACCTAAACTCTAACATGCGTACGGTCAAGCGGGGATACAGTCATACAGAATCTAGGACTGGTACATGTAATTGTCCCCCAAAACTTCCTTTAGAGGACACATCAACTAACTTAGTCATCCTCTACACTGAACTGAAATTGTTATTTTTATTGCAAGCATGAGCAATATGGGGGATTATCTGAAACATGTTTTTGCAAAACAAGGCAACTTTGTCAACAAAACATATTCTCGGCTTCACTACCCTATAACAAGCCATTACCAAAAATATCATCAACTGACATTAACAGTGCTTGTTTAAACACTGCTTTGCCTGATCTGTCCAATGAAACTTAAGTCAAAGAATCATATATATTTTTCTGGCAACTATTTCATTTGTGAAGGTGGAGCCTATTTTCTTTGTTAATTCTGCTTAGTTCCCCTGCTTCCGCAGTGTTGTCAGGTATCATTGGTGGAGCAGATAGGGGAAATATTTGGGGGAATTGTGCCTTTGATGATACAAGCATGGCATTTGGCACACAGTCAGAGAATATCACGAGTAAGATATTTGGCTATATAGGGCCATCGCAGATTTATCCTTTGACAACATAAAAGTACAATAAAAAGCAATTTTCAAAATGTTCAAATGGTTGCCATAGCTCGTTATTCTACCTACATTTTTTTGAAAGGACAAATCTGTGATGGCCCTATAACCAAATATCTTTCTCAAGACATGACATTATCTGACTGTGTGCCAATGTCATGCTTGTATCATCAAAGGCACAATCCCATCACCTATCTCTCGTACTACATACACCATGCATGCAAGAACTTCTGCTCCGTTTTTGTTTTGTTTCATCGTATGTTTACTTGTTAGAGAGAGAGTGTTCCCTTTTATTTCTGCCGATGAAATACTTACCATCATTTCACCAGGAGGGCCAGGTGGGCCAGGCGGTCCCTGTAGCCCTAGGGATCCCATACTGCCATTTTTCCCAGGTGTTCCTGCAGGTCCTTCTGGTCCTACATCGCCTTTAGGTCCTCGCACGCCAATGCCTGGCTCGCCCTGTGTCAGGGGTCAAAGGTTAGGTTTCAGAATCAGGTCAAGCTCATATCTGCCCATAGTTGATTTAAAAAGAGGTTCATCTATCTTCCCGTAGCACCTCTGGAGCTACTTAGCAAACTTTGCTCAGCATAGAAATGGCTTGATAAGCAAAATAACGTTTACCAGCTAAACTGTCATGCAATGTCTATTGCTTTTGACTGGTTACCGGCTGAATATATTTGCTAACCAATATTTTCTGTCTATAGTGGAATCCGGCGACCAGAATTCAAAGCTTTTACTGCGGTGGTGTCACGCTTACGCGCATGCTGCACGTGTTCTTGAAGCAAGGCATGTGTGCTATTTGGTATTCTTATTGGTTAAAGGAGCCTGGAGTGCATGCGTATTACCTGAGCACGACTCATGCCAGCCTGGTGCCACCGCAGAAAATGGCTGCCCCCGGATTTGTCTGTACATATTTTTTCTTGTAAACATTTTCTGCTTAAAGGGTCCTTGAGATGAATTTTTCTTAGAGCACATTTTGTGCAACTTTCTACTCCTCTTAAATGTATGAAAAATATTTGACATCCCTTTTTGGTTAATTTTATTGGAAAGTTCACTTCTTTTAAACATTTACAAAATTGTCCATGCTTTTCAGGACAATTGAGGGCGCTATTGCTCTGATGTCATTCCAGGAATACACTGTTCAGTTTAGGAGGTTTCTGTTCACATTGTGAGCCCAAAATTTACTCCTTGAAAATATTTTTGAGAACTGGTTGCTCATTGGCTTACTGCCATATACTTGCACAACAACGAATCACCAAAGAAAAAATACCCCAAATTCAAGCAACTTTTTGTGCTGAAATCGTTGTAAAATTGAGGTTTCTGCAAAGAATGACATCACAGTTTTGCTCATGAATATGGAAATTCACATCTGCATAAAAACCAAAAAAGCGCCAAAATGCCCTTTCAGATGGCAAAACAAAACTTGAAAAACAAGAGTTAAATTGGACACAAAGATGTATTTTCAAGGATTCATTCACAGAGTCATTCATATTTACAACATCTACAACAATATTCTATAGCACCAACAAACAAATATCGGCTTCATCAAGATAAATTTTTGACAAACATACCTGTTTTCCTTGAGGGCCTTCTCTACCGTCTTTACCATGTTTACCCTGAAAAAAAAAAAAATCTATGGTCTTGAAATTGATCTGTGATCAGGAGGACAATAGATGCCAAACATGTGTACATGTAACATAATTTCAAATTGATGTATTATTTTTACCCGAGTATAAAAAATAGTTAAATAACAGTACTGCCAAACATGTTACTACAATCCTGGCCAAATCTCGCTGGGCCCCGACCCCCCGTCAATGTTGTCTCTCATTGCACGGTGTGTGCTCCATCAGTTGGAGAGAACAACATTGACCAGGGGAACGGGGGAGCGGGTGACCGTGGAAGGCTAAGGTTATTTCCAAGTGTCCCAACCATTTTGGCCGGGATTGTAGCTGTACCAATTATATGTTCTAGTCAACTATTACGTTCCGTAGTTCAAGGTTATCCAATCTGATCCTACTCTATGATCAAATTTTTGGGGGGATTAATTTAATTTTTAAGCAAATATGCCTGCAGAATAAGCTGTTTCATGGTAATATGTGCCATCTTATTCACGGGGCAAAAAAGAACACGCGTTGCTAGACGAGGGCGCATTTTGGAATGACCACATAATGACGTGGAAGCGCCAAAGTTTTCCATCAATGCGTGTAAACTTGCCCCATCAGCAAGATGGCGCATATTATCGTGAAATACCTTATTAGACCTAATGTGAAACTGTGCAAGTTTCAGAGATTTAGCAAGATTTTTTAAACAAAGAGAGTGAAGAATGGCTAAAAAAAACAAAGGTGGTCATACCGATGGGCCTGGTGGTCCAGTGTCTCCTTGAATTCCCTGAGAAAAAAAAGAAAGTAAATTTTCATCAGAATCTCAAAATTTACTTGTTTGTGCCGTACACATCACCAATTTTATTGTGAATGCGCATAACACGTAGACCTTTCTCAGCATACACCACCTTGAAAAACAAAGCATATAACACAACCAAACATGGCGGCATCAATCACAATTGAAACATTATTGTTACTGTCAGATATTGTGTTTTCTATAGGAGGATTTTTTTCTGAAATTTTTTTTAAAAAATAGCGAAGACACATTCAGGAACTTTGCAGGCAAACCAGTACAGTACGCTCACACGCTGTGTGTCCTGTCCACGGAGCTCTCAAAAGCGGTAAAAATGCGCCCTCTTTTGTTGGCACACTGACTGAGCCCATAGGCCACAAACTTATCAATCAACCGCTGTATTACCATGTTGAGAACCAGTATTTGTCCCCTAGTCCTACCTGCATTCCTTTGGGCCCAGCAGGTCCGACGTCGCCCTTCGGCCCTCTCTCCCCTAGTAAACCTATCTCACCACGGTCACCACGCTCACCAGCTGGGCCTGGAGGTCCCTGGGGCCCAGGGGGACCTGGTTCACCGGTGATGAGTTCTCCACCACCCTGGGGAGGGGAATAAAATGGACGACCACTATAATCAGTGAAGGCCACAAATATAATACAAAACTACATGCAGGCTGTTGAACAATGCAGCTTTGAGATGACATCACATGACTTGTGATGACATCATCATGACGTCACATAAATTGTGATGACATTATCATGATGTCACTTGTCCATGCACGACGTTACTATGGGGCTTAAGTCCATGCCAAGTTTCATCAAGATTGAAGTTTGTTTATTGCCAAAAGTGGCACCGAGAATGAAACATGTACAAAGTCTATGGGATTTGTGAGAACAAGAAGAAGAAAAGAAGAAGAAGAAAACAAATCAGAACAAAAACAAAGGCTTTTCTGCAAAGTTTGCAGAAAAGCCACCCCAAAAAAGAGGGATTTTCAACTTTATTTTCCTTACTTAAAATAATAAAATGTCTAAAAATGTTTGATTGATTTGCAAAAAAGTTAACTTACATCAATTGGTGACTTTGTCAAAGGCATAAATCCACTTCCAGTTAGGGCATCTCCATCCTGGATATGATAAAAAATTCAATATACGTTAATTTTGTAAAAGAACATTTAGCAAGTTCTTCAAAAACATTTACTTACAATTACTTCAATTACTTAGAAAAAGGCCTATGAAATTAAACTTCGTTTCCAGTAATGAAAATTTTAATTGTCACATTCTCTTCTCAATAGTCTCATTCCTAGTTTAATAAAGATTGACGATTTGGATACAAAAATGTAAATGTGGAAAAACTAGGCAAAACATTTTTTTTCCCTCAATAAGCCAGTTCGATATTTCAATGACCCGAGGTCATTCAGTATAAAATCGCTAACGTGATTTTACGCGATGTTATGCACACGCCCATTCTGCTGGTAATTTAAACGCAAGCGTCATGCGCCCGCGTTCATGCGCCTTCGAAACGTTCGATTATCCCGAATGACCCATGACCCATATCATTGTGCACATGCGCAGTTGAAATACCAAACTGGCTTATTGAGGCCAATGATCAATTTTTGTCCGTCTTCCCTTGAACGTTTATAATGAGATATACAACGCATTTTTGTCTACCAAAAATGACAACACTCATCTCCCCACATACAACTAGTAGAATTTGGATCCAAGTTGCAGACTTCACAAAACATCAGGGAACTCGTTCAGGAAACTTACTGTGAGCATTTTGGAGATTGCCGTTGGTGTCATTTCCGAGGGCATGATGTACACTTTCCCTGGTGGGCCTGGTGGGCCTTGTGGCCCCGCCATACCGGGGTCTCCCTATGAAAACAGACAAGACGACACATAATTATCTACGCTAACTTCTTGAGGTCGATGTCTGTTTGAGAACAGAACTTAGGGCTTTTCCGCATTATAATTTTTTTTATGAGTTAATTTTTTTTGGGTGATGTAGTCATGTAAATGATAATTTTGTGTACAAAGTGCATTTAATGTAACATTTTGCTTGTAGCCAAAATATGTGATGCGATCAAGCTAAATGAGTCTTTTGTCAACCCTGGTCATTTTTTTTTTTTTACCAGATTTGAAAAGAGCACGATCTCAGCATTACTGCTGTGAAAACCGCATGCTGATACCATCTTTAGTTCAAAAATTATGGAAGTCGAAACACCAAGAGATGTGATGAAGTGATGCGATGAAGTGGCCCTATTTCGGCCTGAATCTCCAAATGAAAGTTCCCGACAAACGACTCATTTAGCTTGATCGCATCACATATATAAAAGTTTAAACATTTAAAAAAAAAATCATTTAATAATCAGTTGATGGCATCATCTTGATGTCATTTCGAACTTTGGAGGTTTCGGAGGTCAGCATATTCGGCATATTTCAGGAAAGGGGAACATATCATGACAGGCACCGATTGCTGTGTACAATACAGTGAGTGAAAAGCATTACTACTTTTCTGTACTTTCTATGCTGTGTTGTCAAAGTTGTCAAATAATTAACTTTGAAGTCAACTTTTACTGCTCATGAAGCAAACTGATATTAAATTGTACACTTTAAAATCCTTCACAAATATTACCTGCATTCCAGCGGGCCCCTCAATACCTGGAACACCAGGCTTCCCCTTGGGAAAAAAAGAGAAGTAAATATGACTTTATTTCAACACTATCAAATTTAATTGCATTTAATCGCATGCAACAGCCAATGCTTCAACATCTTTCTTGTTTTGTTCTGTGCCCAAGTACCACCTCAACAGTTAAAGGTATAGTCCATCATTTGTCATTTGTGCATTTTGTTCGTTTGAAGCAACAAAAGTGCTCAAAATCTAAAGAAGGGTGCTGAACAGCTAACCTGATGAAGTTTCAGCTCAGCTTCAGCTGTATATTTCGAGAAAAACAACATTCTAGGATCTCGATTTCAAATCAAAAGTTGCTGCATCATGTTTTGAATTGGGTCTGAATTCAGCGTCTGAAACACTTCTCACTAGCAAATTGCAGCTACGCGATGTCTCGCACCGATCCCACGAATTATAGCAACCGCACGCCCGTGTGCGTCGTGTCAACGCTTGCGCGCGCTTTGCCGAACAAAAAAACGAACTACTAACGGAAATTTCCAACGGTGCTTCTTAAGACGCACCGTTGGAAAGGCCTTCTTTCGTTGATTTCTTCAAAATGACAGCTTGCCAGAAAGAATAATTTCACAGGGAGTTTAGTCCCCTTACTATCTTTCAACTCAGTATGTTTTTCAACAATAATTACGCCAGTTACTTTTTGGATAGCTGCAAATGATGGACTCCGGCTTTAAGAGTTGGGGGAAAACAGTGGTAGGGACAAATGAATGCATTCCCTACTAGGGTCTGGCACTTGCAGGAATATAATTAATCTTGCGTTTGCCTACTGGTTTTCTGTTCAAATTGTGAACTCAAAATGCTCTCATTGAACAAATTTGTGAGAAAAGTTTGCTCATTGGCTTACTGCCCTGTTCTGACACAACGTGTCACCCAAGAAAAGAAAATTTACGACAGCGAAATGTCCTAAATTCTAGCAACTTTTGGTGCTGAAATACCTGCAACATTGAGGTTTCTGCCTGAAATGACACACTTGTTCATGAATATGGACATTTGCATTGGCATTAAAACAAAACAGATCACCAAAATATACCCTTGAAAATGGCAAAATGAAAATTGAAAATAGGGTTAAATGGGACACAAACGTGCACTGAGAAAAATTATATTGCATGGGAATTTTAAAACAAAAAGTATAGGGCCTACTTCATTCAACTACAGTTTCTTCCAATACTGCCAACGTAATTAAGAGTGGATCATGTCAAACATGTCTTTATGTTTAAAAACCAATAACTTACATTTTCACCAGGAGTTCCTGCAGTTCCATTTCTCCCTGGGGTACCAGGTGGGCCAGCAGGACCCTGAAGACCAAATAAAAATTATGAACAAAAACCTTATTACTTAAAAACTAAGGAGTTATCTTAATAATTATCTGGGCTACGTTGCTGAGCTGTTTATCTACAATAGGCTCATTACATTGAGTATTTGTTGCAGGAATCCCCCTGCGATTAAGTTATCAATGTTGTTCACAAAACTGGACTGTATTTGCCACTAGGGGGTGCTATCTTCCATTTTCTTCTAATCTGGGCCACGTTTTGGCGGCCCTTGAACTGGAACATGTTTCTGACATCACAGCCACGACATAGACATGTTTCCAGTGCACCGCGTAAACAGCTCACTAGAAAAATTATTTGTGATGTCATTTTGTAAACAAACATGGCGGTGAGCAGACCATCATGACCAACATGGGAAGACGAATGTTTTTGGTCAATTTTACACAATTTACAAGCAAAAGTTGGGCAGTTACTTTTCCTTAGGCAAAGTAATTGTTATATATCAACTTTACCCAACCGACAGTACAAACCCACTGTTTAACTCCCTTTTGTGCTAACAAAGTAATGTCATCTGCTAAAACTTGTTTACCTTTCCGCCATCTTGAAACGTAAGTGAACCAATCACAAGTGTTGCTCCAACTTTGGTGGGACAATGATGTCATTTCAGTGTAACCGAAGCGCCAAAACGGTCCTTAACCAGAAACATGTTTACAGTCACAGTGCCCGAATGCGGCCCTCTCTTTTGATTATTTCACAATCCGTACAGGGAAACAGAATGAGTAGCTATTCATAAGAAGGAATTTTGCGTCAGGGTGATGTAAATCAAATTAGGTTTTGCCCTTCACTGACGTATAAACACTGTACACTCAGTGTGTTACCTCCCGAGTGAAAGTTGGAAAAAATCACTCGGGTGGGACTCGAACCCACGACCTCCTGCTTTCTAGTGCAGATGTCTTACCACTCGAGCTAATGGGATCGGTTGGCTGGTTCGAATCTGATGTGCAATGAGTAGCATGAATTTAAAAACTGATATCTTCACTCCTCTTCTTGTTTAATTATTACTTGGGGGGGGGGGCAAAATCCTTGTCAACAAAAATTTCACAAAAGCTCACCTGTATCCCAGGTGGCCCCTGGCTACCGTTCAATCCATCCCGGCAGCTGCAGGGTCCATCTGGCCCAGTGTAGTTCATGGCTACCGTCCCAGGCCGGCCTGGTGTGCCCGGCACCCCTGGCATACCTGGAGGACCAGGAGCCCCCTGGATCCCCTGGGGGCCTTGTGGGCCCGTTAGCCCCATGGGACCCTCTGGACCCACTGGCCCTGGTTGGCCATCTTTGCCCTTCTGGCCTAGCTGCCCCTGAAGAAAAATTTGAACATGAAACAAATTTTGTAGAAACACAGGTCTTAAAACAATTTTTGCACATTCTCAAAGATTTTGGATCCACTTTATAGTCAGGTTTTTGATGCAGGTTTTTGGAAAAGTTTGTGGGTTAAGTCTTAAGTTTGTCATGAGCTAAACACAAAATTCCATCACCCTAATATCACAAATTATTGTTTGCTCTACACAGAGTTAATTTTTTTATGGCTAAGTATGTACCCAGTGCTTAATGATATTTTGTAAGATCAAGCAGCCCCCAAAAGAATGCAACTTTATTCTTTTTATTGCTCTTGCACATCACTGAGAAAAACAGCTCTTTTAAAGTCACATCAGTGAACGGTAAATGCAAGAATCCATTGTACAAATGCATGTTATTAAAAATGTCACCTACCCTGAAATCCTCAAATCCTGATCCTTCAAATAAGTCAAAGAACTCCTGCACAGAAAAAAAACATTGAAACATGAAAGGCAGAATTAAAATGGATGAATTTGTACAGTGTCGGATTTAACGCAAAAAGTAAAAGTACTCTTGAAGGCAAATGTCAGATTAAACGCAGTAAGTAATAGTACTCTTAAAGGGAAACAGCATGAAATTTGAGCTGTACCTTCTACTGAACACACTTTACCAATTATCTAACATTCTCAGTAACTTTACAGTCTATGGTCACATTATGAAGTTCTTGCATTTTTGTAGACCTGTTTGAATTTCAACATGAAAGAAAAGATTTCAGGTAAACGAACAAAACCACAAATTATATTCTTGTTTGGCAATATAAGCATATGGAGGGTGCACTGTTGGATGATGCAGATGGAGCTCCCTAGCTAAGCAGTGGTTCAGAACAGGAACTTGACTGCAGCTACATGTACTGCTATACAATTAAGTCTCGTTGTGACATGGGCTAAGTACCCCAACAACTTTGCTTAGCAATGGAATTCGCATGAAGTGTGAGTTTGTCAGTAGGCAAACATCCACGGATCCAGGGTTCTTACCGGTAGCTCAGCGAGTGGTCCCGTTTCACCTTGCGGCCCTTCGGGTCCTTGGGGTCCCACCGATCCTTGTGGTCCGGGCAACCCAACACCAGCCTCACCCTAAGTGAAAAAGAGGGTCCAGAATTTTAAAAAACATTTCATTTCTGTGCCGATGTTTGGATGCATTTCCTTTAACACAAACACACACACACTGCTTACAATTTTAGGCGTAGGTTCCCTTTGACATGCACTGACTTAAGGCCTTTTCACACTAGACAAAATCTCGGGGGTAGCCCTAGGGTGACGCAGGGCTGAAAATAAGCCACGATTCACACTTCACACTTGACTAAGCCATGATTCACGCTTGGAATTCTCACTCCCCTGTGCTACCACCAAAAGGGTCTTTCCCTGGGGCGATTTTAACCCTGCTTGGGACCAGGGTTGAAAATATTATCCCTAGGGCGACACACTTTAGGTGGGGCGAGAACTGTAGTGTAAAACGAGCAGGGGTGACTTTGCCCCGGGGTGAGCATCAGAAGTTGAAAAAGGCTCCGAAGTTTGATGTAATTGCACACAGCTCATGCTCAAAGCAGAATACACTATAACTACCTTCTCTCCTTTGTCTCCTTGTGGGCCACTTTCTCCTTCGGGTCCAACTGGGCCGATGTCACCCTGGTCACCCTACAAAAAAAAATCAATTACGAAAAGAAAGCACCGTAAATGTGCAGGAAGATACATTTGTAAATATCTCAAGCCCCAACACCACTTCACCCATCAGCCCCTGTACCGCCCCAAAGTGCCGATACTGTAACTCCTTACACCGCAACACAGTTTCTATGTATTCGTCATGGAGTAATTGAACTGTATCGACATTCTGAAAGTGAGCAATTTTTTAGTACGTCTTTTAAATCTCGCCCTCTTGCACAAAGCTGATGAAACTCCTCCATAAAATTTGTCATGCCTTGTTCACATAATCTGAAATTTTGGTTTAATTCCATTGGTAAACAACAGAGTTATCTAGGATAAAAAGTAGGACATGTTTTTTTTTTTGACAAGTTGTAACAAGTGCCAAAGTTCCAAGATCTGAATATCCAAGGGGAAAAACTCCCTAAAAAATTGAATATATTTTGTAAAATGGGTTGTCAGTTTTGTATACTTTTCTTTAATTTACCTTATCTCCTTTTGGTCCAGCCTCTCCTTTCTCTCCCTAAAAGAAAAATTAAAAACACAAATATATGCCAAAACACATTCTGCTTGTCATCAATAAATGGTGATTCAAACATAAGCTGTGATGTAAAGCTATGAATAGTCCAAAAAAAATACCCAGTGTCTCTCTCAGATGTGGAGTTTGAGAATGGCCAGAGAGTCATTGTCTTTTCAAGTTGTACATGTACATGTATGTGTTCACAAGTACACTACATTGCCAATACTGATTGACTGATTCTTCTCATTTAGGTGGCAAAGCCGTCTCCTGCCTGTGAGGCAGGCGAGGCCTCGTACCATAAAAGTCCACAAAATTTCAGAAACTTTGAGTGAATGTCTATGCAAGTATGCAATGAATTGTTTTATATAACCGACCAACATTTGATTTGTCATTTGATTGGTGGGACTCACATCACGTGACATTCGTTATTGCTCCCATTCACGCTGCGGCTCAAAAAGTACTATCCGCCCATGGGGAATGGGAAATACTATTGAACAGTTAGGATCATGACGCGGTATTTGTGTGCAAATGCATGCTGGTGTGCGCGTTCAACGTTGCGCGTAGCGCGTACTGTTCCAAAGAGCCAGCGCTACAGCGTTGGGTTCAAACATTTTCGTGAAGGGGTGGTTTGGAAGAGAGAAATACATTTTCCTCCAGTTTTGAAATAAAATTTCAAATATATCAAATGACAAGGATCTATATGCCAGTTATATAAAACAATATTGAGTGGCTTTAAATTGTGAAATGGGAGGAATATTATCGCAAGGTAAAATCTGGACTTTTCCATTTCACAAGGCGAAGGCAAAATCTGGACTTTTCCTTCTCACTCGGCTTCGCCTCGTGAAATGGAAAAGTCCAGATTTTACCTTGCGATAATATTCATCCCATTGCACTCTGAGCCACTCAATATTTGTATACCATTTTTCCTCGGAACTCAAACCAACCTGGTCTCCTTTGGGTCCTCGGATTGTTTCTGGGTCAGGGGTCACGAACAGACCAGACGGGCCAGGCAGTCCAATCCCAGGCTCACCCTGACAAAAAAAATGAAACAACAAAACCATTAACCCTCCTGCTGTCTGAACAGTCACAGACAGCCCAAAAAATTCAATCCTCTCCCCTGCATGCCTTTTACACAGGCTAGTCACCAACAGTCAGATCGCATTTCAAGCAAGCACTGTGACTAGTCCAATTCATTAACAGACAAAAGCAGACAAGTGTTAGGCACAGCTGGCTTATCAATCTCTTACATCCAATGCATAGCTGTATCAAGTTACATGAACAGTCACAGCCAGTCAATCCTGCTTTGTGTAGGCTGGGAGCTCTTAACTGTTAAAAACAGTCACTTGATTGATTTTGACTGAAAGGGCAACTTGGCAAAGAACGCATGTTTTGCAAAGGAGTGTTAATACATGACTGTTTTACATGTGGGAACTGAATGCATGAAGTACAATCAGCAGAGGGTGATGTTTAACACAAAAGCCGCCGGGTAGAAATGGACTCGCATAATAAATCTCTTAGCTGTCACATCAATGTCAAATTCCTTTACTATTAAAATTCCTTCACTAAAATTTACGGGCATGTCCATTTTCTTAAGAAGTACAGTAATGGTAGGACAATGGCCTATGTGAACAGGACTTTCAGCCTCTGTGCCAGCATCACGTTAATCTGTAAGGACATCACAAGTGGATGAGTATCTGGGGAGGGGAATTCTACGGTCTGATAAAAAAATCCCAGCTTGGATGCATCAAGTTTGTAAACAGACAGCTTCAAGAGATGTGTGGAGGTTGTAATTAATGAAATTCAGATGTGGTCTACAAGATGTTTGCCCTGGATTTTTGAACTATGTTTGGTGCTACTGATGTTGGTAACTTGATTTATGCAAAGTATGATTTAAAATGATACACCTTTTCTACACTCACAACTAATCAATTTATTTCTATACAGGGTGAGTAAAAAAAAACGAAACCCAAATGTCGGGACGATTGTTTTAGTGAAGTTCTGCATGTAGCACTTTCAAAATCTAGGATATGAAAGCCCAATTCATAAGCTTTCTTTTAGTACAAGAATCATTCAAATCACTTATGTACTTTTCAAGTTACGGAATCTTAAACACAACCACCGTTTTATAGTTCTGTCCACGGATCAACAGAAGGTCGAGTGTTCTTTCAGCAAAACAAAAACAAATCACACAGGGATGTGTGTGAACTGTTTCGTTTTGCTGAAAGAATGAATACCTTTCTTGTGATACGTGGAAAGAAATTGAAAACAGTGGTTGTGTTTAAAATTCCGTAACTTCAAAAGTACATGAGTGATTTAAATGATTCTTGTACTAACAGAAAGCTTATGAATTTGGCTTTCATATATCCTAGATTTTGAAAGTGCTACATGCAGAAATTCACTAAAACAGAAGTCCCGACATTTGGGTTTTGCTTTTTTTGACTCACCCTGTACATCTCTCATAAAGTCAACACCCAACAACTCTCAGCCACTGCCAAGGGCAGAAGGAAATGATGAGGAACTGGCTAGCAGAAAATACAGCTTGGCAATATTATGCATTAGGCCCAAAAAACCCAAAAAATCGTTAAGTAACCAGTCAACAGCTTTACACATCACAAGACATGATGCCTGGGGCCGATTTCACGTAATGCTAAGACACTTCTTAGGAAGGATAACTCATCTTAACTCGCGACTCATCCTAGGATAAATTTCACCAAACTTAAGACACGTTCAACCCGTCCTAACTTCCTTAGCAACATGGCTGAACTCGTCTTAACTTAAGATCGGTCTTAGGGTCGTCTTATCTCATTAATAGTGTGTTAACTTGTATATCGTCTAGGGACATCATTGCAATGTATTTTTACTTAGAGTCATAGTTTTGAGGAAAGAAGCTGTAGAAGCAGATTTGAAATGATTTCTGACACGTGGGTAGTTTTTAATACAAATTTACAAAATTTAATTATATGCCATAACCTTGTTGACTTTTTGAAATAAACTACTTTGGGTTCTTGGAATAGAGTGATGAACTTGGGAGCATAACATTTTAGTCACTAGGGTATTAATGATTTTATCTTTCTTGGGTAGACATACTTTGCGTGTGAAAATTAATGAGTAGAGAACTTTTTCAGGTGAAAGTTCGTGTTCTATGCACGCGAGCGGGAAATTGGTTTTGCACGTTTCTTTTAAGGACATGAACCATCCATCAACTTGGTAATTTTGATGCGTCTTGCTTAAAGGGAAGATACAACATTTGCAAACATCAAAAAACAAAATGATCAAATTTTCACAAAATAACTGACTGGATTGCTAGGTAATGACAGTCTAAAGCATCCTGGAAAATCGTGGCTCCTGGTGTGCTGACGTTTTCAAGAAAATTTGTATTTTTCCAATGCTGGTCGGCCGACCAGTGTTGCAGAAAACTGGCTTTTTTTTAAAAACTGCTCCTATTTTTTCACATTTAGTTATTCCGCATTTTCTTTGCAATTGACTACACACCTGTAAAGGGGTACAAGCCTGCTAGACTGATTCTCTGACCTTACAATTCTCCAAAGCCTATAAATTGCTCCGTTTCATCTTAAGTGGGGTCAGGGAATCAGACTACAAGAACATGGTTGGTTTTCTTGGATTTCCCAGCATCTCCGAACCCACAATGTGAAGCAAGTCAGTTTAACAATATATGCTATAACATACTAATCCTCCAAATCCATTTATTTCTGTAAATTGCAGCAAAAGCAAATGTTGTACATTCCCTTTAAGGTGGGTTTAGTGAAATCGGTCTTAGGACGCGTCCTAGCAAAGATCGATCTTAAGATCTGAGACTCATCTCAAGTCCTAAGATGAGTCGTAAGATAAGACGAGTTTCATGAAATCGGCCCCTTTTAATGCTAAGTCAAATTCTTTCAGTGCTTAGCCCAGTTCGGTGATAAGCAGCTCCGTGCAGTAAGCTTTGAAGCATTCCTACCTTTACTCCCTTCGTTCCGCCAGGCCCGATTGGTCCCGTATCCCCTTGCACCCCTTTATCGCCGGGTGGGCCGGCCGCGCCCGGCAACCCCTCTGGGCCGGTGGGTCCCGACAAACCTGGATCCCCAAGATCGCCTACAAATGTAAAATAAGAAGAGATTCAATATCGGGTTTTGAGAGATTCAATATTTGGGGCAACACTGAGTGTACAGTGTTTATAAAATATGTCGGCGTAGGGCAAAACCCAATATTGCATATACAGCACCCCGAAGCAAAATCCATCTTATGAAAAATAGAAAGAGCCAATTTAAAAATACCTCTTCAGTATTAATAATTGACAGTAACCATTACAATTGAACTTCCACATTTGACCAATAAATCTTTTCTTTTTCCTGCCGAACAACTTTGCCTGTCATTTCAAATATTTTCTAGACATGTTTTTTGTTCAAAAGAACACAATTTAAAAAGTATTGAAAAATCTGTAAAATATAAAACGTCTTGTCCGTGCAACAAGGTCGTATCTCCTAAAATGGCCCGTACGTGAAACGTGAGTTTCAGAATGTCAAAAGGTTGTATCTCACATGAAAAAAACCTGGATGTACACACAAAGTCAAAGGACGTCGAAATACGACCTTGTTGCACGGAGCATATTCGCGCAATATACGACTTTGTTGCAGAATGGAGTTACGACATTGTTGTACTGACGCGACGAAAATATCATTTTTAAAGTTAAACAAAGAAATTGACTTGAGAGGGGTTGGGACTTAAGACCGCCAACTAGTGCCCCTTGAACAAAGATATTGACAAATTGGGGAACCGCCAACGTAGGGCTGGATAGCTCAGTTGATAGAGTACCGGAACAGCAATCCGGAGGTCGCAGGTTCAAACCCTGATCCAGTCAATTTCTTTGTTCAACTTTGAAAACTATTATAATGCACCTAGTCAATTTCCCTTTGTGATTCATTTGAAGAAAAAAAAATCCAAACAATATTGCTGGCTAGAAAATTGTCTCTAATGGCGAAAGACAGGGAAACTTCCTATTTCCAAAAATCAATGCCTGGGGCATAAATCTTATCGGGGCATTATCATAATTTCCTTTGGCTTTACAGGATAGATTAATGAAATTAAAAAAAGAAAAAAAAAACAATTCAAGAGATGACATCTGTCAGCTCTCCCAAGTAAGCAGGAAGAGCGTTCAACAAGATGACAGCTTTTTATAGACTTTTCCCATGTTGATTTGGCGGCTGGTCAGGAAACTTCTTGCTTTATTTTTAAACAAAGTGGAAGAGGGAATCCCGGCGACGCTCTGTCATCAGTGAGAATCGTTTGATTTAACAAGGTTCTTCCTTCCGACATCAGCTGTATAAATATGTGCATCGGGAAAGGAAGATTTTAATTTTCTTTCCTTTTTTTGGAGAGTGATTCAGTCTTCGAAGCTGACGGGCATGAGGGAAGACGAGGGGAAACGATGTGTAATGAACTTGTCTGCGTGTCACGTCTTGCAATCAAAAACAAACAACTGAATTGAAACAAAAATTGCTTGGTGTAAAAACAATAAGGGTACAGACTTATTAACCACTTGAAGAACTCAATTCTATTTGCTTTTTTTAAAGGACAAATATACCTAAAAGGGAAGGGTTGTTTACAATGAATGTACATGTGGGTGTAGGTTTTAGTGAGTTGGTCACAGGCATTTCAACAAATGATATGTTACATATGTACATGTATTTACTCATTTTCCGTATATCATACACAAGCTTCGTCATACAAATGTTTTTTCCATTCTTTTTTCAAAAACACATTATTTAAGTCTCATAGCAAGGTGCAGAAATTTTAAAAATGTGATGCATTCTGGCAAAAATGAGACGGAACTGGGCATAGGCTGTAGTGGAGAAAAATGTAGAAAACCAACTGGAGGTGATTTTTTTTTCTTCAGATTGATCGATATTTGTAATCTTTGATAAGTCTACCACACAGCATAACAACTGTGGAATAAAAGTGTTTTTAAGAAAAACATTAGGCATCTTTCACATTCACGACTGCAAAACAGTCAAAACTTTGAAGGTCTTTTTCTCAGTATTTCACTTTTGACATGTCGATATTAAATGCAAACTTTAAATACCCACAACTTGTCAATGGAAAGTCTGATTAAAGTGCAACAAACAGTATTGTGAGGAGAATTTTATTCTCTTTCCTAATACATGTACCTACAAACCCTCATTTCGACGTCTGCCCAGTTCTGTATCAGTTTGTCAAAACGCCTCACAAACATGAAGTACAAAAAATCAATGTTTTGACTTGCTAAAGACTAAACCTGAGGAAACAAAATTAAAAATGTTAATCCTTAACATACATGTATCTAGCAGACACACACACAGACTATCCACAGGCACATAAATGTTTAATACTGCAGTTGATGAGTTGGGATCCTATTTGTGGCAGTCATTTACTACACCTAAAATAACTACATGAATCACAAGCAAATTATATGTTACCTAGTTATTAGTTTCCAAGTTTGAAAACTAAAAGCAAACATGCCAACATTGACACAAGACGACGGAAATGGTGAGTTGCTTCAAGGGATCATCTGGCAAGCTCAGCCGGCCAGGCTATACCTCTGCAATTTCTTTTTCAAATTGGGGCTCGATTTAATGGTGCCTTTTCCAATATTCTCATACCCTATTTTTCGACCAGTAAATTTGAAGTTCAAGATTGCAAGGTAGTATTTGAGCTCTGAATTCGGTAACCCACAGCCAAGATTTGCAGGGTTGGAAAATAAACAACCGCAAAAAAGGAAAGTCCACACTCACTGGAGGGGTCATAATTTTGAATCTGATCGTCGTATGATGATGTAATTTAATACAGACCTTGGGAGAATTTTGTTAGCTACAGTTTGATACCCCTTTTCAACCAAAGACAGTAAATCGTCCAAGATTGACAATGGTTTTTGAAAAATTAAGCAGATTACGCGAGGGGAAATCGCAAAGCATAACCACACATGCTCGTAATGTGCTCCTATCAACTGCACAGTGCCCGAACAAAGTGTGGGTCACTCGAATAGCCCGCATGCTCCCATGCATTCAAGCACTGTGTGATTGATAGTCCCTAGCATTTGTTTCGGGCAGTGTAAAATTGTCACGCCGCATTTCCACTCACATAATCTTTTAAATTTGCAACTTTTCCAACTGCATGATGTTTCATAAACTGTTGTCAATGTTGGACGATTTCAGATTCACAGTCTTTGGTAGCAAACGGGGTATCAAAAGTAGCTAACATTTCCTAAAGGTCCATATAAATGATGTCATTGTGAGATGATAAGATTCAAAACTATGGCTCCTCCAATGAGTACGGACTTTTTTCTTTTTTTTTGCTGTGTTTATGAACAATTATTAATCTGGATTTTGATCGTGCTGCAACAGAACATTGTATCCTCTCAGAAAATGGGCCCTAAATCGGACAAAATACCAACATGGAGTGAGGAGGAGGTGAAGGCTATGTTAGGTATTTGGGCTGATAGCTCCGTCCAAATGCAGCTTGAGGGAACAACTAAAAACAGCAGAGTTTTTGCAAAAAATGATGGCTGCCGACTCTCAGAAGTTGGCTGTGCAGTGCAGTGTAAGACGGCCGGACATGAGTGTAGTGTGAAACGATCACACAATACACGGATTGAAACATTACACGTGTAGCACAATATGCTGGTGTTGCATTGAGTAGTGTGAAAACGGAGCGGAATTGAACCGTGTTGAAATTTCAAGAAGTCAACATGGATCGGAACCGTGAAGATTTAGACACGGATCAGAACCGTGAAGATTTAGACACGGATCGGATGTACATAGTGTGAAAAGGCCTCAACTCTGGTTGGGATGAGGATTCAAAGGCTCTACCCAGGTAGAAAATCAATGTACAGCTGAACTACAGCTGACCTACAGCCAAACTACAGCTAACCTACAGCCAAACTAAAGCTGACCTACAGCCGATCTACAGTTGACCTTGCTGATGAAAAATCATAAGCAGTATGGACACTGGCGCTACACAAATCCTCCTCATCATCATCATCAAAAAGACAAGGAACAGGTGATCCAGCGGACTGATTATATAAGGTCAGACCTCCCACTAGACTAGACACCTAATGACCATGGGTTTTATGAGGATGATCAGTGACTAATCCCAGGACTGATTTAATTAGGAGACATCTGTTGATTTGATCATCGGTGTGGACGTACATGCGTGCCATAAGTTCTGTGCAACGTCACATGCTTATAAGTAGCAATATTTTCTGTCTTTCTACATGTAGTTAAGGTCAATATATTTGTCACTTCTCTTTTATGGCTAAGAAATGTGATATTACATTAATTTAATACTTAGTTATTAATATAAAAAAAGGCTAAATATAAACTATATCCCAAATAAGACATTATTTCCATTTAGTGAATAGTTTCATGGCAGTACCTGCTGCTACATGAGATTCGAACCGGCCAACTGATCCCATAAGCTCGGTTGTTTGAGTGGTAAGACGTCTGCACTAGAAAGCAGGAGGTTGTGGGTTCGAGTCCCACCCGAGTGATTTTTTTCTCACTTTCACTCGGGGGGCAACACTGAGTATACAGCGTTTATACGTCGGTGAAGGGCAAAAACCTAATATTGAAGACACTACTTCAAAACACAATTTCAAATTTATGATCGAGTGTTTCTTTCATCTGTAATATATTTAATATACATGTACGTCATACAAGTCTTTTGGAAAGTCCAACAATTTTAGGTGACATTCCTGTCTGTATGAAGTTGAGTAGTATATGAGGATTGTTTTTTAAAATGGATTCAGTCCACCATTTTTCACAACAAAAATCTGTTGTTATACCCCTACCTTTTACATTTAATGTAGAACATTTCACAAAGGATAGACTCAGATAATAATTATTAATAGCAAATGCATTCATTTGATAGTGTTTTAACTTCAAAGATGCCCCCCCCCCCAATAAAAAAAAATGCCATCACTTACGAAATCATGCAACTAGTCTGCTAGGACAATTCCTACAGCAGAGCATGCAGTTGGGGATTGGTTACAAGACAACATGGCTACCTTAAACTGTCGAGTTGCAGACCAGTAAATAGACTGCCATAAAGCTCAGTGATAATTACGCGCACTTCCAAAATTATAAAAAAATACTCACAACTCTCCAAGGTGTTTGAGACATGCATCAGATTAAAGCTTATTTCATTTTCTTTAATTTTCTGTTCAATTTTTGGGGGTAAACAAATGACTTTTGGGAGAAAATTCCATCCAAAGATGATCACCCCTAAAAGTAGGCGTGAAGCTTATCGCCATTTTGAAAAAGGATGCCTACACTCGATTGTATACTAGAGCCACTTTAGGGCCTAATTTCATTCGAATTTCACAGAAATATGAGCTCGCAGTCCTTTGCACGGCTTCCACCTTTTAAACAAAAAACAAAAAAAACCCTCAAATTCATGGCCCTCAAAATTCTCAAACACCGGAGAATTTGAGGGCATGCAAATCGTGGTTTGGCCGGCGTAGGCAACTTTGGTCCTATTTACTGGCCTACACCCGTAGGAGGTTTGTTAGTTGATTGCTACTCACCTTTGGGTCCTGCTTTACCTGCTTCACCCTTCATTCCCTTCTCTCCTTTGTCACCTTGGGAGACAAAACAAACGAACAGAGCCATGCAGAGACTAATAAGCAGGGGGGACTAGGGGACGGAAACAATGAGGCAAGTTTTGCAAAAAGCCAAATCCAAAAAATGTGCGGCGGTCTGGCAAATTGAGACACAACTGTGCAGGGTTCAAAATGAGACTATGTGGGTATTAGGAAAGAGAATACAGTTCTGCTTACAATACTGTCTGCTGTACTCCAATCAGAAATTCCGTCGACAAGTTATGGATATTTCAAGTTTACGTTTGTCGACATGTCAAAAAGTAAAATACTGAGAAAAAGGTCTGTCGTGTTTTCACTGTTTTGTAATCATGAATATGAAAGATGCCTTTTTTCCCCTTAAAATCATTTATATTCCAGTATTTTTATACTATTTCTTTAAAATATGTGCAGTGGACATATCAAAGACTGTAAATATCAAAATATCTGAAAATCGGGGGAAAAACACCATTTTTTTTCTCTCCATCTTTCTCCACTAGGGCCTGTGCCCAGTTCCGTCTCATTTTTGCCAGAAGGCCTCATAAACATCGCTGCATAGTTAGACACATTTTTCTTATCTCGTCAACTACAGTTGGTCAATTTCTAGGCACGTTGACTATTTTGGAACAAACCTATACCACAGCTGGTTACCCTTAGATGAGTGTACAGTAATGTGCAGTTGGGAGTAAGGATTTGGCAGTTTTCATGATGATATACAGTATGATGTCCAAGACCAATTTTTTTTTTTTTGCTTTTTTTTCAGGTGCAAGATATGCTTGTTGAGCTTGTTTAGCTAATAACCAACAGTTCATACTCAAAACTTACTTAGAGCAAGGTTCTTGCTCTATGCTTCGACATATGAATTGTAAAAATGATGACACTTCTTGGATTGTTTGACAGCTCTTACATGTACATTCAATTACAGACAATGACTACGGGAGGGAAAATACAGGGTGAGTCAAAAAAAGCGGAACCCAAACCCCAAACAATATATTCAATATTTAAAAAAATATGTAGCACCAAAAATAATAATGACTGGATAGCCAATTTCAAAAGATGAAAAAATTACTGAAATTGCTCAATCCGTTCAAAGAATATCACCATTTAAACGCAATGACCCTAAAACCTGTCTCGTCCAAAAAAACAATTTATTGTGTGTTTTGACTGTTTGGAACAACAAAGAAAATGACACAGAATACTTGTTTCAACAACTGTCACCGACTGTAGAACACAATATTTTGATTGACAACCCTGGTTAGGCAAACAATATGATTAATAAAATCTACTTTTTGAAAAGACGGGCCTTCAAAAGGACTTTGTTGCACATTGTTAACGTTTAAACAAAGATTTCATCGCTGGTGATGTTTGAAGACAATTGTGACGACGATTGATAAAAATCACATTTTTTGGACGAGACAGGTTTTAGGGTCATTGTGTTTAAATGGTGATATTCTTTGAACGGATTGACCAATTTCAGTAATTTTTTCATCTAAAAGTAGCTTATGAAATTGGCTTTCCAGTTATTATTACTTTTGGTGCTACATATTTTTTTAAATATGAAATATACTATATGGGGTTTGGGTTCCGCTTTTTTTGACTCGCCCTATAGCAGTTATTCTGGGAGACTAATTTACGGAGTGGGAAACAAAGCTAAGTATACATGTTGCTTTCAGCTGGAATCACAAACAGTTGGGAATTTTGGAGCAAAGCTTTTGTCAAACTAAATAAGTACAAACCGAAGGTTAATTCACAATCACTAACACACAGAAGCATGTTGTGTTGTTAAGGTCAGATTCAGTTTTTTTAGTCTTCAGTACACATTTTATATCACCCACTTCACATCACCTGATAAAAAAGTTGTTGCTTTACTTATCAAGGTATTGGGGCTGTACTACGTGTAACAACAGAAAACACGTCCTATTTTTGATCCTACATAACTCTGTTCCTAACCAATGGAATTAAACCAAAATTTCAGATCATTTAAACAAGGCATGACATTTTATTGAGCGGGTTTCATCAGCTTTGTGCAAGAGGGTGAGAGTAAAATGCCATACAAATAAATTACTCAATTTCAGAATTTCGGCAGAAAGGGCATGTGCTGCGGCCAAAAGCTTCTAAAGGAAAGCAGGATCACCCCTGATGCCATTGCACACCTCGATCATGTGTTGCACCAAACGATCAAGGAAGCATGCAATTACAAATGGGGGTGATCCTGCATTCCTTCAGAAGCTTTCGGCTGCAGCATGAGCCTTCCGCCACCATCTCCAGCTCTGTATCGACATTGAAGGACGCCAAGTCTTAAGTTGCAGATTCTGAAAGTGAGTATTTTTTCGTATGGCATTTAAATCTCACCCTCTTGCACAAAGCTCATGAAACTTCCTCCTTAAAATTTGCCATGCCTTGTTTAAATGATCCAAAATTATGGTTTAATTCCATCAGTAAACAACAGAGTTATTTAGGATCAAAAGTAGGATTTTTTTTTTTTTTTTACACATAGTACAATTTACCATTCAGAATCTTGCAAAAAAAATTCCAAAAATTCATTTCAGATTTTGAAACATCTGGGAGGTTTGAGGTTTATTTAGCAGCAAAAACATTTGTAAACGATGAGCAAGTTGAATTAAGTCTAGCCTTCTTACCTGCTACCCCAGCGGGCCCCTGACCCCCATCTTCCCCTGGGAGGCCATCATTCCCATCCACCCCTGGGTCACCCTTGGGGCCGGGTTCCCCCGCAACGCCCGGTACTCCCGGCGACCCGCTGATGACTTTGACGATCGGGGTGGGCGTGGCTAACGTTACCGGAGCAACTGTGGCAATGGTTACTGTGGTGGCCACTTTGTCCACTGGAGCGGGCGTGGCCTTGTCAGGGGCGGGCGTGGCCTTGTCAGGGGCGGGCGTGGCCTTGCCTGCTGGGGTGGACATGTCTTTCTCGGTTGGTACGGGAGTTTCGGACATAACCCTGACAAGTGGTGTTGTAGGGGTGACTGTCATTCTGTCCTGGCCCTGCAAGATCAAATAGAAGGTTGAAGAAAAAGACAAAAGGTTAAAAGGTTGACTTTTTCAGTTGGATAATAAGGTAATAATGTGTGCTTGGCCGGTTTTAAACCCTGTGTTTAAGACTGGTTGGAGTCTGGATGCAGATATTTGGCTCAGGTCATCATCAGCGTCCAGACTCCAAACCGGTCTTAAACATGGTGTTTAATACTTGCCAAGCATATATTTATTCCCATTCATAAATACTTTTTTCAGTCAAACAGTCAAAACAAGTCAAAACAAACGATTTTGATCAACAAGTTTACTTCATTTTTTTGAAACACCCCTCTAGCTTTGTTATGGTATGTGCCTCTCACTAGTAGTTGTAAACAACTCCTTGTATGGAGATTGGCGTGCGCATTGCATGTACTGTGTGATGTGGTGCAGAATGCAGCTGTGCCGGTGTAGTATGCATAAATCTTAGAGGACTATGAAATACAGACTCATTGGTAACATTGCGCATGCCTAACCGAGGATTGTGAACATTCAACTAATAAAAGGGTAAAAAGGTACCAGATTTCATAGCAGTCCAAATTTCATGTGACACTAGAAAAGTGTTTAAGACCAGTCAGCCGGTGTTTTATCAACCGTGTACTTACATCAGACACCATTCCTGGAGATAAGACGTCTTGGACTGTCACCATCGGTCCTCTTGATGGTGACTGTGTCGTTGGCGACTCCGTAGGAGCCATTGTTGGCAGTGTGGCTGGCTGCATTGTTGGTGACGCTGACGCGACTGAGTCCGTTACAGAAGGGGTGATTGGGCTCGTGTTAGACTCTGGCTCAGGTCTTGGAAGTGTGACAGGTTTCTTCGTGGCTGGTTTCTCCACAAGCGTCTCAGAAGTTGTTGCCGCGACAGGGGATGATTTGGAAGCTGTTTCCATTCCAGAGGTCACCTTAGAAGAAACTCCCATGTCATCGGGAGTCTTGGAAGATGCTTCCAAGGATGCTTTAGAAGCTGTTTCCATTCCAGAGGGAGAACTGGAAGGTGTTCTCATTTCAGCGGGGGTTTTGGTGGTCCTTCCCATTTCAGAGGGGGAATCACTTGCTGCCTTTGTAATTCCAGAGGGTGACACCGAGGCCGTTCTCATTTCAGTGGGTGCTTCTGTAGTCGATCCCATTCCATGGATGAAATCTGGAGACACTGAATTTGGATTAATTCCCTCCCCAGTAGATGTCATGGTAGGCTTTACTGTCTCTGAGGATGGCGCTGAGGTGCTGTCAAACATGCCACTAAACATTTCAGTTTCTTCCGTTGCTTTAAGTCCACTCCCTTCAGCACTGCCAAACTAAAGTTATGCGAAATTGAAAGGCACATGTCATCTTTTATTATGCAAATAATGAATGTTTATGAGTGCAATGGTGAGAATGTTTTCATGAGTTGAAAAATGTAATGTTCCGTTCAACGAGGCGAAGCCGAGTTGAATGGAACATTCCATCTTTCATCGAAAGAAAATATTATTTGTTTCATATAACATCCAAGTACATCTTTGTCATTCGATTGAAGGACAAAATCATCAAGGCAACTGCATCAACTTCAAAGGCAAGTTTTGTACTATACTGCTATATTGCATATGGTCTAAATAGCACAAAGATCATGTAACGCTTTCCGCTGCGCGTTTTATCGTGTGCACATCGTGCAATAGATCGAAAGGGATGGGACGAAAATGCACGGTGAATGGAACCAAACATGCACGGTTATGACATAGGCCATGCAATAGTTCGATTAATGAATGCCGTGTGACCTACAATCCTCCAATTAAATGACAAGGATTTACTTGGGTGTTATATAATCTGATCTATAGACAACTCGATAAATATTTGACCTGTCATCAAAAAGTTCAGTACAAAGTCAGAGTACTGAGTTCAGTAACAGAAATATAGACTGCCAAACTAAACTTAATTTGTAGAACGTTTTTGAGAAAATAGTATTTAAAAATCCCACTGTGCCATTCTCTCTTTTCGCACTTCCGCCGTGGGCATGCAGAGCCTCGATCTGGCAACTTTACACAATAGATACAGCCGGTTCAGTGATTCCCGTGTCGGGGTTCAGATCACTGAACCGGCTATTTTTATCGTGTAAAGTTGCCAGATTGAGACTCTGCTTGCCCAATGAACGAGTGTGAAAAGAGCGAATTGCAGTGGACAAATGGTGAACTGAAAACAGGTTGAGAAGATGTTCGACGGAACAAAAACAATTGGTAAAATTTAGGTTCACCTGGAAACAAAAAAAATCAACCGCCCTTAAAGGGAAAATACAACATTTGCAAACATCAAAGAAAAAACTACCAAATCATTTTGAAATACCTTGCTGGACAGTGTAAAGCATCCTGTAAAATCATGGCACCTGGTATACTGTCATTTTCAAGAAAAGTGGTATTTTTGTATCAATTTCCAATGCTGATCGGCCGATCAGCGTTGGAAAAAAATGTGTTTTTTTTTCAAATACTGGCCCCAGTTGACCACCGCACTTGTTTGCTATCGATTACACACCTATGAACGGGTACAAGCCAGCTAGACTGGTTCCCTGACCTTACAATTCCCCAATATATGTAAACTGCTCTGTTTCTTCTTAAATAGAGTCAGGGAACCAGACTACAGGAAAATGATTGTTTTTCTTGGTTATTATAGCATTTTCGAACCCAAAACCTCAAAAAAAGTCAGTGTAACTATATTTGCTATATATTTCCAACCCTCCATTCCATCCATTTCTGAAAATTACAGCAAAAGCAAATGATGTATATTCCCTTTAAAAATGACAATTTTTGACTTTTTTATGCTCCTTTTGTGGGGACAGGTCACATACAATGCATTTAATGAACAAAATGAGTTATGTAATGTGTCTACTTCCATGGAACTGCAAATGAGGGAATATCAAGGCATGTGTGAGGCGTTCCAGCAAAATGAAACAAGATGAGGTCGAAATGAGGATTTGTGGGTATTGGGAAAAACAATAAAATCCTCCTTGCAATACTGTTTGTTACACTTTAATCAGACATTCCGTTGAAGAGTTATGGCTGTTTAAAATTTGCATTTATCGACATTTCAAAAAAGTAAAATAATGAGAAAAAGGCCTCTAAAATTTTGAGTTTTGTATTTGTGAAAATGGTAACCACGGAAAGATTTCCATATACGAAGTTCACTAATTTTCCTCTGTATTGACTAACAAGCCCCCAGATAGCAATTTCATGTCATCAAAGTCAATTTGAGCAGTGAGAAAATACAAGCATTTTCTTAGAAAACACTTAGAATTTTTCAGTCCAATCTCATAGGGTTTGTACACAGGGTGTTGAGTGAACTTCGTATATGGAAATCTTTCCAAAACCACTTTTATCCTATGGTTTTCAGACCATTTCTTTAAAATATGTGTACTAGACATATCAAAGATTACAAATATCAATAATCAGAAATCAGAAAAAAAATCACTCTATTCATTTTATTTGCATTTTTCTCCACTACGAACAGTTCCAACGCCCCACACATATATATCAACACTAGGCTACCACAATGAGATGTCGATAAAAGCGAACTTCAGACAACCATAACTTGTCAACGGAAGTCCGATCGAGTATTGCAAGGAGAATTTTAATCTTTATTATAATACCCGCAAACCCTCATTTTGACCTCTGCCTCGTTTTGCAAGAAATCGTCACATATATTCCTCGAAATATTACTGCTTGACCAAGACAGATACAGTCATGATTAAAAGTAGATGTATACACATGTATGAATGCAATGAGTTTTTTTGCACTCACATACAGTAAGAAGCCCATTGTCTATATTGTCTATATTACACTTGACCAAAAATATATTTTTCATTGAAATGAATGGGACATGCTTATAGATGACGTGTGCAGCGTTACTTGGATGATTATAGACCATTATCATGTTGCGGCCATCTTTATTTTTTTCCCATTCAAATCAACGTAACCAAAGCGAGGCTGGAAGGAAAAACGTCTGGTTCCTTGTTTCACAAAAGACATTATCATCCAGTACTGTTATTGATACAGGGAACATGACTGAAATGGTGGCAGCATGATAAAGGTCTATTACAATAGAGCCTGAAAGTAAAAGGCCACGTGGCTCAGCTTCCGGAACCCTCGCGCGGCCGGCCTACGGGCGTTTTACACGAGGTTGCCCTTTCTCTTGCTGTATTTTTTGACAGAATGGTTTCTAATGGTAATCACCCCAAGAAACATTCATGTTGGAATTTTATCTTGGTATTCCTCAAGAAAAAAAATGATGAGAAATCACTTGCAGATGGGTAAAAATGAATTTTTACTTACGACCTTTCACATCTGGTGTTTTCGTTCCTAGGTCTCCATGTTTGTTCATGTTTGTTTTAACATCGCTTACTTGCGTGAGAACGAAAATGTATAATGAGGCGAAGATTTACCTACCTACAGCCGATGGGTTCTAGATTTAGTAAGGCTGGTTTGAGTGCAGTCCTTATCAGCGGTCATTTTAGATTTGTTTTGGTAAATGCTAACGAGTCCTTCAAGTTTACTCCAAAAAAATTGTATATCCTAAAAGACATTTTAGTCTCCTATGTAAGTTTCAGTTTTCACCCAACGACTGCCACAAAATAAATTCATAAAGTTTCATCTTTGTACAAGTACAATGAGTTTCACTAGTCTAAATGTATTTTAGATTATTGGAACTGAGAGGTCAATTTTCGGCACGATATCTCTCTTTCACAGCAGGCGATTTTTCAGTTTCCATAAACTGAGACGCTAGTAACAATTTTACAAAACCTTATTCAAGGATGATTTTAAGAAATCAATGTACCAAAAACAATTGCAAATTTGTTTATTTTTGCACGTTAACTTTCCTATTCAAGAGTTCAGGAAGCGTGCCACTAGGAACGAACTTTCAGGCTCTATCTATTTAAATAACCATGTTTAGCAAATTTTTTTGATGGGATAAATGAATATAATGCAAGCATGCAGATATGATGCTATGACAGCATGATACTCAATTAAATAACATGTATTGAGAATTTGGACATCCATTTTACTAGATAAAACTTATGAAGATTTACATGTATGTTTACAAATAGGCAATATTTGATACATTAATTATCAAGAAGCAATTGTGCTTCAAAATGATATTCATAAGACCAAGAAAAAAATAGTTCTGCTTCCGATTACATGGCATCTAAAAATGGGGTAGGAAGGTAAGGAAATATTTTTTAAGCCATTTTGTGTGTGTACGATCATATGGAGGTGTCTGCGTGTAGTCAAGGGTAAAAGGTAGTAATTTATGGTTTTCAGGTTTTTATTCTCATTCCCCCCCCAAAAAAAATTAGAGTAGGGGCTGTCAGAATAGGGCAGGTAGGGTAATCGGAAGCAGAACTATTTTTTTTGGGGGGGGGCCTAATGACAAGAAAGAGAGAAAACTTTGTTATGAAATATTGAAAAATTAATGAAGATTATAGTGAAAGAGAAAACAGAAGAACCAAAAAACAAAAAAACAAAAAATGACAATCATCTCAAGAAAAGTCAGGATACCAGTACCTCAGAAATATTACAACCAGGCAGACAAAAAATAGTGAGTACGAAAATAGAAGAAACAGTTTTTTTTCCAAAAAAAGTCTGAAATTTTACCTCCTGATTTTCTCTTCCACTGCCAGAGTACTGTAAAGCAACATACGGGTAACCATGGTAACATGCAAAATTATCACGATAGTATATTCGTCCACCAGGACAGAATCAGTACAATTTAACAATTGGGGGAAAAAAAACAAAAAAAACAATGAGCCTAAGATTGGGAAGAGGTTTCCTCTGTTCTGTGAAGAGGTCAGCCATCTTGGAAATAGAATAATTCATTACCATTTTAAGTTAAAATTTTATGAACTTTTCAATTTGAAATTACTACAGGGAGAGTAAAAAAACCCTGCACACCAAATGTTGCGACCATTGTTCAAAGTTCTGCATGTAGGATATGAAAGCCCAATTCATGAGCTTTCTTCTAGTACAAGAATCATTCAAATCACTCACGTACTTTTCAAGTTACGAAATTTTAACACAAACACCACCGTTTTCAGGTTCTGTCCACGGATCACAAAAAAAGTTCAGTGTTTTTTCAGTGAAACGAAAACAAATCACATAGGGATGTGTGTGAATTGTTTTCGTTTTGCTGAAAGAACGCACACCTTTTTTTGTGATCCGTGAACAGAACTTTAAAACAGTGGTTGTGTTTAAAACTCCGTAACTTGAAAAGTGCACGAGTGATTTGAATGATTCTGGTACTAAAAGAAAGCTTATGAATTGGGCTATCATGTCCTAGATTTTGAAAGTGCTACATAAAACATAAAAGTGTCACTAAAACAATAGTCCCAACATTTGGGTTTCGTTTTTTATTTACTCACCCTGTATATCCATCCCCTGAATACCAAAAATTTTAAACCCAAAAGGTAAAAGGACGTTATGGTTTAACGTGCCACTTAAGCGCACGTTTAAGGCAAGGGGAGTTCCCGGTAAAAAGTCGTTAGCATAAAAAAGTGAGTAACTTCAAAATTAAGTGATACTTGGCAATATAAAATAGACAACATTATTTCAATTATTAATGAAAATCATGAGTCAAATTTTCAGCCTAATGTGATTTTTAATTTAGAAATGGGAGCACAAAACCTTTAAATTAGATCATCTCCAAAAGTGGTTTTTTGGGTCATGCCTGGGCTGCTAACGTCCTTTTCCTTGGCACACGAGGATATATCTAGTTGTTATTAATGCACTTTTACCAAAAATTCCAAAAAACCTACTTTACACAAAACTTCCAAAATGTGGGTAAAGAGAACCAGTTACTCCTCATATCTGTTTACCTTGGACTTTACTCCTCCATTGTTATTGCCTGAGGTCTACATAGCAACATGCCATGGTAACGGGCCATAGCAACAAGCCATAGCAACAGATCATCATTGGTAAATCAGCAAGTGCGGCAACGGCAGCATCAAGAATGGCATCAATGTGAAAAGCAAGTATAAATGAAAAGCAAAGATATTGAAATATGAAGAGCAGTAGCCAATTAATGAGCATTTGAAATATAACAAAAATTCAGTGTGCTGTAATAAAGACATGCCACAATTTTTTTTGTGAATTTGGATGTAAGTGAAATGCTCCTTAACCACTTCGCGCCAGGATTATTTTTGCTGAAAATTTAAATTTTTTGCAAAAGGCAACATTTTCCAGCCAATTTCTGATATACAGCCAAACGCCACAAATACTGATTCGCAAGAGTCATTTCAACAGTATTTGTATGATATTTCTTGCTGAAAACTTAAATGTTTTAATACTCCGAGGTGTGCACTGGAGCATAAATTGTAGAACAGGCCATGCGCAATGGGCAATTCAAGATCAACACACGTGTACAAAAGACACAAGGGATTAGCATAAACTTCAGGCGAGTCGAGGCAATCTTGACATTTTAACCTGTCAGCCGTGCTTGTGCATAAAAACAGCTATGCGTGTTATCACGTCCTCCGACGAGAACTGGTTAAGTAATGGTGCACATCAAATAGGAAATTCTTTGTGTGTAAATTACAGAAAACAAACCAAAAAAGAAAACAGGAAAATGCAAAATGCTTTCAAAAATGCATATAATTTGCACTGATTTACATTAAAATGATCCAAAGAACGAAGAGATTAATTGATCAAATAATCTGACTTGCGTTCACGTTTCCATGAGAGTGAAATGAATGAAAAACAAAATGCTCTGAATGAAAATGAGGTATTGTGATAATGGCTCATGTTTTAAAGGAACAGTCAAACTTGGCTTGTTGTATTCAGCCGATTGAATGCTCCTTTAAAGCAGACAATGATTGAAAACTTAATAATGTCAAATGTGCCTGAAAATAATATTTGAAGATGCGAAAGATGCAAGAATGAAGGATGAAAAACTGAATGAAAAACGGATGGTCGTGCGAACTGAGTCGTGCTCGATAGACAAGCGACAGTTATACTGACCACAATTCCGTTCTGCTTAGAGTTTGTTGGCAAAGTTGGGATGTCTTTGTTTGTTATTAAAGCGTCGGCGAGATTGGAAGATGAAGTTTCTCGTTTGTAGAGCCTTTGCTTGCGAAGCTGTGAGCAATGCCCGAAGCAGTTAGGAACCAAATGGAGGGGAAACGGTCAATTGGCTTTCGGTTGGAGTCAGAAATGAGCAATGTTGCAGAAAGCATGAGATTGCCGGAATGGGTTTGGTTTAGAATGGACGGAGTCTTCCCAATTTACGTGTTGGTAGCAATCACACAGAAAGGCAAATATATGTAATATGCAATAGCAAACTCATAAGAAGGCCCAAAACAGCTTGCCTTTTAGCTGCCTTGTGAAGCTTATAGATCCTTGTCATTTGATTTACAGTTGAAATGAACTTCTATTTCAATACAAGATTGGTGGGAAATGTATTGCTCTCTTCTAAACCACCCCTTCACAAAAATGTTTGAACCCAACTCTGTAGCTACTGGCTCTTGGGAACAATACGCACTACGCGCAAAGCTCAATGCGCACACCAGCATGCATTTGCACACACATACCGCGCCATGGAACAAGTAAATCCTAGCTGTTGAATAGTAAATCCCATTCACCATGGGCGAATGGGACTTTTTGAGCCCCGGCGTGAATGGGAGCAATAACGAATGTCACGTAATGTAGGGTAGATAATAATTTGTCATTTGTGCAGTTTTTTTTCGTTTGGAGCAACAAAGGTGCTTAAAATCTAAAGAAGGGTGCTTAACAACTAACCCGATAAAGTTTTAGCTCTGTGAATGCAATCAAATGACAAGGATCTGTATGTCAGTTAAATAATAAAAGTTATGCCACTAGAGATCATATAACTTGCGTCATTGAGAAAGACAGTTTGCCACAACTATTTTCCCGTCACCTGCAGCCACTGGGAATGCCAGGGCAAAATCTCAGTTCCAAATGATTTCAGAAAAACAAAACAATCGTGTAAAGCCTTGTGATCCTGGTGGTAAGGAAAGTATACCAAATGTTCCCAGAGAATTCCCGGACTGTAAATGGTTCCCGCTTTATTGCCTTTTTAGCCCAAAATAGCCAGAAAAAAGAAATTGGTCAAAATTGGTTCCTGCTCATCTCACAGCAAAGGCCTGAATTTGACTAAAAACAAGAAAAAGATATTTTTTTTAAACGAATCCAAATAATACAATGGATTTACACGTAGGACCACACCTGTCAATAGTAACAATTTCTTGCAGGACTTTGAAACAACTCCAAAAATAAGTCAACAATACTCTGTCACAAAATCCTCGTCCCAAACGGTATTTTTTTGTTTATCTAAGAGAAATTGTAATGAATGTCTGAAGGGTTATTTTTCAAGAATAATAAATTTTCTGATAATCGATTTGTTATTCAACTTGCAAGGAACCTTTGAAAACTTCAAGAATTACAAAAAAATGTGAAACAAAATTAGGGACAATATCAACCACATTGTGTTACCTCAAAATTCTGGGCAATTTTTGTTAACACGAGGACTTCTACAAATGTGTCAAAGTTTACTGAACCAAAGGGCCAATTCTTTAAAAGGTTGTCCTCCCTCCCCCCCCCCCCCCCCTCCACCTAGTCAAGAAAATAGTACTGGTTCGGGACTTGAAACTTCAAAATTCAGGGGATATTTGTACAGGGCCTGAAAGTTTGTTATACCTCCTGGTCACCATCATCACAGCCCAACTCAGCCTCATCCGGGTCGTTGGACATCTCCAAGGTCTGAATCGTACCCTGATAAACAGAGGGAAAAACAATGTATTACAAAAATAAACAGTGAAACATCACAAACTGGACAGATTAACCCTAACCCCCTAGGCCCTTGTTGCTTACAACCATCCTCAATCCTCCAAAATCCTCCAAAATTTTTCAACTCCGCCTAAATTTTTCAAAATTGTCAGACAGTCCTGCCTCAAAATGCATTCATCCTCAATCCTCCAAAATCCTCCTCATCCCAAAACTTTGCACTCGTGTTTAAATGAAGGATAACCAACGCCAAATCCTTCAAAATCATCAGACAGTCCTGCCTCAAAACGTATTCATCCTCAATCCTCCAAAATCCTCTTGTGCTTCATTCACCATTCATCCTCAATCCTCCAAAATCCTCATGTGCTTCAATCACCATTCATCCTCAATCCTCCAGAATCCTCATTTGATTCAATCACCATTCATCCTCAATCCTCTAGAATCCTCCAAAACCTCCAGGAGGATTTTGGAGGAGTGAGGTGGGTTAGGGTTAACCCATCACCCACTAGACAGCTTAAGGGTCCCGAATTTGTTTTTGAATTCGATGCTCTATGGTTTGATCTGAGGCAATTTCTGACCATATTTACCATTTTTATGGAGCAAAAGATCATCATTTAAACACCATTTTCGAGTTTGGAGTCATTCAATCAAATATAGGCTACAATTTTTATTTGGGGACGAACAAAGTGGGGGGGGATGATATGATATCCCCCCACTTTGAAAAGTGATTGATGCCCACGGCTCTTAGTAAAACTCAGTAGGGAGTTAGGGTTAATATTCTGGGTTTCCTAGCATACAACATCTGGCCAGATGCTAGATTTGAACCTCTGACAAACTGGGCCCAATTTCAAGGCTCTGCCTACCGTTAGCGAAAAATCGCCGCTTACTAAAGCAGAAAAGTCTAAGCTAATGGTTAGTGTATTTCACAGAACTTTGGCTTGAGCGCATGCATACATCCCGTAAGAAAGGCTTTTGTGCTAATAGGGCCAGCGCATTATTTCTTTGCTAGCTCCGTTAGCGGAGAATTGCAGGCCGTAAGCACAGAATCCGGGATTAGAGAATCCATGAAATCGGGCCCTGATTATAACTTCACAAACTCTAGCAACTGGGCAACACTCCCCCATTTCCAGGAATTCAAATGATACAGAATTATTACCGCAAACGTGGCCGTATTATCCAGTGCAAATCCCTGGCTGCCGACGAAGACCGCGGCCTGCTGCGGAATGGCCAGCTTCCAGCCCTCCGGCCGCATCAGCGACGTGCTGGTGTACGTGCTGCAGTTAAAGAACAAGGTGGCCATGTCGTTGATGACGCTCAGCGAGAACTGGGACCAGTGGCCGGTCAGGGAGGGTACCACGAAGGAGGCCTTGCTGGGAGTCCCCGCCGAGACGTCCGTCATGAGAAGCGTGACTCGATGGCGGCCCTCCTCGGCTCGGGTCACGTTGAGTGCCAGGATGACCGTCGTCTGAAGGTTGTCGGTGACCACGAGTAATGGGCCCACGTCCTCCGACTCGGGCTTGAACGTCACCAGGAGGGTGAAGTCCGAAAACCTCTCGGTGAAGTCCAGGGGAAAGATATAATCTGCCAGACGGCCAATGTTTGTGTCTCTGTCCAGATGGAACGCTGGGTCCCCGCGACGCATCCCCTCTGCGAATGTAACCCCTTCCGGTAGAGGGTACCCGGTCAAACTTAGAAAGTTTAACCTGTCATAGCTCAGACCTGCAGAAATAAAAGAAAATTAGAAAGTTATGACAGAAGACAATAAATTTGAAAACAAGGTGTCGCCTTTATACGCAGTCGATCCCTTTACATACATGTTTCGTGTTCTTATTCTTAGAGAAGCTGTTCATGTTCAGTTGAAGAAATGATTGGCTCCTGGAATATATTTGTTTTTATGAAACAATAGCATTTTCACATTTTTTCCATCGTGAGTTATGACCTCAATTGACCCGTGGATGGCCTTTGACCCGCAATTTCGGAAGAGTTGTCATGAACCCCAACCTAAGGATCACTCCATCCAAGTTACATTAAAGTCCATGGGAGTCTGTAGACAAAGAAACATTTGAAGCATATTTGAACAATGACCCCTACATAACCTTTGACCTCAGGCTTTTTTAGGGTCACTGCATCTAAGTTTCATCAAAATCCATGAAAGCATGTAGAAGTTATACATTTTGTTACAAAAAGTTAACCCAAACTTTAACATAAATATGGTCAGAATTTAGGACCGGTAAGTGCCCCAAAAAATTTGTTTAGACGACACAATAAAATGGAAACCAACAGCCAGTTTTAATTTCCTTAGTTTCTACAAAGTTGTAACTGATTGTAATATTCAATCACAGCTCAAAGCACAAGTCAATTGATAAGAAAAATATATTCATTTATTTTCGCCAAAACATCAATAAATGTTAAAAGCACAAGTACATTGTACAGTGGCAGCCCCGAGCGCTTAAAGGGAATGCACAACATTTACCTTTGCTGCAATTTTCAAAAATAAATGGATTTGGAGGATTAGTATGATATAGCAAATATTGTTAAATTGACTTGTTTCACATTTTGGGCTTGTAGATGCTGGAAAAACCAAGAAAACCAATCATGTTCTTGTAGTCTGGTTCCCTGACCCCACTTAAGATGAAACAGAGCAGTTTATAGACTTTGGGAAAGTGTAAGGTCAGAGAATCAGTCTAGCAGGCTTGTACCCTTACAGGTAAGTAATCAATTGCAAAGAAAATGCGGAATAATTAAATATGAAAAAAATTAGGAGCATTTAAAAAAAAGCCAGTTTTCTTCCAACGCTGGTCGGCTGACCAGCATTGGAAAATACACTTTTTCTTGAAAATGTCAAACACAAGGAGCCACAATTTTACAGGATGCTTTAGACTGTCATTCCCTAAGGCCCAAACAAAAAGTCTCCGGTTTCTGGTATGGAGCTTGCCCAAAAAGTGGTGCGGCGACGCGGCTTTTTTTTTTTTTTACCTGTTTTTTTTTGCTTCAATTGTCGGCTGATGACTGCAAATGGTGCCCGACTAAACTTAGTGCAAATATATGGGAGTCCAGAGAGGCCACATAAAGATGGGAGTCCAGAGAGGCCACATAAAGCTTATTCTCGATCATAACCCCATCTAAAAACACGTTAAAATTGTGCAGCAGCAGGATTCCAGTCAAACCAGTGAGTTTGGCGGTTTTGAGACATCATCTTTTATTGAAAAAAAAACCTTTTCATTTTGCCGACGCGCATGGCTACGGCGACGCGCGCGCATACCAGAAACCGGAGACTTTTTTTTGGGCCTAACAATCCAGTAAGGTATTTTGTAAAAATTTGACCATTTCGTTTTTTGATGTTTGCAAATGTTGTATCTTCCCTTTAATACTACATGTATTTGGATTTGCTGTTGTCACATTCAGAGGAAAACTAATCTGCAACTTGATAGAGTACAGTACATGTACATGTATCCTATGACCTTGACAAAGCTTTGAGTGCCTGACCCACTGCAAACAGCAGTTCCCACTCTCCACATCTGTGATGTATTTGTGGGACGTGAGGTAATAGCTTGAGAAACTTATTGAAAATGACACGTTTAAATAACTCAGAGGAAACTAAAGAGAGTGCCAAAAAAAGTGCAACCTTCAGGAAACATATAATTAAAGTTGTCTAATTTTATTTCTTCAATGAAATTACATATTACATTAAAGGCTGACTATTTCTCAATCCACTCCTTTTTGGAGAAAGGGTGTAAATTTTACTTGGGCCACTCTCGCCTCTGATGTCGCCAACTTAAATGCCTATTCACTGCTTAACCCAGATTCAGCATGTCCAGGTGAGAGTGGCCCAAGTAAAATTTACACCTTTTCACTTAAATGATTGATTTTTATCTTGCACAATTGTGAACTGTCAAATGAGCAAGATCATACAAAATGTACACCCTGTACCAGTGGTGGATCCAAGTTTATTAATTTGAGGGCAAACTTCCAAAGTCACAACTGTCTTGTCAAAAAGCTAGCACTTTTATCGACCTGGATCCGCTAGTGAAACCTGGTCAAAAAGCTAGTACTTTTTCGACCTAGACTAGTACTTTTTTAACCCTAACCCCTTGGGCTCTTTTACTAGAAAGTATCCTGAATCCGCCAAAATCCATCAATTTTGCCATGCAAAAAAATGTTGGTGGCCAGTGAGTCCATCAGAATCCACCAGTTAGGCGGGAGTAAATCTGTTGAGATCCTGAATCCGCCAAAGGCCCCCAACAGCTCAATATAGAGGTATCCTGAATCCATCAAAATCCTGCAGTTCCCCTAGGCTTACAATCCTGAATCCATCAAAATCCCGCAGTTTGAGCAATATGGAGGTATCCTGAATCCGCCAAAATCCCCTGAAACAGGGGTGTGGATTTTGATGGATTCTGGTAGTGGTACGTTAGGGTTAATGTACATATGTATGTTTTCAATTTGTTCTCCGTGATTACATTGTAATCATTTTAGAACCTTTTTCCAAACATTTTTTTACAATCTTCTAACATACATGTATATGCCCCATGAAAAAGTCGTAAAAGAAAACGTTTCTTTAGTGCAATGTACAGACGTTTAGATTGAGCCCTACAAGAAGTACATCAAATCGTACCTCATGTCAAAATCGACACAACTGTGCAAAATAAGCAGCGCAGCTGTTACCACAACTAATGTGCGAATCACGCATTGCATTTCTGCACATTAATGTCGACCCCTCGCACAGCAGTCGGTACCACACACAAACACACCTCCAAAAATTCCACTCAAATTATCGCAGGCCATCTAAGACCGCAAGCGATCACAGCGTATCAACTCATGTGACCCAGGAAATGATGCCACGCCATGCTTCTGATTTTTGGAAAAAAAAAAAAAGTTTGACACTCGTCGCAGAGCTTTTGGTGAAATAATAGTTTCTGGCAAGCAGAGCCGTTAGGGTGCTCATGAGGGGGTCACCAGGGCTACAGGAGGGGGTTACAGGGTGCGAACCAGCAGGAAGCTGACCCCGTTACACGCTTTGCGGTTTGAACATTTGCTTCCAATTTAGGGAGGTGGGGAGGGCATGATTGCCAATGGCGGTATGCAAGAAGACCGACTACCTAACGGTAGAATGTACAACCGGGCAACATTCCCCTTGCTTTCCAAATAAGATCAAAACCTGAAATTTTTTCTGTTTTTGTAATTCACTTGAAACAGACAGTTACAATGGAGGACAATTTTGCATCTCGTGCTAGAATGAGCTGTGATTGATGAAGTATCCCAAAATATCATGTTATGTCCTATGCACTGTAGAGCTGGATGTGTGCAGCATTTTTATTTTCAACTCTTTTTCCACTTTATAGACCTACGACGTAATGACGTAAAGGCTTTGTTAGTTTGTTTCCATATATGCGCTTTCCTGTGGGAGCGAAGTCGGGACACCAGACGAAGTAGGTACGCTGCCACTCATAGGAAAGTGCACCTTTAAACAAAGCGTGACATCATGAGGTCTCAGGCCCATTGATCACTTTATTTCAGCTACAAATTTGTCTACAAGTTCACTTATTTCTCAATAAAAGCTTACTGTGCACAGCACTGGTAACCAGCGGTAACACCACCATGCAGTTTCAAATCTTTTCATAATCCACCCCTGACTGGTTCACTGTACATGTACAAATACATTTCAGTATCCAATACAAAATTTAATCAAAGGATTTTGAAATTATAAAGTTGATCAAGAAATTGACTAGAACAGGATTTGAACCTGCAGCCCTCGGTGCTCTATCAACTGAGCTATATCCAGCACTGTGTTGGTGGTTTTGCAATAGATTTTGAGAGTTGCTTTGTTTGTTATTTGGGAAAAGGAAAAACTAAGTGGTACAACCCACGGCGGTCGGGTAGCAGCGAGGCCAGGTAACGTGTGAAGACGGCTATACGGCACTGTCCGTGCACCCGGGCCGTACCGGTACCTCAAGAGTACACAAAATGAAAAGGAATGGGGCGTGATCTAATATGCAAAAAAGTATGCAAATTAGATGCATGCACAACAGTGTTATTCAAACTGGTCTTCGAATGCAAAGCTGTGATACTTGCAAAGCTGTAATACTTGAGTTGTATGAAAACAATATATGGCCGAGTAAAGTGTCCACCAACTAACTAACCAATCAACCAACCCACCCACCTACCAACCAACATAAGCAGCTCAAGCCTACGGCGTGTTTCACACCACCGTTGGAACAATGTGCCCTAGACTAGAGCAAATGATGAAAGCTTGATTTCATTATTAAAAAATGCTTCAATAATAAGATACAAAGTCATTTTCTCTGAATGAAAAAGACAATCGTCTTAAATGGGCAGTATAAAAATTGCCTCCACCGCGATGTGGGTTTAAATCTTCAGTCTTCCTTGGAACACCTCTAGTTGACCTCAATCGATGCCTCCCAAATTCCACTCCCTTCAATATTTCTTCTTCGAAAAGACGTTGTATACATCTCTCTGTTTGGACAAGTTCGGCTACTTCAAATTCCAGTGGAAACGTTCCCCACCGTAAACAGCATTTTCTGTTTATAATTTCCAACTGACCCAAGCGGTGTCTCTTTATTTACATGTCACGAATCGCGGTATGCAATTCCAGTAAAATCACAGATCACCCCTAGAAGGTTTAAATCACATTCGAGAGTGGACAACGTGTTTATTTTAACGCAAAATATTGCCGACGGGTAGGCCACCATATTT